GCCATATCTAAGGTCTAGCCTTCTAGGAAAAATTTTCACAGGGGGTAAACCACCAGAAGAAGAGGGGTATACCATTCAACAGGGTGTTGTTCTGTGGTCCTGATCTCCTGATACATTGTTCCTACTGTTTAGTGGATTGTGGGGATACAATTTTCAAGTCTGTTCACTTGGAAATGCACACATGGGAACATATTTTGTATTTCTATGTGTATATGCTATAACTATTGATGTAGGGCGCTTCAGGGGGTAAAATAAAGATGGGAATACATTCATATATACTCCTGAACATGTTCTGAATGCCTTAGAACACTTCCCTGTCATAGGGGCAAAAATGCGAAAGTGTTCTGTACCCTAGGCTATGTTGAAAGGGCCCTGGAGGAGGAGCAGATACACAAATAAACAAAAAAAGCGGACTATTATATTATAATATATATATATATACCAAACTACCACTTATATATGAAGGGGGACCTATTGTGGGGTGGTGGTGAAGCTGCAGTGAGGTGGGAAGGGTGTGGGAATAATTGATATTGTGGAGATTCCCAAATTGGGCGATGTTTTTGGTGTTGTGGGGTAATTCCCACACTGTGGGGCTGAAAAAATGCGAACATATGATGTGTGGGAATAATGTGGGGAGGCCTGACATGAGGAGGTTACCAAAATGGAATATATATTATGAATTTTCGCTTTGGGGAGCCAAAATTGCAGCCTAAAACTGCTTATTGTGATTCACCATTGGATATATCATTGTGGACAGTGGACAAGTAGACTGGATAATGTATCCCTATTTTAGGGCTATAGTAGTATATTGATGTATCTATATAGCATTATGGGCTCTTTTATCTCCTGGCCTGCCGCTGACATCATGCCATCTTCAGGGCATCGGTGGTCGCTGTCGCCCACGGTCGGGACCTAGTGGATGGTTCGGGACGTGGAACGTGGGCCCTGCTTTAAAACCGAGGACGCTCACCGGGAAGCTCAGTCTCCCGGCTGGGTTGAGGTTGCAGGTGTTGCTAACGTTCCATCCCGTCCGCTCCTCAGTGCCCGCCGGGTCCGGGTGTGGCGTCGTCAATTAATCAGTCTGCTTCCTCGGCGCCAAGAGGCTCAAAGAGCCGAGGTCGTCAGCGCGAGTAAGTCCACGCCCGGTTTAACAAACAATAAAACAATAAAATCCCCAAAAAAATGACGTGTTCTGCACAAGAGGAGAAAGATCTATCGCGACCCTGGTCCTGGGGAAAGGTGAGTAGTTTCATTTCCTGATGTTTATAGTTGCTTCGAGACTGGTATCAGCTCGAGACGCCATGCGACGGCATTGCATGAATGACTTGGCATGTACTGTTGTCGCATGGAGTCTCGATGAGCTGATCTGACGCGCAGCAGTTAAGCCCTTTGATTTTTGTGGAAGGATTGGGATAGATACGTTGTAAACAGTCACCTGCGTTGTCGTTTTCGGCTGAGTTATTCAATTGTCGTTTGTTGATTGTCGTTTTCACTAAATCCGACTTCGACCGAGCAGATCCCAACCGGCTTGCCCGCAAGTCATATATTAGCTATAGCGCCACCTAATTCTATATTGGGCTCCTCAGCATCGACAACAGCCAGTTTGAAGGCCATTAATATTGTATACATAAGCTGATGACTGGCTTGTCGATAACGGCAAACCCCAAAATTTCGTCGGAATGGACCCATCAGCCAAACGCACACGCGAGGAACACGAAAATTGATGTATATGGAGACAGAACAATTAGACCCGGACAAGCAAGATGAGATGTAAGTAGGAAGCGACGAGAACACACTTGGTAAAGATTACGAGGGTAGCAGGCTGAACGGTGGAGACAACACGAGGGCGGCGTGGGATGCACCAGAGTGCGAGGCAAAAATTGCCCCAACTACCATAATCTTCAAGTTCTTGTGCAGGTTGTTGTATCACCGTCTGTACCTGAGTCTGAATCTGAGGCTGCGTCTGTGGTTGTGGCTGAGGCTGTGGCGTCAAGTTTGGCTGCGCTGGTTGAGCTGTCGTTGAGGACGACTGACCAGTCTGAGCGTTAGTCTTCTTAGGGGGAAGCACTATCCAGCGCCTCTGGAGGATTGGTTACATATAAGTACAGCAGAACGAGGGACACGTAATACACTGCTTACTTTTTTTTTTCTGGCGGCGCAGATTGTTACGGGCCGCGGGCCTGCATGTCGCGAGAAGAAACTGCGCTTGGGGCGTTGTTGCAGCGCGATAGACTCATTTTCCGGCGAGTGGCGTAGAGATGGGACAATGATGTTCCAGATGCGCCAAGCTGGGGATGGGTTGGGACGCCGAGAACGGCGAGAGGGACCAGATGGTGCTGAAGTATGATAAGGGTGGGAAGTCTACAAATGTTTATTGTCAACACTAGCAGCCCTCGCATGACAAAACACAATGTTTACTTGAAAAAAGTTTCGATACGGATCATGCCCCTCGTCCGTGATAACATCTGATTGAAGATTTGTAGCGTCGACCTGTAATAGCTCCGTGAGCAAGAGAAGGAGGGCGGTCGAATACAAGAGCACTGACATCAAGGCAAGACGGTGTTGGTGACTGTGAACGAGTTTACTGTTGTCACCTTGAAGTATGGTTGTGAAAGCACGTACCAGAAGCTCTGGAGCTATTTCTTTTATCGTCCACAGAGTGAGTTCACCGCCTTCTCCGCCATATGCAAGGAATCTCCCATCTCGAGAGAATGACACACAAAAAAGGCGTTTGTAAATGTGGTCGAATGGCAGGCCGAGTGGTTGATGGGACTCTGTGTCCCATAGCTGTGCAACACCTTCGTCGCCCACGCACACCAGTACATTATGTTTGGGTGAAAGTGCGGCGGACTCCAGGTCATGGGGATGCTCGAAGAGATGAAGTTGGGTACCTGAACTACTGTCAAAAACACGTGCTTCTCTCGCTGACGCAGAGTAAAGTTTTGTGCTGTCCGACGACCACACCAACGACCGCACATCCCAACCCAGTTCTTCGATGGGGCCGATAATGAGCTCGCCTGTCTTGGTGTTCCAAATGCAAATTGTTAGCCATCCGCCTGATGCGAGTCTGTCACCTGACGGTGAATATGCCAGAGCAGACACATAACCCTGCTTCGACTTGATAGGACCCACTTCCATTTCTCCGGTGTCGGCCTTTTGAATGAGGATCGTTTCATCACTAGATCCGCTTGCAATATGTTCCCCACTGGGAGACCACGACAGTGACCTGATCCAGCTGACGTGACCCGTCGAGATGGCTTTAATCATCTCTCCATTGGTGTTCCATAGCTGAATCGTTCGATCCTCCCTCCCGCACGCAATTGTCTTTCCGTCTGGTGAAAGAGACATTGCCCATATGCTTCCGCCCTCGCTTGTCCATGGTTCCCCGACAAGAAGTCCTGTGTTACAATCCCACTTGCACATTATGCCGCCCTCCGAACCACTCACCATGTGGACGTTGTCGTGCAAGAAGACAACATTCCAAACATCGTCCATGGCATGCCCCTCAAATTCGTGCTTGGGAGTTGGTCTTTGGGGTTGCGGTGGAGGTGAGGCTTCTTCAGTGGACGGCGTTGCAAGTGATTCAGATTCAGAAGGCATAGCTTCCTCAATGGTCGGTGTCGCAGCAAGGGATTCGGAAGTCATCATGCTCATTAGGGTAAGCCGTCCGTATATTTTCTGGGCTCTTACACTGGTCATGATAGAAAATGAGAAGAACAATTGCACAGTACTCACTGCTTTTACTTCTCGGCCCTCTCTGGTAGCAAACTAACAATGTCGGGGAAGCCTCGTATGGATGACAGGATTTCATGAAGCAGCGCTAATAGGTGTTTCGTAACAGGTTTTATTTTTGGCTGCTTCGTGTCGTATTTCGGGTCACCGCCCTCTTCATTGTCTTCAATCTACATCAACATGAGAAGACCATGCAACTCCTCAAAGATCTCACTGCCACTTATCTGAACGCCGATCTTCTCGCGTGTTGTGTTGTGGAAGTGAGTATCATGTCACCGAGCTTGACCATCAACGCTGATCTTTGCAACTCGCATGTCGGACACATCTACGCGTTCAGCTTCGAGTCAAAGCCTTGGATGGCGCGCATCACGACGAAGCAACCGACCACTTTACTACCACCGTAAATTCCAGCGCATTCGCATCAAACGTCATGTATGAGGACTTCATCGTCGAACGTTACGATGATACATCCAAAAAAGCTTGTCGTAACTGTATACTTTGTCCAGCTCTTCGCTGGGACCTGAAGTCCTTGTGGCAAAAGGCACCCAGGAACGATGCAATGCACGCCTTCGGGTAAGTAGGCTTGAAGAAGCCCTGGAATTGTTGCGACACCTAATTTACGACAACACAAAGGCCAACTGTCTTGACTAGTCCAACGGCGGCAAGTCTGAGCTTTCAAGAAAATGCAGTGCGTCCTGCCTTGCCAACAGAGATGGAGCCATCATCTCGAGTGATTATTACACGGCTATTGACCTTGGGGAGATCAACCTGGATTATGCGTCTCATGCCGTCTTTACAAAACGCAGCAAGGCCAAGTCGGACAGAACGCTGTTGGATGATGCCCTTCTCGATACGCAAAAGGTCTGGCAGGCATAAAATCGTCCAATACATATTTCACTTCAATGATCCGTCCAAATTTCTCTGGGTCCTGCTCTCGCTTGGAGTTGCTCGCTGGCTGTCCTCAGTAACAAATGTGTGCAATCCCAAGAAGTCGCGAAAACGCCTAGAGAATGCCTTCGGTAACGTCGCGCCAGTAGAAAACAACTAAAAAGGAGCTGAGCCACCTCGCCCCAAGCGCACTCCCAGTACCATACCGAATAGCCCCATCATCAGCACAAACCCCCAGAAATAACCTCGTGCATCCGCGCATACACCCACCCCCCCTCCTAGCCTCAGATTGGCCTCATAATGCTCTACCAACTCCAAACCTCAGTACGGAGTGCGAGCCAATGGTTCTGAATTATACCAATGTACACCTCATCGAAACATAGTCGCAGTAGTATATTGCATGTATTGTCTACATCGGGCGCTGCCCCAAGACAAAAAATTGGATTTCAAAACAAAACAAAAAAAAGAAGTCGCGAGAACCACCAATGTAAAACCTTCTATGAGGCTCAGTCTATTACATGGCCCAAAGTGTCATATTGCCTCACTTCACAGGAGAGTAGGCAAAACACAAATCCGCACAAAATACTCGTGAAAACGATTGTCTTTTGTGAGCTCCGGGTGAAATGTAGTGAGCATGTGTCGTCCCTGCCTTAATGCGACGATACTCTGTGAATTGCGTGGATCAGAGTCGCCTTCATCGTGTACCATCAGCTTCTGTGCATTTGGCACAACGTTAAGCGGTAAGCGAGCGATGATTTCTATTGGTGGGTTCTCGGTGGATGGATGTAAGGCTAAGACAACCTTTTCAAGGAAAGTCGAATGAATACAATGATACGAATGGGTGTAAAATAGGGACACGCACAGGAGCACGAATGAATACACCCATAAACGGAGTGGTTGGATCCCGCAGACCGTCTATTGAAAGAGGTGCCTCAAAAGACTCGATCTTCGGAAGACGGTGTCAACAGAGGAAGGACTGCGAAACATGATGTTTATACCTGTGAACCCCAACCATTTCGAGCGACGGTGACTGATATTCCGCCGAGAAGTTCCTGACCACCTTTTTTGGTGTTCTCAACTGCCTGTGCAAGAAGAATTGCCCCGGCACAGGTTCCCCACACAGGTTTGTTCTGCAAGAACGCCCGTAGAGGTTCTAAAAGCCCAGCGAGCTTAGCGAGCAGTGCGATAGTGGTGGACTCTATCGGATGATATGAGTGAGTTTAGGTACAGTGACGCTTATCTCACCCCCTCCGGGGATAATCAGAGCATCACATGCTGAAAGATCTCCTGCGGTCCGCACAAGAATAACCGCGATTTTCTTCTGACATGAGAGCTTCTGAAGGGCGACTTGATGCTCTGCGAAGGCTCCTTGAAGAGCTGTATTTTCCAGTGAAACAATGTATATACTGTACTAGCGCATATACCGTACTTACCTAGTATGCCGATGGTAACGTTGTTGCTGACCTGGGCGTGGGCCATGATGAGAAAGAGAAACGAAGCGATCTGTTGTACACGTCACAGAACTCACGGAAACTTGAGGGAAACATATACGGGGCGGAATGATGCGGATCCAGTCATGATCAGCGAGAATTGAAATGTAGTCTACGAGGAGGAGAAAATTTGACAGTTGGCCGAAACGGCCCGCTCGGCGCAGAGCGTGGGACTTTTTCAGGCATAAGTGATGACGCGATTACTAAGACCCGAGCTCTTTTTCACTCTCACCCCAACCACCATCATGTCTGAGCTTGACGCTGACCTCTATGGCGGTATGTGTTCCTAACGCACGCGAACTGCTCCGTTTTAATTTGATACATTTCTAGACCTCTACGGCAATGACGAGCCCGAATTTCCGACTCCAACAGAAAACGGCGACCAATCTAAACCAGAAGAGGTATTGGAAGCCCCCCCTCAAGCACCTGTTGCTTCCACTGTGAAGGCTCCCCCGCCGACGCCATCAAAACAGCCCTCACCAGTCGTGCCGGCCGCCGCCCCCAAAGCACCTGCAATAGAGACTTATCCAGTACAGACTTATGAAGAATACACGTCGACTCCCGCTCAATCTGGACCTCCTGCCTACACCGCTCCAGCTACGCAACAAATACCGACTTACCAGCAACCTCAATCTGACTATGGACCAGACATGGGCCAACATGAAGGTGTGGGTAGTTATGACCGCCAACATAGCCACGAGAGAAGTGTGCGGCCGTCTGAGATGAAGGATGAAGGGTGAGTTGCATAGGACAGTTCTACTAACTTTCTATAAAATTTTGGGTCATGCAATTTTGCATTGCTGGGGAATATTGGATCTTAGTCGTTGACGGTCAATAATGCCGACGTAGTTGCTCGGTCATCGTCATGCCTAGCTACTCAGCTATGTCGACTAGGACGACTAGTCTAGCTCTAGCGTATTCGCGTTCTCTACGTCCAGTCTAAGCTAGGCTAGCCATAACGCGAACAGACAGTAGCGTCTTTCCTTTTCTCCTCTGTCATAACACCCCTGTCTCTACAGAAACTAATAGCGAGCTTTGCTTTTCATATCGTACGCTCAATTACCGCCGTCCGAACGTATTCGTCGTATCTTCGACCATGTTGCCTCGCGCGTGCGACACTATCTATAGCAAGATGTTCATTGGCGGTCTCAACTGGGACACAACCGATGGTACTTACATCATTATTACTTGCTCTGTACCGTTCGGTAGTACTAAAATAAGGTCATTCGCGGCAGAGTCCCTCAGGAATTACTTCTCCCAGTTCGGTAAAGTAGATGCATGCACGATCATGCGCGATGCTGCTGGCCGGTCGAGATGCTTCGCCTTTTTGACTTTTGACGACCCCGCAAGCGTTAATGCGGTGATGGTGCGGGAGCACTTCCTAGATGGCAAGATTGTACGTACAATGTTGTATCTAGCATTGAAGTCTATTTACCCGTTATCTCAAGATTGATCCAAAGAGAGCAATACCTAGACAAGAGCATCAACGGGCCACAAAACTGTTCATCGGCGGTCTTGCAGGGAGTGTGACGTCCGAGTCGATGCGAGACTTCTTCTCGCAGTTTGGCAAGGTCATTGATTCGACTGTCATGTTAGACCGTGAGACAGGAAGAAGCAAGGGTTTCGGGTTTGTTTCATTCGAAGACACAAATGTCCAGCCCTTCCTCGGTTTTGGGAACCTAGAGATCGATGGCAAATTGGTATGTAACGTGCTATATCTAGAAGTAGACTCATTCATTTACGCCCTTGTTTAAGATTGATGTGAAGCTGGCGCAACCGCGTTATCAGCGCGACAACTTCAATGAGGACGGCAGTCAGCAGCAGCAGCAACAACAGTACACCAACAAGGGCGGGAATTTCAATGCGGTAGCTAACCCTATGCCCGCGGCTCCCTCGGGCAACACTCCATTTGATCCTCAGGCCCTTGCCGCTTTGTACACTCGCATGTTCCAAATGGCAGGCGGAGGCGGCATGATGGCAGGTATGGGTATGGGTATGAATCCAGGCATGACCCCAGGTATGAATCCGGGCATGATGGGTGGCATGGGTGGTTATGGTGGTGGTGGCGGCGCAGGCATGGGTATGGGCAGAGGCGGCATGGGAAGTCCCGCAATGGCAGGTGGTATGGGCGGTGGAGGACCAGGGATGGGTGGTGGAATGGGGAGAGGCGGACAGGGCATGGGGGGTGGTGGTACACCTACAGGGCCAGCCAGCCTGGGTCCGAATGTCCCACGTGGTCCACGAGGAGCACAAGGTGGTCCGGGTGGTCCTGGTGGTCTTGGCGTTGGCCCACAACGAGCGGGACAACGAGGGCAGCACAGTTACCATCCTTATGCGCGCTAGTTCCCGTGACATCGCTGGATTCGCATTACTAACTTATCAATTCAAAAGCTGGCCCGTGTACGCATGCAGATGGTGGACCTTTTCATATGCATATATACGCAGTAGTCTTGTTCGTCATTTCCGCTTTTTAACTGCTGTTCCTGTAGTATGTTCAGAAGCCGTGTGGAATGAATCTTTTGTACTTGCCGCATCAAGCATCGTTCCATGGGAGTAAGCCCAGACCGGGAAGTTCCTTCTGCAAACGACGCGACAAGGTACGTTGCTGATGTAATCAAATACTTCCGCCTCCTCCGTTGACGTCGTTTGCCATGACATACTCAAACGTGTAGATATCTCCCGAGTCGTTCTAGCCGCATCAGCTCCACAGGATTCTCCTAGTTGCAACATAATCAACACTCGCAGAGGCCTCAATACAGCTCAAATCTAAGGCAGGGCACCCACGTGTGCCCATACAATGCCCCCTCATGTGGACGTGGTCATAGTTTTTCGTGCTATCCAGAAAGGAACCAGCTTTTCTAAAGAGCAGGTGCGCCAGAATGCTGTCAAGGCAGAAAAGCAGTATTCCAAGCTCATCGATACGCTCACCCGAGCTGGCCTCAAAGCTGTTGGGAGGCGTGGAGAGAGCCAAGGTCAATTGCTTGTAATGGTGACTTGCCCGCAGAATGTGCTTGCGAACCTTATTCGTTGTGAACGGTGAGTGTCACGACTAATTCATTTTCCATCTTCTTATACATTCCAGAAATTCAGACTTTCTATACGGACTTCCGATGTCTAAGATGCCGTCCACGAATGAATATGAATCAGCCCCACTATCTACCGCTGACCGTATCCGTTTGGTCCATGGATTCATTTCCTCTACACCCGAAGATAGAGGCTTGGGTATTATTCCAGGGCGAAAAGAATGGGATCTCGTGGAGTCTGTAATGGTACTTCACGACCACGACTTCAATGACCACTGGATACGCCTATGGACACGGCACCGAATAGCGAACGTTGAACTCGAAAAGATTCGAGACCAGGTTTGTCTCAGTTAATTTTATCTCGCGTACGTCATTATGATATTGCCATCCTAGTTCGGAGATTCCGTTGCGCTCTACTTTTTCTTCCTCACAGCATACACGCGGGCCCTGATCTTTCCCGCGGCTCTTGGCGCTATCTTTTATCTCTGCGGCAACCCCTACTCTGCCTTATATTCCACTTTACTCCTGTTGTGGTCAATTGTGTTCGTCGAATGGTGGAGACTGCAAGAGCGTATCCTGTCAGTCAGATGGTGCACTCGTGGCTCGTGGCGCGTGGAAAAGCGGAGAGTTGATCATCTGCCGAGTTTCCCCTGGTGGAAGCAGGAGACGCGCATGATGGCTGGCCTTCCAGTCATCCTACTCTTTGCGACTATCCTTGCGGTCATATTGACAGGCATATTCGTCCTGGAAGCTTTTGTGACTCAACTTTACAAAGGTCCCGGTCACAGATATGTGGTAAGCTAACTTATGCCTGCCGCTTACCGCGTATCTGAGCATCCTTCGTTTTCAGGCTTTCGCCCCAACGATACTTTTCTCGCTCCTTGTTCCTCGGTTACTCGCAATGTACCAGAAACACGCCACGAGTTTTACGGATTGGGAAAATCACGAGCATCAGTCGAGCCATAGCAGTTCTCTTGCATTGAAGGTCTTCACGCTCTCGGCGATGAATGCTTATCTCGGCCTTGCCCTGTCCGCATTCGTCTACGTCCCTTTCGGCGAAAGTGTCATGCACTTTGTCCAGTCACACTTGTTCACAGGCGGTCATCGTGCGTTGGCCCTATTGGAGAAATTCAATATCAATTTCAACGCCACGTCGCATCTCGGCGCTGGAGGAAGCGCTGGAAAGACAGTCAGTGCGGCGGGACTCAGTATATGGGAGTCGGATAGGAGCAATGCGCGACGCAAGTTGAATTCGTCGAGGCTTCAGGAGCAGATGTTCGCCTTTACGGTTACAAACCAAGTGGTGGATACCTTCACGGAGATTGGCTTGCCATATGTCCTCCGAGCCGTGGAGTCGTTCCGCAATGGGAAAGGTTTTCGCAATAACAATGGAAAAGGACACGGGAAGAAAAAGCGGGTGGCGTTTGATGACGAACCTGTGGGGCATGATGCACACGGTAGAGAGGAGCGCGAATTCCTCGAGCGCGTTCGGAGCGAAGTGGCGCTGCCAGAGTATGATGTGTTCACGGACTACAGCGAGATGGTGACGCAATTTGGCTACGTTGCTCTTTGGTCGACGATATGGCCACTTGCACCGGTGATGGCGCTTCTCAACAACTACATTGAAGCTCGCTCTGACGCGTTTAAAATCGCGATGCACACCCGGCGACCGATACCTGTCCGGACAGATACGATAGGGCCATGGCTCGAGTCCCTATCGTTTCTAACATGGTTGTCGGCTCTCACGAACTCTGCACTGGTGTATCTCTTCCGTCCCCCCCAACAGGAGCACGAGCTGGGAACCGCGATGAATGCGAATGTGACTGAGGAGTCGCAGCACCTGAATCATCATCGACCTAATGGTCTCGCTGCAACCCGAGAACTTCTGATGTCCGCTCTGTTGATCGCGATGTTAGCGTCCCATGGCTATCTCGTGATGCGTGTCGTCGTTCGACATCTCCTGAACCGTGCCATATGGATAGGAAGTAAGGAGATGAAGGAGGCAGAACACGTAGAGCGGGAGATGAAGGAGAAATATCTGAGTAGCCTCGGGCAGTGCGTGCCTGGTGAAAATGTGATATTGGAAATGTCGGACGAGAAGGATGAGTGGGCCAACTTTTGGACAATAGACGAGGGGATGGATGACATAGGGAAGATGGTGAAAGATGCTTGAGTCATGGGATCGTGGGTCGGGGTATTATGTTCGGCATTGGACCTGGGCATCTCGTTGGTGTTTTCACTATTTCGGCGGTGTTTCATTGTAACTAACATTGTATGTGCATCGGCATTTGTTTTCTTGACGATTCAAGAGATGATGCATCGATGATGTCCTGTAGACACAATGGGAGTTCTCAGCCTTGTACAATTGTACAGGACATCATTAGAGCTGGCAAATTGAAAATCACTGTTTGGGGATGTGAGATCGATGCCAGGAGGTGTGGAGAATGTTTAGAGGTAAGAAATGGCAGTTTCCAGTGGCCTGTCAAATACTAAGGGTTTACTAGGCGTAGACAGCACGAATGCTGTGACGCGGGTCGTTCAATTTCAAAAGGTAAACGGCGTGTTGCGGACTGGGAAGGAGTTGGTATAAGTCATGTTTCAATGAATTCGGGGACACAGACTCACCGTGGAGTTACCGAAGTTGCAGGCCACAGAGGATACGGAGAAAGTCACTCGCAAAGAGGACAGGAAGGAAAAGGTTATGGGTGCGGCAGCGACCGATGACCCGGTATCGAGCAAATAAGATGCTCACCTCTTGCCCACGTCCTCGTCCTTCTCCTGTTCAATTGCCCAGCACGTGCTTTCCATCGTCGCTGTCATTGTTTTGAGCCGAGGTGTACTGAGTCGTGGTAATAAACTAGGCTGAGGGTTCTTTGCCAAATTGCGAGGAAGCATGCTGGATTATTGATGATGCCACCCCCGGACCCGGCGGACTGAGGGGCGAACAGGGTGGAACGTCAGCCAAACACCTGCAACCTCAACCCGACACGGAGACTGAGCTACCGGCGGGCATCCTTGGTTTCAAAAACAGGGGACCCAAGTTCCACGTCCCGAGCCATCCACAAAGTCCCGACGTAGACAGAAACGACCGCCGATGCCCTGAAAATGGAACGATGTCAGTGGTTGGGCCATATAATGAATGTGGAGCATACCCTCTCATCTCACACCCGGGCTTACGGAGCAGCGAGAGTGTTGAGTTGACAAGGACTGGAGCGCCTAAACCACCCTGGGCCAGCGACCAGACCGGGGAGTTTGGCATGCTGAGGAGGCGAAGAGTGTTGAGAGAAAGTCGAACACCTGATAGCCGCCTTGGCGAATGCGGCCAGCAGACCCGTCCACGCCGCAAGTGATGGTCAGCCGTTGCAGTGTCTTTCAGTTGCTTCGCATTGTCCTCAAATCTTAAATCTCAATGCACGCTGGAGTTTTCCTAAAGCAGGGTAAAGTACTGAACGTCGAATGTGGTGCGCACAAGTCATACCTGTGGCGCTCGATGGTAATTGCTGTCCGACCTGGGTACAATCGAGAAAACAAAGCCTCAGACATCGAGGGAGTAATACAGAGCATACCATGCGGTGACGGGCGGGGAAGATAAACAGAAATACTAGTCATGGTGGTGGAATGGACACCAGCTTGTCAGTACTAGGATATCGATGTGACGCATGTATACAATGCCACATGTCTCGTTCCAGCATTCGGTATGGGTCTGACAAGGCAAAGGATGAGAGAGGAGGAGAAAGAGCGGGCGAAGAAGTGAAGCAGGACTAGTCAGTTTTATACACAGCAAGCGGCTGACTGTCATTATTTGTTTGAACCAGAGGGGTAAATTGACCAAATATGGACTTGGTGCATGCGTATGTCTGGACTCAATTTGGAGACTTTCGGAAACTTGGTATTCGCATGAACACGAACACAAGCAGAGTCTACCAGCTATGACACGAGGTAGTTCAGCATGCGAAGACGTTCCGCGGATCCAAACGTCTTGTCCTCATAATTACAAGCAACGTAAAAAACACAGGAGCCTCTCACAGCTGTATATACATGCTCCGTGTCTTGCATGGTCATCAACGGCCTCCAAGGTTGAACATGTAATCTACGTGCGCACACATCTCCCATGGTAGGATATCGCCTTTGTCAGTAACTCCTTGCACATAAAAGCGTAACCCTTTCCCATGCACCACACTCTTCGGCAGAATCGCTGGATCCACATAAAATCTATTAGCACGCCCATCTAGGCCTGTTGTTCCAATGAATATCGCCGCCGTGGCCTCCGCGACACTTCCCGAGAGGGGGTATGGGTTGACGTATATGTTGAAGTAGAGAAATGAGGGGAATCGTTCTCTGGTATCTAGAATCCATGCAGGATTCGGGTCTTCGGGTGATGATATCGTCCGCAACGCGAGACGTGGGAAAGAGGATGCGATGTCCCAGGTGAGAAGCCCGCTGAGACCAGTTGAAGGGGGGGTGAGGGGCTTGGTGCTTTGGAATTTAGCCCACAGAATCCCGGGGGTTCCCTTCGAGACGAGGGCAGTGGAAGAAGATGGATATACGGCAAGTTGGCCTAACGAGATTGAAAAATCAAGTGGCTGAGATGGATCTTCGGCAGTAAAACCAATGATCAAGCCAACCGCAATCGACACGTTAGTTGTGCCGGGAGGAACCGAAAAGCTAAGGACTTGTCTGGTCCAACCGTTCTTGAGATCAGATTGAGTGGATGCCCCGACATTGACCTCTGAAAGATCTCCGCCCCCCGTCATCAACGGCTTTACGTAAAGTCCAAGGTCGAGGTCGGTCTCCTCACAAGTGGCAGTCTTGTAAACGATGCTAACGTCATATGACATCAGGGAAGTCACATTAAATGACTGCACAGGGAGCCAGATGCACCGGAAAAATGCATCATCGGCCGCACTGCCAGCACAAGAGATGGAAAGTTTAAGGGTATTCCCTCCATTCCATGCGTCGCTCATGTCCAACATGGATGACGCTGAAGGGAGTGGTTCTTCTCTATCATTGTCTTCCCACATCAAGGATGGTCGTGGCCACACTAAATTTCCAAGGGAACTTTGCTTGTCGACATCAGTCCAGCCGGCATCTGTCTGGAGAACCTTCACGCCTTCAACAAACCACGAATGCCCAACTCCTGGAGAGAACGATGCGTAAAAGACAAGCTGGGCGGGATCAGGAGGGGTGGCATGTCCAAAGAATGACGACAGTGGTTTGAATGCGCCGTGAGGACACTCAGGCTCTCCAGGACGTCTGGGAGCATCAGGCACGGGGACCACCTCTTGAGGGTCTGCTGGACCGATCCATAACTTGCGCTCATATTCCCACCACTGATCCCAGTTCCATCCTGGCTTGTCTTGTTCGCTCTCCCATGTCCATGCTTGCCCGAAAAGGGCAACACTCAGGCCGAGTGATTGGGGATCGATATGTGTAATGGCCTTGTAGGAACCGAATCCTCCTCCACCGTGCGATCCTCGACCCCAGACATCAACACCTGTAAATATGCTTTGAAGAGACTTGACGGAAGACCCCTTCGCATCATCACTGATGAGCACTGGATCCAAGCTCATGAAATACTGGGCAGTGAGAGCCGGGAAAGACGTCGGCCACTTATGGAATACGTTTGAGATAAAGGTGGCGCATCTGAACACACACTTACAGTGTAGTTCGTGAAGAAGGCATCGGACGAGAGGAAAAATGGCAAATTCAGGTTGTTCAATCGGTCCTGCCACCTCAGTTGACCGTTGATTATCACACTGTCGTACCTGTGATTTGAATTGCGTCAGGAACATTTATTATAGATCTCTGATCGGCCTTGACCTCACCAAATAGCTTGGGCATGGCGACCAACTTTTGTCACGAGCTCGGATCTCAGAAGTAAAATCCATCCAGCAAGCGCCCGTGCTTGTTCCTGGCCCCCTCGAAGTGGGCATTCAACATTCAGGAGATAACCATCAAACCCACGCTGACGAGCAAGCTCTGCCAAAACTGAGGCATAGTGTCTTGACATGGGAATCGAATCTGTACGTAAAGTTGGGCCTGCGCCCACCTGAGGGCATCCAACTATCAGCTGGAGGCAGTCAGCTTCTCCAGATCCTTCAAAGATTCTGGAACGGGGTGAGTGGAATGCGGATCATGTAATGGTGTTTTGTGGAGCCTACATTGTTCCGAGCATCTTAACCCCTTGTCGATGCGCCGCATTGATCCATCCTGATGGAGGAACAGTGACTCTGTGATGCGAGAAGCTGGCACAAGTGATAAGATGTGATAAGATAATCAATAAGGTTAAACCGTGAATACGTACTAAACGAATGAGTCACATAGAGGCCAAAAATTGAATGTATAGCACAGGCCAGATGGAGATTCTGTGTACCCTCCCTGTGCAGAATGGAAGACAGAGTCATTTCATTTGCGGCTGAGAAGGAACTAATCATGACATAAATCAACCGAGTCACCTACTGACTTTATAATCGTGGCACACCTTTGATAGGCGGGTCAGTGGGGCATCGTGGAAGGGCATGAGTTTTGCTTCTTCACCAAAAGCTTCCCTCTCTGGTTCGATGATTCTGCAAACTGAGGACGGGCCTGATACTCCAAGACGGCCATCAACTTTTCGTGAGGGATACTAGCCCATTGATCAAGCTCGGCCAGAGACTCGAAGTAGGGTGCCTCGTCGCCAACAAGTTTACCATGACTAGTTCCTCGGAGAGGCATGATGTCCTTGTCCACGAATTCAAGCTGGCGGTTGTTGTGAACAAGAGCGTGGGAAATAGCAGTGGGGTTGTTGTGTAGGATGAACTCTCCTCCAAACCGAACTTTTTTTTTCCGTTTTCATGACGGACATGTCTGAGGAACAACAGGACAGTACAGTCGGTATCGAAACACCAACAGAAATCGCAACGAACGACACCGAGTATATTGGAGACAAGACTCAGCCAACCGAAGAGATTCTGAATGCTCTGAAAGCTCTCAACCAGACAACCGCTCAAAACGGACACGAACAATCTCCAGCTCAACAAGTCAATGCCAAGCAAGATACTCCGAGTCAAGAAGCACCGTCTGAATGGCATGTTCTGCGCGAGAAGCTGCGTGAGCAACCTCATGATCCAGAGGGCTGGAACAGACTCGTCGACCTCGCCGAGGCGCGCGGTGAAATTGAACAAATAAAACAGACCTATGAAGCTCTGCTTGAAGTCTATCCCAACACGGTATGCACCTTCCAGCCTTGCATTCGACAGCCCTTAACACATGTCACAAATATCAAGTCATCCGCTCAAATTGCCTATCTCAACCATTTCCTGAGCCCCGGTCTTTTCCCGTACGCCGAAGAACTCTTCAGAAGATTCCTGAGATCCTCTCCTCTAGTTGACCTCTGGAAGTTCTATCTTACCTACGTCAGGTCAGTGTGATATGTGTGCACAATTCCAGACGCATTGAACTGCTTGCCCAGACGAGTCAATACATCGCCAGCCAGTCGCGAAGCCGTTAGCAAAGCGTACGAGTTTGCCTTGAGCCGGATAGGCCAAGACAAAGATAGCGGGGACATTTGGAGTGATTATATCCAGTTCCTCAAGGCCGGAGAGGTTTGTCGTCGTCCTGCCACTTACAACGTGCCACTAACACCTGTCACAGACAACCACAACATGGGAGGAGCAGCAAAAGATGGATGCCCTGCGCAAGGTCTACCATCGTGCCGTTCAAATCCCTCTTGAAAATGTCGAGAGGCTCTGGTCAGAACTCGAGACTTTTGAGAATAGTCTCAACAAGATAACGGTGATTTATACTTTGCTGATAGCTCGATCTCATCCTAACGGTGGTATAGGCCAAGAAATTCATGTCAGATCTATCCCCATCATACATGCAGGCTCGTACAGTGCTTCGTCAGCTTCAACGTCACCTCGGACCACTGTTCCCTCCGCCTCCAGCTTCTCCGTCAGCACGACCACATCTATACCTACCTCCTACTCCTACGTTCAATGCGGCTGAAAGGGCACTTGTTGGGGCTTGGAAAACGTACTTGAAGTGGGAAGAGAGCAACCCACTCGAGTTTGAGGACAAGGATAAAGCAACCCTTATTTCACGTATACAGGGCGTGTATCGCAAAGCTGCTATACGAATGAGGTTCTATGCGGAAATATGGTTTGTCTCCAATTTTAACTCTGTCATGGATAGCTCATCGTCTGTACAGGTATATGGCTTTCGTGTGGACAAACAGCGTGGGTAAGCCGGAAGAGGCGCTGAATATCCTCAAGTCTGGTATGGAGGCCAACCCTACCAGCTTCCTCCTCCACTTTGCATACTGTGAGCTGCAAGAGTCCCGCAAGGAACATGCTGAGGTCACTGCGACATTCGACAAGTTCCTTGACGTCTTGCGTGCTGAGTTGGATGAGCTCGAAAGTCGTATAAATTCCGCCAACTCGTCTTTTACGTCTGATGGCTCCGGTCGTACTGTGCCTACGAGTGCTCCAGCTGGGAATGGTTCAGGGACGTTAGAAGCGGGAACGATCTCCAATACTTCGTCCTTTGCCACTCAGGCTTCCGATGAGAAGCCTCCAAAAGTCAAAGAGCTCTCCGACCGAAGACAAGAATATGGTGTTGTTTGGATCATGTACATTCGGTTTGCACGCCGTGCTCTGGACCTCAAGGCTTTCCGTTCAGTTTTTGCGAAAGCTAGGCGTGACCGATGGACGCCGTGGGAGGTATATGAAGCCGCTGGTACGTCGAAGGCCCACGAGTTAGACTCGCAGATAATGATGGTCCCTCTTCAGCTCTAATGGAATACCACTGCAACAAAGATGGTGGTACCGGCGTGGCATCGCGTATCTTTGAGAAAGGTTTGGAAACTTACGGTGACGAGATTGAGTTTGTTCTGAGATATCTCGGATTTTTGATATCTGTGAATGACGAAAACAGTTACGTTTCATTTCTTACGCACTGTTCGCCCACTCATTATTTCCTTACTCAGATGCCCGAGCTCTTTTTGAACGGGTCATCACAGCTTTCCCGCCTGAACGGGCTCGTCCCCTTTGGGAAAGGTGGGCGCGTTATGAGTACCAGTATGGTGATCTTGAGGCAGCACAGAAGCTTGAAAAGAGAATAGCCGAAGTTTATCCTTCGGGTACGTGTACGCATACTTTATTCGGGATGTGGAGCTTACAGTTGTTTCAAGATCCGCCCATCAAACGGTTTGCTCAACGACATACATATCTAGGAACTGATGCCATTGCAGCACGGGATCTTGGTTTTTCCATGGCAGCTCGCCAGCCTGCCGCATTGGGTTCAACCAGCACGTTGAATTCTATTGAAAAGCGTACAGACTCTTTGTTCTCCTTGACTTCAGCCTCGCATATGCCAGCCAGTCAGCCGACCACAAAGAGGGCCTCATCTCCGGACTACAAGAGACGCGAGGGCTCTGTCAGACCTGATTTTGGTCCCCCCAGCAAACGGCAGAGGCCATCATCTCCTCCGCCTCGGGACCGTGACCGAGAGAGGTGGGAGGGTCCCCCTAGGAAGCGATTTGGAAGCCCCGCAGGCTGGGAAAGAGAACGAGACAGAGAATTGCAGCATGTCAAGAAAGATCGCGAAGATGACAAAGCGTCTACTTTGCCCACAGTTATCTCGTGGTTTGTTGGACAGTTACCTAGCCCAGCTTCCTTTGATGGTCTGTCACTCTGTCTTTCAAACTCAGAGGAATCACTGATGCGAGATTAAATCTAGGTCCCGTGTTCCGAACTGACGACCTGATGATGTTGTTACGCAATGCTGTGATTCCTAGTGCTACCAGACGTGCTACCCCACCACCCACGCCGCTCCCGCCGGCGCCTCCTGCTGCGCGTACTGGTGCGTATCCTGATTCTTCTCAATGGACATACCTTCTAATTTATGCACAGGTGGTGGTCGTCCACCTCCGGATTATGGACCATACCAAGGGCCTGGGGGAGGAACCCGTGGCGGTCGCCGTTATTAGTTTTATTCTGACGTGCTTAAAATCTAACCCCTGGTTTTTCGTAATCGTTGCTTTTCCTGTATTTTCTTTATAATCATATTGCAAGTCCAGTGATTCCGCAGCACTCTCACCATCATATATCTTCATTCACAATTGATCGTATAGTAAAACAAAACCAGTACAAGATCACTCATTCCTTTTTATAGAGCAGAATAAAAATCAAGTTTCAAACGCTGAGTGAGTATAATGGCACGACAATATTTTGCACCAATGTACTAACTCCTCTCTCGACATACCATCGCCAACTACTTCCTCCTCTTACCAAGTCTGTTGCGTGAAAACAGTCTTGGATGATTGCGACGGTAGTGGCGTAGATCAGTTCTTGAGATGTGCACTGCGTAGCGCCTTCCTCAGTACCTCTTGTTGTTCCCAAATATGACTGTGAAGAAGTCCCATGAGTCTAGGATAGACCAAGTCTCTGACCTGCCGTCCTCGGTTGCAACGCTCGTTCTGACCACTGGTGTGCCTAGATATCATAATCCATCATTGTGATCAAAGTAGACTTTGGATAATTCTGAATTCAATTCTAGCCGATTTCTCACTGAGATTCAAGCTTGAACGTTTGAACGACAGGAATCACTGCTAAACAACGGTCAAAGGTCCCAGGGGAAACAGAGAGATTATTGAAGGGTTGTTTATTCGAGTAAATAAACCTCGACTAAGATATCCCAGCACCGAACAAATATGTAAAGGTACAGGGTTAAATATTCCATAATGTATTACGCCAGTAAGCAAGCTCTGAGACACCGATAGACAGACACCACCTCATTTTGCTTCAAGAACGACACCATCTATACGACCACTGCAGTGTGATGAGTACGTCACGTCTGAAAATTGAATTAACCACTGTACGCACTATCAGTCATCTTGGAACGAGCCGAGGCAGGAGGATAGTAATTGGCGTGCTCCAGAGCGCTGTCAGAGATCTGGAACTTGTCGACGTTGGATGTTTGGGGGGTAGATCTGTCTTGTGATTCACGTAAAACGTCGACCGGTAACTCTGGGCGATAAACATGCGGAGTTCGGTTTTGGGAACTGTGGGAGCCTCCATCCGACCCTAGATAATGACGCGCGTTCAGTAGAGCCATATAGGAGTTCACGTATACTAAGTGCATCAAATAAGCTTTCTGCACGCAATAGGAAACTAGCAAAGCGTACATTTGGACAGTAGAAACTCGATTGCGAGGAAGACGAAGTTGTTTGGCATTGATGCGTCCTGTAGGAGGTTATAAGCTACATGTTTGTAGATGCCATCGGGATTCTCACCGTGATGATGCACGCCATCGAGCACATACTTGAGAGAGTGGGTAATCAGTGACAGGCTGGTAATGAACAATCGCGAGACGCATACCTTGTTAGGCATCCTGTATTAATAATGTCTCTTACGAGCGTCCGGAGTGTCATATCCGTTCTACGATACCATCAGTCAGAGAGGGAGAGAGAAAAACAGGAAAGGTCATACTTAGTGAACCCCGTCTTGGCAGAGGCAAGGAGGTAACACAATGAACAGGCGATGAGAAAATCGATCATAGTCATTGTGCCCAAACTCAAGTAGATGGTCCACCGAATCTTGGCCAGGTCCGTAAAAAGGTAGGACTTGAATCTAGATCAGTGTGTTTGGTGAGAAAAACAACAGATGCGGCGACGGATTGATTTACACAGCCCAGAAGAGAACTGGTGGAGGGAGACAGAGGTCAGAAAAACGGATCAACAAAATGTCACATTTTACTTCACCGAAGCCAACACCTGCGATACAGATGGATTGATGTCAGTCATAATTTTTTCACGACGCAATTATACACTTGCTTGATGCCAAGACGATTAATACCGTCTTGTGGTATTTTAAGGTGGGAGAAGACGAGTTATAGCATGATCACTTACCATGAACACAGGGAGAAATCTGGTCCTCCCTCTGCTAACTAAGACAACCAGGTAAGCTCATGAGTGTCATTGTAGCACGAGTGGATACATACTTATCCATATACGCTGCAGGTATAGGCTATATCCAAACACATCAGCAAAGGAAATCCACTGGCAGAAGTAATACTTACAGGTGCACGCTATACACAATACATACCTGAGAAGCAATGAAGTGAAGCATCTTACGAAGTAGTTCGCTTGTTCTCACTTACGTCGATGACTATTAGTGCCTACGCGTGATGAAGTTCAGAAGGGGAAAGTCCAGTATAGTTGTGATCATTTCGCACCTTAAAGCTCCACACCATTTCAAGAAGAGCCAGTGGGTTTGCGTAGTTGGAGATCAGATAATAGTATATCATATGATTCACCAAAGCGACATGCAAAGCATCTAGAAACCTTGCAAACGCGATTACCAAGTTAGCCAAAGCACCAGTAAAAAGCCCTAGAAACGTTTACCAGAGCCAGCATACCTTGAAGCATTGTGTTAGATCAATGTCTGTCTTTCACTTTAGCACATAGGGACTTACCGCAAACTTGTAGAATGTGAATCCCGAGTTTCTGCGTGACTGGAAGTAAAGAAACACTTGGACATTGCTCAGGCCGAAAAAACTAGATCAGTCGAAACTGAATAAACCTATGACTCCGAATTAAATATTGGACTCACATTGCACCGATAGCAGCGCCGATATAAAGCGCACCGAAGGTGCTATTCAGATCAAGTTGTGCCATGTTGGGTGCTAGAATCCAGTACTCCCAAGAGAGTTGTAAGAGGGTCGTAAGGTCCTCCAACTTCGTGACTTATACCCTGTCTAAGAGCGATGCGCGCATCAACAGAAGTAGTGTTGATAGGGAGGTTTATTATTTATTTTGGATCATAATACACAGCCCCTAGCATGACACTCACTCCCATGCAACAAAGGGCAGCGCCAAAGATGTTTTGTCCACCCGCTGGAACGACTGATTTTGATAGGTCAGAAGTCCGCGGGAACAGCTTCTGTGCCTTGATGTGGATGGAGGATATGAAGGGCACCGTGATTTGAATCACCTGCAATGGCGAGACCACACCAGTTTGGTCGCGTGTGTGATGGCCGAAACTGCGGCAACGCTATCAGTACGCAGCCTCCATTGGCCCCGGCGTCAGCGTCACCATCACTTACGAAGGTCATCCGCACCTATCCGCACGGCGATTTTCGAATTACGAACTGCGTCAGGGCCAGGATGATTGGGAGGAACTTCAGTGCCATATGTGCCTGCAGGGGAGTCACATCCGTGCGCGTAAGACCTACAACTTACAAGATGCAGCTTCCTTAAGTCCAGATTCGACATAGCATCAGGTGTGAAGGAGATGCGCCGCGGCTGTGACCCAGCCTGAAGGATATGCCGTCAGTGGAGTGGCATCACACTCACTTACCTGTGCCAAATTGCCAATAGACCTTATCTATAAAGTTGCAAGGAACGAGTCGGTGGCCTTTCTTAGCCTTTTTTCGTTTGTTGATTTTGATAGTCGTTGTAGTTGAAATTTACTGTTGATGGTACCAGTTGATGCCGCGGGATTAGCAAGAACTTCGTAGTTGACGGCGTACCGTAAAATCGATTCCACGCAAGAGGGATTGCAAAAACTACAAGTACTAACGATGATAAGATACATAAAACTGCGAAATAAAAACAATAATCTATCATATCAAATCGACCCCAGGACCCAAATTAACACACTCCATGCCTCAAGGCGAGTCAGGATCATCGCCCCCAGCAGCAAAGTCATCCAAAAATTCCTTGAGAGTGTCTTTCATCTCTTTTATGAGCTCGTCACGATCCCAGTCAGTACGATGTCTCCAGATGCACCCGAGCACTGCTGCACGAAGCTGTTCGAGAAGCTCGACGGAAAGCTGCGCGGTTCTGGAACATAGGTCGTATTGAAGAGTCGAAAGCAGATGTTCGTCGACGTGGAAGTCTGGCAAAGGAGTAGGAGGTCTTTCTATTTCGACTGGGGGTACGACCACCATGGGTTGCTCTTGCACAACATCAGCAGTGGGAGTAAATGATCGAGTGGCTGGTGGAGAGGGTGTGCGGGGAGGCGGTAGTAATGGATTTAAAAGCGCGACTCCCATTGATGGGGACAACAAGGGAAGAGGAGGAGTATATCCATCTTGCGCGGGCACTCCATCTTGCATGGGCACTGTAGATGGTCCTGCACCATTTAGGATGTGTGATATCGAAGTTGCTGGGAACCCCATGTCAGGGGACATCGGGTTTAAGAGCATAGGGTCAAAGCCAGGCGGTTTGCGCGGGGAAGGAGAGTCGACGGCCATCGCATTTGAGCTTGGCAGACCATCGACAGCAGGTACAGTAGGTGCACCATAAACGGGCAACGTGTCACTATCAGGATGCGGCGGCTGAACGTCATTTGCAAAGCGCACAGCCGAAGCTCTATTCTGAGCGCGAGATGCACCGATGATGTCCATCGGGTCGTGATCATCATCGCTCATTATCGTCCGCTGACGTTTCGAGTTCCGAGGGGTGCTGGGTTCTTCTACCTTATCGTCACCTGATTCAGGAGAACCGCTGTGACGCTCATCCGAACGTGCCCTTTTCAGACGCCTCTCTAATTGTAACGGATCCGTGATAGTGATCTCAAGTTGCTGGCCGTTGTGGCGAGCACTCCTGCGAGGCGCTGCCGCGCCGTTCTGAGCGTCTTCTCCGGCCCGGCCCTTCCCTTTCGCCTTCTTGTGTTCCTCCCTTCTTTTCCGCTCCCGCTCAGCCATCCGTTGACACTCATGCTTGAACTGATGATCGAAGTCTTGGATGCTGACTTCGGCTGCGGTCAACATAGCTTGTGCTTTAAACAGCCGGTCACCATTAGGATCCTGATACACACGGGCCGCGGCGTTGAAAACAATCTTGTTGATGTCCTCTAGGAAATCGTGCGGAGTGAGGTACTTGCCCTTGTACAAGTCAACGTGCATCCTCTCGAGGTCCATGTCGAATAGTTGTGGTTCCTGTGGCAGCGGTTGTGGTTGAGGTTGTAGCTCTGGCTCTGGATGTTCGATTGGCTGAGGATCAGGATGGATGCCGTTGATGATGCCGTTTGGCTGCTCCTGGGTGACCTGCTCACAAATGTCGATTACATCGTTTTCGCCTTGTATGGCTATGGTGGTAGTGGTAGCAACGATTTCCACTTCATTGACCACAGGAATTGGATCGAAGTCATACTCCTCCTAGCAAGGATGTTAATCATTGCAAGTAGTCGCTAGCCCACACTCACCCTAGCTTTCTTGGTAAATCGTTTGAACTTGCGTTTCAGCTCCGTCAGTATAGGGCCGAGTCGGTACTTCAGTAGCGTGATGACACGCTGGTCATTCTCTTCCTGAATGGCAAGTTCAGCAGCCGTCGGTTGACGGGGCTCAAGCGGAGGCGCAATCGGTAACTCCTCAAGAATTCGTTTTCGTCGTTTGATGCCATCTGCGAACTGATTCGGCGGTCGACGGATGTCCGCGATGATACTCGAGAAGAACGCTTCTCGCTGGGCTTCGGTGGGACTCGGTAGTGTGAGGCGATTCTCGCGGGTCATACCAAACCACGAACGGACGTCACGGGGTAGTGAGGAAAATGGACCGTCTACAATGGCAAGTACGAGGACGGGGTCCGTAGGTGCAAGCGAATCAAGCATGGACCTGACAGTGGATCGTGCAGTCTCGGAAACTGCTGCTGACCACCCATCGAGAGAAGGAAGGTAGATAACCGAGGGCTGGTGTCTTTTAGCCTCGACAAATAGTTGAACTACAGCGGCTTCCACAGTCTAATGATACCATGAAGAGGACACGTTTGTCAGGAGAATAAGATAAGCTTACCCGTGTTGAATCACCCATAAGTGTCCCCAGATCGAGAGTTTGAACATGATATCCCTCCAAATGATGGAGGGCGGCGGCTCCTAAATAGCCTTGTCCCATACCAGCAGACCCATGGAGCACAAGTCGTGGTCGATAGACCCGTAAGGTCTCCATCGCTATGGGACAATTAGCGGCTATATCGATCTGCCAGTAGCCAGCACTCACATTGGATGAATAGTTCCCTATCGAGGGCATTTGCCTCACTATCATCTTCCCACATAGCTTCTTCCAAAGCAGTGCGCTTCTTGCTAACAGGAAGTACCCTGTTGATAGCATCTTTCACCTTTTCTAAGGTATCCGAAAGCAAAGGAACAAGCTGGGTCGGGAGAGGTGATGCGGATGAGGACGATGAGCGTGCAGATGATGGGACGAGCTCTAGAAGCGCAACATTAGTTTTAACAATCTGTATTGTATGATAACAAAACATACTTTTGATGGAGATCATGAAGTCTCTGAATGTGACGCCGATAGTCTCAGGCTTGAGGAGAAGTCGGTCACTGGACTGGTATATTTGAGGATATCGCCGTTGAATAGCATTCAAGGCTGCCTCCGTGCACAAAGCCTGTGGCTAGGTGAGTATCATGACCAGCATATGTGGTAGTAAAATCACATACCCGAAGATCAGCACCACCGTAGCCCTTCGTGAACTTTGCAAGTCCCTTGATATTCTCAGCACCTTCCTCACCCTGCCAGCCCTCCCAGTCCTTGGTCATGATCGTCAAAATACGTTCACGAGCCTCGAGAGATGGAAGGGGAAAGTAAAATTCCCTGTCAAATCGACCAGGTCTTCGTAGCGCAGGGTCGATGGCATCTGGACGGTTGGTGGCGCCTATGACTATCACCTGACCTCGTCCATCCATACCGTCCATCAGCGCAAGAAGCGTTGAAACGATCGAAGCATGTATCTGATCCTGCTTCGATGACCGGACGGGTGCCAATCCATCAATTTCATCAAAGAAGATGATACTCGGTTGGCAGTTACGTGCTTCCTCGAACAGAAGACGAAGTTGGCGTTCAGCCTCACCGACCCATTTCGACAGGCAGTCGGCGCCCTTGCGCATGAAGAAGGCTAGAAAATGATGAGAGGTGATGCGCTGACGGAAAGGAGTGCAACTTACAGACTCCCTTGCCATTAGCCCGACAGCTCGCGGCAAGAGCACGGGCAAGGAGCGTTTTTCCTGTACCAGGAGGACCGTGGAATAGCACTCCACGAGGAGGTGTTAGATTGAATTGCTGAAAGACTTCTGGATACAATAGTGGGAGGATAGTCATTTCCTTCAAAGAATGGATGTCTAAAGACAGGAGGTCAAAAATGTATGGCAACGGAATGGAAGAGCACGTACGATCATCCAAGCCACCGACTTCATCGAAGGTGACATTGGTATTCACTCCCAATGGGTCTGCGTCAGCCAATGCTGCGAACAGATAAGTTCGAGAAAATTTGCAAGCAACAACGGCAATCACCTGCATCACCAATTTTACCCAGGTTTGAAGGGGTGCCAGCAGCAGCAGCAAGGTCGCCTGGTAGTAGACCGGCGCCACCTGCGGAAATAGGGCCTCCGGCACCAAAAACCCCGGCACCTCCAAAAGGTTTACGGGGTGTTCGAGTTGGAAAGTCGGAATCCTGGCATGAAAGTGCATCAGCTAATTTCTGCGTGTGGCAAAAAAAATATCATGACGCACCGAATCATCTGCTGGGGCCATACCCATCCACCTGCTCAATTCAGCACCAGAAGCACTCCATCCTGGACCACGCTTTCGATTACCACCACCTCGGCCACCAGCCTGACGCGGTTTGGCTTGTTTCATCTCCTCCAGCGCTGGTGGAATGGCATAGTTGATTCTGGCACGCTGTCGTAGTGAGTACGGCCGACCATTCGGCTGCAATCCCTGATGCTCATGCTCTACCTCGCCATCCAAATCCACCTCGCCTTCGGCATCGAGGTCGTTATCTGAGGATGTGCGTGGTGCATCATCAAGAGAGCCATCCGCATCAGCGGAGCCGTCCGATGGCTCGTCGATGTAGCCATCGTCCATTTCGGCAGCAGCTTTACTCTGTGCACGCGTCAATCTCTTGGCAGGGTTATTATGGGGGTCATAGCGCTTGGGTTGACGAGTAACGCGTCCACTAGAAGTCGTAGGGGGAGGTGGGGGGTTCTTGTTCCTATTGCGAAGGACACGACGATTGCTTGTTATGTCATCATTAGTGATGGAACTTCGTTTACTAGAAGAGCGCGTTTTTCGACGTGGTTGATCATCATCTTCGTCATCACCATCCATCGCGTCAATATGTGAATCGACGAGTTCGACATCGTCATCATCTCGAAATATCTTGTTGACATCGTCGTCGCTCGACTCGTTATATTTGGTTAGCTTGACTGTGCGACCTCTCTGGGACTTGACGAAGGTAGCAGGGGGAGGAGACTCTGGTGAATCCGCCGAGACTGGTGGGTGGTCATCCTCATCCATCATGGACTTCTCACTTGCGAGGTACTCTGAACTGGATTGGGAGGATCCACCGTTTCTGGTTGAACGACGCAGATTCATTGGAGGGAGCTTAATGGTGATTTTCGGTGCAACTGGCGGTGGCTCGTCGTTGGGCGATGGCAAGTGGAGTGGTTCGGATGATTCTACCAAATGAAAGTGCTGCTGAGGAAGCGGTGGATCGGGATCTTGCATAGACAAAAGTCACAGCGCAGAATCGCGAAAAAAGGAGCGCAAGAGGAGTGCGCTGGGTGGGGCTTTATGACTTCGATGATTCCCTGATTGTGCTTTGAATGATTTTAGATGAAAATTGGATGAAACAAGCAAAATTGCCTAGGACGTTGGCAGAAGTACTGACACCACCTTTGTTTGCAGGTGGCTATTGCCTGCTATTGATTGTTTGGCTTTGTTTGTATTTGATGGCGCGTGGTGACCATGTTGCTCCGAAGTGGTGTCCTCCCCATTTCCCCCTCCCCTTCAACTAGCCAATTCTCTCCAAAAGACCAAGTTTCTCCACTTGGAAACCATAGATTCTTTGCGATCTTGGTAGTCTCGGAGATCCAAGCAGAAATTCATGAATTTGAGTAGAAAAAAAGGGAAAAATAAGGCCAGATGAGGGTTTTCAGTTGAGGTGGTTGACAAGGCGTGGTGGAAGTTCCAAGGGAAGAAGTGCTCAGTTTTCGTCGTCGATGCTGCTGTTTGCCATCCCTCCAACTTGCTGAAGCTCATGACGTAAACGGCAATTCGCGGCCCGTGACCTCGTCACACAAAAGTGACGGATGATCAAAGCAACCCAAAAAAGGAGCACGTATTCGTTTCCACCAGCCAGCAGCCCTTCAAGAGGCGAGTTTACGGCAACAAGCCTACCCATGATATTTAAAGCGACAAGCGACAGCCCGCAGAAGAACCCTATGGTTTAATTTCTCCCATTTCTCTATCACGTATTCACGACCTGTACGACTTCAAGTTTTTTAACTTCATGAATAATACTTCCCCACTTTCTGACTTCCCTCAACAAACTCATGCTTCATTATCTGAGCGAACAATCAGCCAGCACGCGCTGTCATCCGATACCCGAACAGAGGCATTCCCATCTCATGGTGTGATTTTGTCGTTTCGATAACCGCTCCAAAGTCCTCTGATTTGTTCCAAATTGTAGTCGCGAGATCCAGCAGTGATTCAGAGCTTACTAGCTCAGACAAGTTATCCGCGCTTCCGGACTCTTCTATGACACGTCCCCGTGTCGCAAGCAGGATTGAACGTCAGGGCCTTCAAACCTCGCAATCCGCTCCTTCCCTGGAGCGCCTGATAGGTAATCCTAATGCTTTCACCCCTGACTACGATATACCCAAACCAACAGCCCCAGAGGGTTCCATCGGCAAGGGCAGTCCATTCCAACGCGTCTCCTTTGAAAGCGGCTCTTCTCGTGTACCATCCCCTCCAAGTAATAATTCTCGTCCTGGGAATAACGTACATCACCCTTTGCTTCGCGATGGTGGCGCTCCGCCTTCAAGGTCCCCACTTATCGAGTCAACGCTATCTCGTTTTCGTCACCCAAGTGACCCCCCTCGTCCACCCTCCGTCATGCGTGGAGGAGCTCAAACGCCTAGGAAGGGTAGCTTCGATTCTCCTTCCGCGTCACAATCTCGAGCTGCTTCCCCTATGCGCAACATGTTTGGATGGGCTGGTTTTCATCGTAGGGAAACGCGCGAAGAACTATTCGTCCCGGAGAACCCCTTCCAGAGGCGAAACCCATTACGCAGATTTTCTATTGGTAGCCCTGACCCCCGCACCGGTGAAAGCTTTGATCCCAACTGCGAGGACACGCTCAGGCAATGTCTACCCCATCCAATATCATGCATCCCCTTAAAGACTTCGCGAAGATTCTTTCGCTCCTCTCGTTATTTTTTGATGGATACCTTCCCCAGGCAACTATACCTGCATTTACTGTTCCGCCTTCCTTCTCTTTATTTTTCACGCATTGCTCGTATTTATGAGGACGCAGAACTCAGTCGTCCGGACATTCAGCGATTGATTGATGCCTGTGCGTCTCAAACGCAGAACCCCTCCTCCAGCCCCATACCACCAGGGGCTCACTACCACCCACAGCCTGCTCTCCCTTTAGCAGACGAATGGACCATCGCCAACGTCTCCCCAGCTCTCATCCGATTCAAGGGGTCCTGGGAGGCGTTTATCGACTCCCTGCTCCGAGAGTGGAAGACCCTAAACCTGGTCTCCGCTCTATTGCTTTCGTAAGTTTCATTGTTTTACTTTCGGAAGATGTTCAATGTCCCTCCCACAGTGCCATATTATCCATGTTTCAGGATACCGAGATTGCTCAAGATCCTGTGATCCGCACAGCAGCACTACTTTCGCTCACTTCCGCATTGATGAGCCTGTCGTTCGGCTGTATTTACATTGTCCGCTTTGGCACCATGAGAAGCATGTACAAAGCTACCCGCTGGGCTGAGGTATGTGGCGCGTGGCGCTGCTATCCTTCCAAACACTCACAGCAACCCCACAGGAAGCACGTAAGACAACCACCTTCATTTGGTGGAATGTGTGGGTCCTATTAGCAATGCCTGCTGTCTGGCTTGCCTGGTTCGTCCTCCCCGCTGTCATCGCGTTCTCACACTCACCCGTGCCTCATAGGTCCATGTTCTTCTTTATCGCCGCCATTCTTTCGTTCGTGTGGCGCTCAGGTTCTTCAACAGACAGCATGTCCCCTGCACCGCTCTCCCCGACCGCCATAATGGGCCCGCGCATCGCCATCACATCCCTATTCATAGTCGGGCTGATTGACTTCATGATGATCGTCAAGACGCTGCATAACTACGGACGCACGCGGGACGTAGAAGGTGAGATGCGGTTGTTGGGCACGGATGATTCGTGGCAGGCACGGCCTTCTGCTGACCGCGAGCGGGAGGACCGAGGGAGACGGGCGGGACATCCGTCAAGAGGTAGAGCGCGCTTCACGGGAGAGGCGCGCGGGCGTCCTGATGGGGACCGTCCGTCTGATGGCGGCGTGCTGTCAGCTGTCACAGGCCTCGGCCTTACGAACCTTGATAGTGTGTTGCAAGCTAGTCCCCGTAGCTCCAACGAATTGTCGCGGGAGAAGGAGAAGGCTGTGATGAATGGGGCCACCAGTGATTGAATGGAATTGTGTGCTTAATTTGGACTCTTACAATGATACCTCCGCTCTTTCAGGATGACACTTTCGCGAGCAGTTAGGCGGTATTGACACTGTATTACTATGTACCTACTCATCCGCTCTTTTTGATGTACCTTACTTGTAGGCAGGTAAACTGTAACCTCGCAATGGAAGATCGTTCAAAAAATTATTGGTTTGTCTAGTTAAGCACGTTGGAAACAAGTTACAGCAGAAAGAAGTGATACACCAAATCCGATACCAAGTCGAGTAAGCTACAGACAGCGAGAAAATTCCATCAAAACCAAGGCAGGATCGGGAACAATAAGGCGGATGGGAAAGCGTATACAATAACCAAAAGGCAGTGTCAAACATCAGACAGAAAAATTTGTCTGATAAAGATCAGATCGTGCAAACATGTCATACAGCGTCTAGTGTGGAAAAAAAGCGCAGTAATCGTGATGAATTAGAGTAAAGAGCAGTGTGTTGTGTTGTGTTCGGACAGCTTCTGGAGCTAACCACAGGATGAGCGTTAATGGTGTGTACAAGAAGATACTTTTTTGACTCACGCAACAATCATTTGCGGGAGCCTGATCTGCCGTTATAATTCGGCGGAGGATATTCAAAGGGCGTAAAGGCCTTGGTGATGAGCTCTGTTACGCCACATCCAATGAAATGGGTGGCGACATCCAACCCGGGTGGGAGAATTTCGCGACAGCGCGGGCATTGAAGCACAGTTTGCCCAGATGCATACGCGGCACCGACAGGGGGAGGGATAGATCCACCTTTCTTCGTCAGTGGCGGCTGCGCGTACCCGCCACCGGACGAGGTGAACGAGAAAGACGTGGAGTGCGAAGGGGCCTGCGAGTGTCCATGTCTGTTGCTAACATTATTGTTGGAAGGGGGGGTAAAGTATGACATGATGATTTGAGATGGTTGGGGATGAGGACTGAAGAAAATTGACAGACGAAAGGGGTTTTATATGGAAGATGCCCAGCTGAGCCGAGGATGGGCTTTGCTTTGACAATGCGTGGATCTTGAGATCGTACTGCGGTGTCCAAGGTTACCTACAAACACGAGGCTGCCAAGTTACAGAACAAGTGGATAGGGAAACGCCACAATGAAATATACCAATCCACACGGGGGGCAGACAAGCTGGTCTTAACCCCGGTGGGATTACAGAACTCAACTTTATTCATTTTTGGACCTTGGAACAGGCCCATGTCAGCGATCCTTTTCACTTCCACGATCAACTCACCTCGATTAATAGATAACCGAGAGTGCTATTATTTATGAAAGTGCCGTTATTCCTAATCATTTGAGAATAATAAACCCCACCTTGTACGCCCGCACCCGTAATATTTTGGCGAGATGAGTTGTTGGAATGGGTTATTGTGATGTCTGATCATCCGCGAAGTCCGAAATAGGTCAGCGATGGGAGCATAATTGCCGACGATTTCTAAAATTGCATCACGGTCAATTGAGCTCGCCCACTGGTTGAAGAAGCATGGGTGATGACCCCGAAAGTATATTCTTTTCAAAAAATGGATGACTCAATTTGAATCATTTCCGTGGAAGTTGGGCGAACTAGTATTGCGGGAGCCGCTGGCCTTCGAAGGCGGTTAGATGATGCCTCTTACCAAGGACACAATTGTATTCCAAGAGGTTTCAGGATCAGGAATTGACGACCTTTCAGGCAAGAGGTAATGGTATCAACAGTTGTGGCGGCGGTGACTACCAAACAAGTGATCAACCAAGTTGGGTAACTTGGTTGACGGACAGTCGGGTGTGCCGATGAGGCGTCGGCCCCATCCTAGTACACGCGTCGTTCATCATCTACAGCAACCTGTGGTAACTTCGCGGTCGCCGATCCTCGTGTCCTTGTTGAATTTGTCTTCGAAAATAATTTATGTATCCCTCCGATGATGAGGGTGGGAGTAGCATCAACTATGTTCGCATCACTGGTATCGAGCATGGAGTAAACGCGCAGAAAATTAATTGAGCGAGTTTGTTTGTATTGATTCTGTTCTAGATGATCCATCGGATGATGAACGATCGGGTGGTGCCGATCTTCCGGCAAGGGCCGACGGCACCTCGCGTGGCCCTCGCTTGAGCTTCATGAGACGGTTCAACGACGGATATCTACCAGTATAGATTTTGCTGTCTCGGTCTGTGAAACCAGGCTCTCCTTCCAGTGCTCGCCGGGGCATCTGTGAGAGCGAACTTGGTCTCCTCGCATCAGGAGATCAGCCTGAGGGCCAGGCAAGTCCCATAATGTAAGCCTTCAGTGCTTCTGAGTCTTCTCTCATGCTGATCTGGCTGATCTCCGTCAAGGCCATCTCATTACATTTAATCGCACCATTTAATAGCCTGCTTGTAAATCAAGAACTCTCCTCTGCGTCGTATCTTCGAATTGCCGAGGACCTTCGTGAGCTTGACGTCGCTGATCGCCAATAATACAATGTTCCCCGCTTTCACACCTTCATGATGTGTCTTCTAACATGCTCAGGTGGTACATTCAAGCCCAACCTATTTTTATGCAACAAACGTGTCACGGGCCACGATATTGCAAAAACAGCGTGGCCCGGAGTTTCTTATAGAAAACACTTCGACGTCATCACCGATCTGTGTTATAGGATCCGACCCTTGCAATTCGTTTATCAACCTTATCTATCATCGCAGACGGCAGAAACATTTCACATTGCGGCCCCCGATTCCCGAAGGTTATCCAGAGGTCGTCAGTAGACATGCAACCATCACCATCCATCATTGTCGGGATCAAACTTGGAAGCCTCTCAGGTATTTAAATACCGTCTTCAGCAAATAGAATCAATACCCACGCAGTGCTATGTCTCTCCCTTCATCTGACCAGGAGAAACATCAGCTATCTATCACAGAAAAGACTGATCTTCACCATGAGCAACAATTCGGCTTGGATCCAGTAGATATCGCTGCTCATGCACCGTCACTGCGTGGTCGTAAACTAACGGCTGCAGTGGCTTTTGTAGCAGGAACCGGGTTCACACTCTTTGGGTGCGTTGAGAAGTAGCTATTAATCGAAAAAATTCGACATCCTTCGATTTAGATATGACCAAGGTGTCATGTCGTCACTGCTTACGGGTAATCAGGTAACATCGTGTTCTATCAAGCCTCGCATGCAAATATACATATCTCATTTCACTAGTTTGAGGCTTCCTTCCCTGAAGTAGTAGTGGAGGCCAGCCACCCCAATCACGCCACTCTTCAGAGCTTCACAATTGCCATTTACGTATGTTATCATCTTTTTACATCATATTTTGTGCTCATATGGCACCGTGCAGGAAGTAGGCTGTCTCTTTGGTGCCCTATCCAATCTTTGGGTGGGAGATAAGCTCGGTCGCCGAAGAACGATTGCTGTAGGAGGCAGTATAATGATAATCGGTAGCCGAACTATCTGTGGCCCCGTTAAGAGCACCGGCTGAATTCCTCGCAGGGGCAATTCTGCAAACTTCTGCATTTTCTTTTGCACAATTGATTGCTGCGCGTATCTTCACAGGCTACGGAAATGGTCTGATTGTCAGTGACGTATCTACTCGTGTCCAAAGTTCCGCTGAAACCAAGTTGTAGACATCGACGGTTCCAACATATCATGCGGAGCTTTCCCCTTCCGCAAAGAGGGGTCGAATGTACGTTGTTGTCAATAGCTGTACAATCAAAGACACATCATTTTTCTAGGATCATGATGGAGGGGACTCTGATCGTAGTTGGAGTGACCGTTGCGTGAGTGTGCTTTCCATCGGTCTTTTCAAAATTGACGACCGGCTTACAGCTATGTATGCGATCGTTATTTTATTGGTTCATTTTTTCTGACAGTGTTCTTTAGTTGGTTGATTTAGCGCTGTATGTTTCTGTTTCATCCCCAGTTAAGCTTGATCTAGCCAATGATAACGACCGATCAGATTCTTTGTCAATTGGTCGTCCGCTCAGTGGAGAGTTCCGATAGCTCTGCAGTTGGTGTTTGAAATCATTATGGTGGCATGCATCGGATTCGTGAGTTTTTCTTTCTTGCCAAATGTACATACTAGTACTGACAGGTTCGGTTTCGTACACTACACAAGCTCCCCGAGTCACCGAGGTGGTGAGTTCTCGTTGTTCTTCATACTTTTCGTGAAATTGATCAGAAGCCCAGGTTGGTGAAGCGTGGTCGCAATGCAGAAGCGATGGCCGTTATATCGGCGATGGAAGACAAACCTCCATCTGATCCCGAAGTTCAGCGCACTTACTATGGTATTCGTGAAGCTGTTGCCGTTGAAACGTCTAGTCAAGGTTCACTACGACAACTCACTACCGGTGGTCGGAGCCAGAATCTCAGGCGAACGCTCATTGCTGTAGTATTGATGATGATGCAGCAGCTGACCGGCATCAATCTCGTTACCTTGTGGGTATTTCAGTCCCCTGATGCCGACGTGCTGTAATCTAAAAATGCACCGTCAACAGTTATGCTGTATGTCATGCGGCCGCATTGTCTGCTGCGATGATACTGACATCACGCAGACTATTGTATTCCAGCGTCTTGGTCTCTCCGACGTCAACGCACGGATTACCTCTGCTGCCAACGGCGCAGAATATGTTATTGCTTCCATTGTTGCTTATTATGCGATAGACTATGTTGGCAGGCGCCAACTCATGCTGTTTGGAGCCATCGGCCAATGCATTGTGATGCTTCTCTTGGCTATCTTAGGTTATATCAACAACACACCAGCGCAGATCGTGAGCGTGGTCTTATTATTCGGCTTTAACACGTTCTTTGCTTTTGGGTGGCTTGGAGCGGCCTGGTTATACGTGAGTACAGCAACGGCGGTTTTGATCTTGTGATCTTTTTTCGCTGATCTGATCTTTTCTTTGCTAACTTCCAGTGCGCCGAGGTTGCTGGGCTCAGAACTCGCGCAGCAACAAACGCGCTAAGCACGGGTTTGCCAATCTCGTACGCCAAGACATGGAGACAAATTTACTTACCTATTTTTCCCAGCGTCAAACTGGACTTTCAACTTCGTTGTCGTGATGGTCGTTGGCCCAGCTTTCAACAATATCTCCTGGAGAACATACATCGTCTTCGCAGCCTTTAACGCAGTCATTGTTCCAGTTGTTTACTTTTTCTTCCCCGAGACTGGCGGTCGGTCTTTAGAAGGTTAGCTTTAGATTGTCTTCTGGTCCAGTTCCTGGCTAATTTTATCCTGGAAGACCTCGATGTTGTGTTTGCGTTGGCGCACAATACTGGTGAAGACCCTGTCAAGGTTTCGCTTCGGAAAGATGTCCCGCTTGCTGGATCACGCGAGGCGGACGAAATTCTTGGTGTTAGCACAGGCGTTTAATATCACCCTGAGAAAAAGCCTCCGATGCTATTCTTCAACGGGCGAAGTCAGAACACCGGTGTAGATGCGACGATCGCTACATTGAGGCCTAATAGCGAGTTGCTTACGATTCAATCATATGAATGGAATGTGAGCGCCCATCACTTGCGGAATGCATAGAGATCTGTAAGGTTACGGCATGGTGGCGAATTAAATGAACAAGGCTAGCCTGAGGGAGTGTTGAGTACTTTTATTTCTTGTGTATATATTTCATAGCTATCAATACAAGAATTCTTCGTCAGGACTGAACCAAGTGGTCAGCTTGAAGAAGTAGCCATGACCGACGTTGTACAACTTGTAGGTCTTTTTGAGTAGTGGGTTGGTGATGGGCACGTGACCTGTGACAGGAACTTCGAGGAAACGGTCTATCGACTCTACCACTTTCTTCTCGAATGCCTAACCAAGGCGCAGCAATGAGCACCCTCCGAGTCAAACTGGGAACCCACACAAATCAACTAAAGCATCTGCTCAGCGCCCAGAAAAGCATCAATCAAGTTCTCTCAAGTTCATCACTCGCACGCAGCGCCTTGTTATTTGTTTTCGGCGACGTCAGCCCCCGGAAAGCCAGAAGACCAGGACTCAAGGAGGCCCGTGATTAGTCAAGCTAGCCATTCACTCCTGCATTCGCCTCCAGCTTGCGTTAACCGTCCTCGGGCAAGCCTGTACCATTATTAGGCACTACACTGACTCGCACATTAGTATCATATATGCCACAGAATCACCATACTGTACGTATTGTCTGTTATAGGGCTACGTCCCAGCGGACAATAAACGAGATTTCAGTATGGTTTTCTTGTGTTGAAGTTGAACCCGAAAAAATCACAACTGACAATGCGTTCATGTTCACCCTTGCAATGCAGATTAGTAACCTTTAGTAACACAAGTCGCAGGCGAGTTGATTTTGTTCAGCGTGTATCCCAAGTATGACCCACCCACACGCCTTGTTATAGTTGTGTAAGGCGGGTGGTCACGAGTCTATGCCATGACTCCCAAACTTGGTATTTTCAGGTGGCCTTCGAGCTCGACTCAGACACCAACTTGATATTACAACATGTAAGTTTCAGCGCCATGAGTTGGCCAGTCAGTCTAACCTCCCACGCTTAAGTACCAAACCTGCTGTTATTCTGACTACACATTTCATCCTTGCCTGTCGCCTGTATCGAATAACTTTTTCTTTTAGACCCTGATCTCTGAAGGATGCAATCTACTTTGCGCTCAGTACGCGATCTGACTAAGTGTTTCATCACTGACATCTCCAGACCTCTCATTTGCACTACAACACTTTCCCCACACTACTACGCCACTACGCCGCAACCTCCTCCGTCACGGCGGTCATCAATCACAACAGTACTGATCCCACAGGATACCGTTCAAGTAGCAGCTTCCGACGGTCTCGACATATCCTGAGCACGTTGTTCCACATGCCGCCCAAGTGCATGACAAGGTAGTATCTGAGCCAGGCATGGCTTGCGCACCAAAAGGGCTGACGGCTGTTAATGCCAGGAGAATGGTTGTCAAGAGGTTCATCTAGACCACCAATGTCAACATTTGGATCTACAAGTTGATAGCTTGACTCTTACCGTCACAGAGTGCGAGTTGATAACTAGTGTCAAGCCAAAGCGCGGGTTTGTTGTTCGTTCTGCAGTTCGTCAGTTCTGCATTCACGCACTTTATAGCTGCTGCTCGTCAAAATATTCATCCTTGAGTTCAAACCCAGCATTACGCCAGCCCATCGCGAGCGTGCAGAATCTAAGAAATCCCCTGAGGCCCGCGAATCAATCATTCAGTCGACCCTACATTTAGCGCCGATGGCCGCATGAGCACCAATCGAGAATGATCCGAAGCCTATATACCTGCTGGCATAATTGGTTGTCCCTATCGGAGAGAAAAATTACAGTCTCGAGCTCCTTCAAAATGTCTGTATCGATATCGGTGAGCTATTTCGTACTATGCCTCAAGTTCACTCATGCTGTGGTGCCAGGTCAATGTTGCATTTCGGCAACAAATGGCTCATTCACATGCATGTCCGATAGAAACATGACTGCGGTAATGTCAGGTACGAGAGGGTAGGAGAACTCCATCACTCGCGGAAATTGACCATAACCACTGGTGAGACACTGGACAGGATCAGACATACAAAAGCTCGCGTAATAATTCTGGCTCAATAAAGATTCTACCTCACCATATACTATTATGCATAATGGAGATGGGATCTACCCTGATGGCATGGTAGACGCTGTTTTGTTATGTTGCGCAGTTCCTCATTACAGCAGGGCCAAACTGCACCGGCAGGAACCTTGTTCAACAAGTTCAGGTTTTTGTGAGAGCCAAACGTAGTAAAAATATATTGGCTCATAATTAAGTCGATATGCTAAGCATTTGTACAAGTATTACAGATTGGCCCGCGAGGATTAGTGTTGTGCACCGACCCATCTGCCTATTTTTGGCATCGTAGAGGATTCCTCTAAGTAGACACCAAATGCAGGTGGTGAATATGGTCTATCGATGTGTCAGAACGGTCATCAGTGGCTCCGGTGTGTCATTACCTGTCATTACCCGAGTTGAGGAGTGCCTTGAATATTACTGTCGGTGTTCCCCAGTTATATGAGTGGATGGACACTCAGTCCGAAAGGGTCTGTGTGCAAATTAATTTTGCCATCCTCCAGCATTGATTGTCATGTGCGCGTGTCGCTGGCACGGCTGATCTCAGATCTTTCAGTCCTTTGACTCCACATACCACGAGAGTGCGCTCCACGAGGTTCCACGCCGACGTCACGGACTCCGGAGGGGCCAAGCGAAGGTGAAACCGAGTTCATGCTCAGCCACACCCCAAACCACACCTTGTGGGTGTGCAGGGTTTATGAGGACGTTGATGATCCTGCAGGGTAAGGACTTGCGGTATGGTCATGAAGCGCGAGGACAGTACCTTAGATATGGGAAAGGAGTGCCTGTGCAGTAAATAAACAGTCGAGAGATTGTGAAAGATCCACAGATTCAGAGGAAGCCCCTGCTTCCATGCTTGTTGGTTACCTCTTTAGAAGTTACTGCAGCAGATACAAAACAATCCTAGATTGATCACTAGAGCACCTGCGACTGCGGCAACGAGCCAACGATGGCTGCTGCAAGTGGTACTGATGATGAACCGTCTCCTCCAGTTCCAACGATGTCGACAATAAATTCCAAGTCACCATCTTAGATGGCTGCTTGTAATGTGTGCGCCATTAATACTTCAGTCACAGTGTGCCATATGTTGAAGCACGAGCGACAAGCGTCCTTAGCCTAGTACAGCGTCGCTCATTACCTACAATGACCTGTGGTAAGTTCGCGGTCAGCGGTCCTCATCTAACAAACGTATTTATTGGATTAGACAAACGTTGGTCCTGTCTCGGGGAGGGTCCGCGTTCATCAATGTTAAAGTCTCCCCAGCGCTAGCCAGACCTGCGGAAGGAAGTCTCTTCCTTTCTTCCTTCAATGTTAGGAACGGCCCTACGGTCGGACGGTGCCGATCCTCCGGCAAGGTCCGACGGCACCCGCCCGGGATTGACAAAATGATACCGCCTTCAAATTATGAACCCCTTCTTTGCAACCTTTCGAGCATGCTCCATGAAACAGTTCAACGACGAACGTCACGGACCGGTTGATATCTTACCAGCGTCGAGATTGCTGTCTCAGTCTGCGGCACCGGGGGTCTCTTGCCGACATGTTGTAAGAGTGAACTTGGTCTCCGTGCATCATGAGATCTGGGGCAAACATTGAGCAAGTCATCTGCTGTGAGCCATCAGTCCCAGTGAGAATTGGCTGTGCCCGGATAGGGCCGAATATGTTGAGATGAGAATTACCATTTTAGTACTATGTCGAGTTATGCTTCTTTCGGTTGAAATCGATACTCGTCAATTTTAACACATTGTAACTGCACCAACGACGCATAGCGCACTGCGCATCACAACATTTCGCGTCACTCGCGGTATCGATCGCAACGTGTAACGTCTCGTATCACGTCACTCGCAGTAACCTCAGACGGAGCATACCATGTAACCCTTGCATCCCATTGTCTCTTTCATTCGTTGTCGCACAATCACGATACCGTCTCTTGCACCGTCTCTTGCACCGTCTTGCACCGTCGCACTTTTGCACCCATCACTCGCTCCATGTTGTTGTACCCTTTGTGTCCTGTTCTCGCATCGCATCTTGCTCACATTCCCCATAGAATTATTGTACTGTACAAATTGTTATCGCATGTATTGCCCTAAATCTGCACAATAAAATTGCCTCACTCGCTCTCGTTTATCGGAAGCTTCCAGCGGAGTTTAGATCTCACGACATCTGGCTTGTAGTATGTGCGTATTGCTCTGACTCTTACTTATATCATGTACTCTTCTGCTAGTGGAGGCACCATGGATCAATGGGACAACGGACGAGTTTAATGCCTTCTACGGGACATTGACATCAGATCAGCTTGGAGTAAGTCACCTATACTCCGAGTCTTGTATACGCTAACTAACTCTTATTTGCTCGATTTTTAGAAATACAACGAGGAAGCCAAGAATTTGGTATATTGTGTTTACTCGGTTGTCTATGGTACTAATCAATGTTTTTGCAGGTGTCCAACGACGCGTGGAATAAGAATGTCAACGAGGGCCAAATCTACTAGCCTTTCACTCCATTCTGCTACCAGCGTCTGCCACACCTTCGTTGCTGTGTTATCCGCTTCCTATTTTCGATCCCGCTGCCTGGTCTCGACATGTTTTCGATCTGCTCTGCCGTCTGCGTCCTTTCTACTTGGCTCTCGATGTTTGCGATCCGCTCTGCTGTTTACATCCTTTCTGCTCGGCTCTCGACGTGTTCTCAAGGTATACTCCACCTGTTTCGCACCAGTTTCCAGCTGCTTTCGTATACCGATTGTATTCTGCATAATACCTAGCATTCAATCAAAGCATATTTGACACTATTTAAGCACATTCTGGGAGGACAGCGCAAGTGTGCGTGGATATGCCTACTCAAACAATATGAGCATATTGGCTACTTTTTGAGCACATTCTGGGAGGACAGCACGATTGTGCGTGGATATGCCTAGATATGCGCAGTGTAAAAAGAAGCACAAGAGAGCACACGAGGCACTGCCCCGTCTTATAGAAAATATGCTGTGAGTCCGGATATCGGGCGAGATGCGCAAGTATGTGCTCTGTCTCTCAAACGCGCATCTCGACATATTCGGCCCTATCCGGGCACAGCCAATTCTCACTGGGCATCAGTGCTTCTGTGTCTACTCTCATGCTGACGTAACTGACCACTGTCAAATCCTTCTCATCGTTCAACCACATCACTATAGCATGCGTGGAAATTGAAGACCTATCGTCTGCCTCGTATCTCTGATTTGCCGAGGACCTCACAAGCCTGACTTCGCTGGTCGCTCTCAACAATATTATCTTATTTCACACCTTCATGATGTTTATCTTCCAGTGTTGTATTCAAGTTCAATTCACCAGCCTATTTTTATGCAAGAAACGTGTCACGAGCCACGATATTCATCGGGGCTGGGAGCTTCTTATAGAAAACGCTTCTGTCCCTTAGGACGTCATCACTGCTCTGCGTGATAGAATCCGACACTTACAATTCGACATTAGACCTTATCTCCCATCATGAGCGGCAGAAACATTTCACATTTCGGCCTCCCGTACGCAGCTGCATCCTGATCCCCGAAGTTCATCATGAGATCGTCAGCAGACATTGTGACGGGCTCCCATGATCACCTAATGTCAGGATCAAAGCTGGAAGCCAGCCAAGTGTTTAAATATCGTTCTCCGAAGCAAGAATCTATACCCACCCAGCACCATGTCTATTCCTTCATTGAAACATCAATCATCTATCGCAGAAAAGACTGATCTTGACCATGAGCAGATACAGCCACAATTCGACTTGGATCCAGCAGATATCGCTGCTCATGCGCCGTCGCTGCGCGGTCGCAAGCTAACGGCTGCGGTGGCGTTTGTAGCAGGAACTGGGTTCACGCTTTTTGGGTGCGTTGAAAGGTAACTAACAATCAATCAAATTCTTAGCGTTTTTCTATTCAGGTATGACCAAGGTGTCATGTCGTCACTGATTACGGGCAATCAGGTAACGTCATGTTCCATCGAGCTTTGCATGCGAATGTCCATATCTCATTCTACCAGTTTGAAGCTTCCTTTCCAGAAGTCATAGTGGAGGCCAGTCACCCCAATCACGCCACTCTTCAGAGCTTCACAATTGCCATTTACGTATGTTGTTACCTTTATGTACGTCATCTTTTGTGCTCATATGGCACCGTGCAGGAAGTAGGCTGTCTCTTCGGTGCCCTGTCCAATCTTTGGGTGGGAGATAAGCTCGGTCGCCGTAGAACAATTGTTTTAGGAGGCAGCATAATGATGATCGGTAGGCGAATTATATCCTGTTAAGAGTACCGGCTAATTTCCTCACAGGGGCAATTCTGCAAACTACTGCGTTTTCTTTCGCACAGTTGATTTTTTCTCGTATCTTGACAGGCTACGGAAATGGTCTGATTGTCAGTGACGTGTCTACTCGTGTCCAAAGTTCCACTGAAACCAAGTTGTAGACATCGACGGTTCCAACATATCATGCGGAGCTTTCCCCTTCCGCAAAGAGGGGTCGAATGTACGTTGTTGGCAATACACAATATAATTTGAAAAAAAACTTACAATTCTTCTAGGATCATGATGGAGGGATCTCTCATCGTGGTTGGAGTAACTATTGCGTGAGTGTCGTACTGCATCGAGTTTTTGTTTGCTAAATTGATTGCCGTCCTGCAGCTATGTATGCGAATCCTTATTATCATTTGTTCTTTTTTGCTGACGAGGCTCTTTAGTGGATCGATTTAGCACTGTACGTTTCAGTATTATACCTTGGTTGAGCTTGATCTGACCAATGACAACGATCAAATCAGATTTTTCGTAAATTGGTCGTCTGCTCAGTGGAGAGTTCCGATAGCTCTGCAATTGGTGTTTGAGATCATTATGGTGACATGTATTGGATTTGTGAGTTTTATTCTTGCCAAGATGCGCCCACTAGTACTAACAGATTCGGTTTGGTACACTACGCAAGCTCCCCGAGTCACCGAGGTGGTGAGTTCTTGTCATTCTCGCTTATTTTTGTGGAGCTGATCAGAATATTAGGTTAGTAAAGCATGGTCGCAATGCAGAAGCGATGGCTGTTATATCCGCAATGGAAGACAAACCTCCATCTGATCCAGAAGTCCGGCGCACTTACTACGGTATTCGTGAAGCTGTTGCCGCTGAAACATCCAGTCAAGGCTCACTACGTGAACTCACTACCGGTGGTCGCAGCCAGAACTTGAGACGAACAGTCATTGCGGTGGTCTGTCAGATGATGCAGCAGCTGACCGGCATCAACCTCGTTACCTAGTGGGTATTTCAGTCTCCTGATGTGACCTGTTGTAATCTAAAAATGCACCGTCAACAGTTATGCTGTATGTCATGCGGCCCGTGGTCTGCTGCGATGATACTGATGTCACGCAGACTATTTTATTCCAGCGTCTTGGTCTTTCCGACGTCAACGCTAGAATTACCGCTGCTGCCAACGGCACAGAATATTTCCTTGCTTCTTTTATTGCTTATTATGCGATAGACTATGTTGGCAGGCGCCAACTCATGCTGATTGGAACTATCGGTCAATGTATCGTGATGCTGCTCTTAGCTATCTTAGGATATATCAACAATGGACCAGCGCAGATTGTGAGCGTAGTCCTGCTATTCGGCTTCAATACGTTTTTTGCTATTGGGTGGCTTGGAATGGCCTGGTTATACGTGAGTACAGCAACGGCGGTTTTGATCTTGTGATCTTTTTCGCTGATCTGATCTTTTCTTTGCTGATTTCCAGTGCGCTGAGCTTGCCGGGCTCAGAACTCGTGCTCCAACAAATGCACTAAGCACGGGTTTGTCAATCTCGTACGCCAAGACATGGAGACAAATTTACTCACCTGTTTTTTTCCTAGCGTCAAACTGGACTTTCAACTTTGTTGTCGTGATGGTCGTTGGCCCGTCTTTCAATAACATCTCCTGGAGAACCTACATTGTTTTCGCAGCCTTGAACGCGGCTATTGTTCCAGTTGTTTACTTTTTCTTCCCCGAAACTGGCGGCCGGTCTTTAGAAGGTAAGTCTTACACTATCTTCTATCTAGGATCATGGCTAATTTTATCTTGGAAGACCTCGACGTTGTGTTTGCGCTGGCGTACAATACTGGTGAAGATCCTGTCAAGGTTTCGCTTCGGAAAGACGTCCCGCTTGCTGGATCACGGGAGGCGAATGAGATTCTCGGTGTTAGCACAGGCGTTCAATATCACCATGCGGATAAGCCTTCGACGTCATTCTCGTCATCGAGTGAAGCCAGGACACCTGTCTAGATGCGGTGGTCACTGCGTTGTGGCCTAATGAAGGTTGGGTGTGTGTGTGTATCAGTAACTTGTGGAATGTATAGAGAAGTGTATGTATGTATAAAGTACGGGCTAGGATGGAGAGGCGATTCAAGTATAAGTAGTTTCTTGTGTATGTATTTTTTTGCTCAGCGCTCAGCGCAAGTTGAGTCAATGGACACGTGACCTAACACCATGTCTCAAGCTCTACTGTGGGAAATTTCAACTTTCTAGTAACTCTGTCAATGTCATCACGACTGATCCATGGTCTGTCAGTAGGACATTGATAATAATTCCTGCGAACGCCAGCCTTGCCAGGCTTCACCGGTGCACCCGTCAAGCTGTATGAGATTCAACGAATCGAGGCTGACATTCACACTGGCCCATACCAATACCTTTCTTGAACTTCATCAGCCTCAAGAGTCGAAGGTCGCCTCCTTTGCCCCCATTTCACATTGTTCGAAGTCGTGATCGACCTTTTGCGAGTCACAGATGATTCCCTTGCTTGCACCCTCGCTCTTTTGCATTTGCATTTTCGCTATCTTCGCAAATGCGGACGTCGCGCCGTTGATAAACCAAAGTCATATATGTCCAGCAAGGCAAGAATATCCCTTTTGTTGCAATTGATATCTCTCATTACAGAATGGAGTAAAGCCCAACGTTGACTGTGTTGATGAGAAAAAAAACCTTTCTCCAATTCACACCCGAGTCTCTCTTTTGGGCATCAATTCCTCTATCCAACACGAGGACTGTTCGACTGGCTTTCTCTCCTTCCTGGCCTCCTGTTCAATCGGACGTCCTTCCGTTCTTCAAACTTGTGCGCAAGAACCTTCGATGTCCTATCCCCACCACTCTATCCTTATCTCGTCCCAACCTCTCCTTCATGATACGTCCACACTTGTGCATCTGGCAGAGCTCCACGTGCATTCATTCCACGTCAGACGCTCTAAGTATAACCAAGGAATACCCCTGTGTCCAAGCTCGGCAGCGTTGTGTGTTTGAGACTAACACCGCTGATCTTCGGTTCAACTTTCGTCATTCGTTTGTCACCGCTCTTTCTACTGGATGTCAGACGTGTCTTCGGTCTGTCATCCTTTTTCTCTTTCCGCTGAACGTCACTCCGACCCTCGGCATTTCGACCATCTACCAGATTGCAGATGCACCTTCTATTTCCCGTCCTATCTCCCTGTCTTATTTATAGTCGCCCTCTACAAGCATTGACATTCACCGTCGCCACTTCTTCCCCATATACCCCTCCACCGTTGGTTTATTTTTTTATTTTTATTTATTTATAGCCCCTTGTCATTCTTTCAGTCCGTTTGTCGACATTATTTCCCGATACTATCTTTCATATTATTTCTTATCTCGGCAATTTAACATCTTCTCTTCTTAGCTTCGACGCCTCCCTGCACCGCTCCTGCATTTTGCCCCTAACACGGGAAGCACCTCCACTCCATCGAGTAATGCGGCTCGATCACAGCGCTATAACCCAGTTTATTCTTGGATTCTCACGTCTTCTCCCCAATCCTTGGCCTCATACATGGTCGCCAGGCCTGGAATAACATGCAACATGATTCGCTCGCCCTGGAAGTAACTATGACCCAAGCCCGAAGGCTGCAAGTTCATTTCTTCAATCGTTGAAGTAACGGACATGTGACCTAACATCACATCGCGTCCACCGTCCACCGTCTCTGCTAATATGCACGAACGCCGTTGAGCGTGAACGCTAGGGAAGAACGAATTCTCAAGATGTATGCTTAACCTTATCCTCATCGACTAACCTGCACACTACAGTAGCGACGTTGGTCAACCTTACCAGAGCAAACATATAGAAGATCATTGCAAGAACGCTCAATAAATTATTATACTTGGAACCATGAATTGGAGTCGACACTGACATCTCCATCATTCTGGATACGTCGTGCGCGTTCTGTGAATTTAAGGTCAGTCGAGTATGTTAATGACTCGGATATAATGAGGACCCCGCGGCGAGGTTACTAGCGCCCTGTCAGGTTACCTCTAATGGTGGGCACCTCGAAATGTAGAATCTACAAATCGTTTTTTTGAATGGACGTTAGCCAGACATGCACGCAAGGGACACCAAGAAAACTGATGTTAGATCCGGACAAGCAATAAAACACTTAATCAGAAATGATGTGGTATCAAAGCAGAGTCGAGTAGAGACTGAGTAGTAAGTAGTGAGAAACACTTGGTAAAGTAACATTACGAGGCTGAACGGTAGAGACAACACGAGTGGGTCACAGAAACACGTGACAGAGCGTGTCATTTATGCACCTGGCCTTCCCAATAAGTAAGCCTTATTAAGCTTGGTGATTACGTGTCTCACCAAGTTTACTAAGGCTTGGATGTTGTAGTTCCCCAACACCAGTGTTAAATCACGCCCCAAATACCCATTTTACCTTACAGCTCTTCTCTCTACCCCGCCCAAAAGAGTAAGCCCTGTTCGGCTATACATCCCGCCCTCTCCTAGCGGCCGGCACTTCCCGCAACCCCCGACTTATTCCAAACCTTGTGAAAGGGCGGGCGGCTTCCCACGCCCTTTCCTCCTTTCCTCCACACGCACAACGTTCCAGGGCGGTACAACGCACGATCGCCGACAACCCAAGTAACCGGACACCACCCCAGGCACTGCCCTACCCCCTCCAACGTGTTTGTTCTCTGTCAATACCACATCCTGCCGCCATATCTGCCTGCACGCTGTCCTCCTCGTCCCCGCTACACTCCAATCACACTATCCGCCATGCCCCGCGGAACGGGGGCTTCTAGGCTGAAAGGCCTCTCAAGGTCAATCATATCCCATCACTTCAGAGGGCGTCATCGCCAGACACGCGTGCTGACAGCCGGCAAGCAAGGTCAGCGTATCGAAGCAGCGGCAGCAAGCCGCCAGGCCCAGTTCCAAGGTATCTGGCATATTTCCTTCTTTCTATCACTATTATACTAATTTATTACACAGAGATGTCTGCCGAGGACCGTGAGATGGTTGAAACAATGATGGTGGACTATGGTATGGATCTCGACCCACTACCGTATACTGCGCCCCCAGGAGACGAAGGCTTGGACATGAGTCATGCAGGAGGTGAATACGAAGCGTTCGAGGGGCTCGCTCATGAAGTCGCTGGGATCAGTGGATGGTATGTGTCATTTTTTCGTTGCCCACAGTTTCTCGTTTACACTTGGGTTCTAGCCGCTATGTAGACCCTCGTACTCGCTCCGACCGTATTGAAAATGAGACTGATCACTGGAACGTTCAAATGGACCTACTCGTGGAGGCGTATTTAGACTACCGCTGCCGTGACTCAAGAGGCGGTGTGCCACACAACGGAATGCCTCCATCACCTTCGGATCATGATGGTCAACGTGTTTCGCTGAGCGAAATTGAGCTCATCGACATCTTTGGTACGTATCACCCTTGTTATTTGTCATCGCTGATGTATTTGCGCAGGGCGAAGGCGCTCGTCCCTTCAATCACAGCCCCACCACCACTATCCTAATGAAGCTTTGATCTACCATGGCTATCTTGGGTGCACACCGTTGTATCCCACTGTCGCTATTTCTCTGCGCACTCTAGCTGCATACCGCCAGACACACCGAGTATGTCCTACATTCAGTTTTCAAGCGCAGTGCAAAGCACTGTGCTTTCTTCATGATGTAGGCTTGTCGCTCATCTATTATGTCAACTTATGATGAGATTTTGACAGATCCCTTACCGACCTTACCTCACTACCCAATTATCGGCTGCTTTCGACATCTATCTACAAATTCTTCAGCGCATCGATCAACGTCTTCGCACAGCTCTGAAACGCGACACGCCTAATTGGCGTCTTCTAAATGCATGTCCAGCATGCTTTTACAAGCTGGAGGACGAGCCCGACCTTCCTTTTGACTGGCTTGTAACAATGGACGGCAACAACAGTTTGAAGAGGTGGGACTCCACGATATACGGGACAAATGCGCGACTCGACTCTCGTAAGGTCCAGTCAGATATTTGGATTGATCCGGACACTGTCGACAAATTCAACGGCGAAGTCAGAGGGCATGCGGTGAGTATTGAGTAATTGTACCCGAATTTTCTCACTATATTGTATAGGCTATGTCTAATCGAGGCGATGATGCCTTAATCGATGATACGACAGCGGAAACTAACCCTGCTCCATTCAGCTGTGCAGATCGATGGAAAAATGCGGGCCCAGAAATGCGGAAGAAAATGTTTTCTGTCTTTGACGAATCGGGCATCTTCATTGCGGCATGCCGCCATCGTTTGGTGCTTTTAGGCTGCGACATGATCCGAAGTGGTGAATTGTAAGTTTGTCGCTAATCAATTGAATTTCATTTACTACTAATGTATTAGGGCGAAATATCCGCTTGCTATGATTGACAAGCTTCTTGCTGTCTATGGCAAGGGCGGCGCTTGTGCTTATGATATCGGGTGCGCATTTACGAAGACACTAAGTAATAGTTCTTTAGGGTCGCGTGCACACCAGCTTGGATTTCGTCTTATGGTCGGGGCCTTTCATGGGCACGCTCACAATCGGAAATGCCAACTCGACTGGCATCCACTCTACATTTCTGGAACCGGACACAGCGAAGGAGAGGGGTGCGAGCACATATTTTCAGCATCGAACGCACTCGCTCGTGGCACCCGGCATGCAAGCACGTTTCATCGGCATCAGACAATCAATCAACATTTTACGTTTTGGAATGACGATAAATACGCCGCTCTCAGTAAGTTTTTCTCTGTGTCTCAATCATAATGCTAATACACATTAGGCAATTTTCTCTGGAACCACTATCGCGAGGCTTTGAAATCAGTTCAGACACTCACCGTCGAACTGTCTGCCATCAAAGCTGAGCTGGATATTACTGATGACGATTTCCCTCGGTACATACTTCAAGAACGCGCTTATCTGGATGGTTTGAAACAGCCGCCTACGAGAGACCAAAATTGCATCCGATACGTTGAGGCACTCGATGAATTAGCCGAACGAAAGTTAGTCGTCCATTTTGTCTGCTATGTAATTGTTTTGTTGCCAACATCAACCAACTCAGGACTGATTGGGATTCCGCGCGTGAATTAGCCAACAATGCTCTTACGGAAATTGCAACCGGCAGCTTGGAGCGGATCAATGAAGCCCTAGCCCAAGCTCGGATTCGCGTTGATTCGTCTTACGCCAAGTTACAGCATGCTGAAATGCTAGTGGTGCACATTGAACTCCAACTCGCTGTAGAGGGACGGTGGGAGATAGGCGGTGATGAATACAACCGATTCAAGATGGAAGCTTGTCTTGGCAAGTACCGCACCGCACTCGATGATTTGGAGCGGCTCGTAGTGATGCGATTGTTTCGAGCTTTCTAAATTGTCATTGTCGGGGACAGGTGAGTTGCTTATTGAGATTCAGTTTCTCTCTAATATTTTTTCTAGGGTACAAGTTACGTCAACAGATCGGCAAGGCTTTGCAACGGCGTTCGGAAGCCATTCGAAATGCGATCAATCGTTATAATATTCAAGCTATAGCCCTAAATCCCCCGCGTCCGAAGATTTCATGGAAAGATATCGCTGACTATAGCTTTCTGGGCGAGTTCGATCTTTTACGACACTCACGCACCGATATTCGCAGCGAGGATTGGGCCAAACCAGCCCATCGAGAAGCAACTACAAAATACTTCAAGCTTTGTCGAGCACATGAAGAGATCACGCGACTTAATGTCGAAATTCAGTCGCTTACGCACCGCTATTCATGCTGAACAAGTCCAAACAACTGCCGTGATAGAGGATCTCCATCTTTCGGACCCGAAACTTGCTGAGGAGTTGCAGCGCCAATGGTGTTCGCGTGCCGCCATCAACGCTGTCCATTTGCATCGCTTAGATCGCATTGAATGCCTCACTGGATTCTCGGGTGTCAGGGGTGTTGGCGTCCGTGTCCAACTTAATTCGACAACACCTGATATCCCCCCCGCCCAGAATCTGTCAACGACCCTCAATGCCCACATGGAGTCAGGCAAGCTTATTCCCCCCCGCCCCCCAAATTTTCATGCTTATTTATTTTCATCTCGCTGCAGATGACATTAGCGCAATTATTAGTTCTGACTACACTGACATTGAAGCTATTGATCGCGAGGAGCACGGCATAATCACAGAGGATATGGCTGACTTTTTACATTCTATCGTTGACTAACGCGCGCATGTTGTCTTTTCGACATGTACTTATTATACATGTAGTTGAATACATCTCAATGACTATTGACAGTTCTGCCTCACAGCCTACTTCAACAACTCTCATCCCCGCACAGTATGAGTGTCATGAACCAGTACCCCACCACTGCATATTTCAACGACTCTCATCACCACACAGCGAGTGTCCATGCCCGCCACTGCATACTTCATCTCATTGCCGCACAGTACGAGTGTCATGAACCATGCCCGCCACTGCATGCTTCAACGACTCTCACAGTATGAGTGTCATGAACCATACCTGCCGCAGCATACTTCAACGACTCTCATTGCCGCACAGTACGAGTGTCATGAACCTGCCGCTGCATGCTTCAACGACTCTCACAGTACGAGTGTCATGAACCAATAGGTTAAATGAAATGTACCAATACACAGTAGTACGAGTTTCATGAACTGATACCTGCCACTCCATACTTCAATGACTCTTCACAATACGAGTGCATGACACTCGTATTGTGAAGAGTCATTGAAACCAATACCCACCACTGCATACTTCAACGACTCTTGACATCCATCCCCGTTGCATAGCCGACTGTAATGACTCTCATCGGCGCACAGTACAAGTGTCATGAACTAATAAGTACATGCTGTAGTGGCCACAGTGAACTGCTGGTATGATTTGCTGCAATCAAGTATACTCCTGTAATTGAATCTACTACTAAGCAATGTTCGTACCAAGTCCTAAATTGGCAGTGTGTGTTGCACCGTACATAGAACACATTGTCATTTCATGTACCCTCAAACAACCCATCGCCTCAATGGTACAAGCTCATTTAGCCTTGTTTTTGGAGACGGACTATTCTGCCAACGTGTTCACATTTCTGTTTGCCAACCAAGGTAGAGTCCACATAAATTGACTTTGTGCAGTGTTAAAGTTGTTCACTGCGCGTTATCTAATCCTTTAGTACTAGCCCATTTATGTTCCAAATTCATTACATCCGCTACTAGTACAACTACGCTCATGTCTCCAACAACCATGCAGTCCGATACTGGAACACAGAGTCCACACCGGTTCACAATGTCTGGTCTCGCTGCGCTACATTGCTCCACTTTTGCTCAAGGTTTCAGTAACAATGAGCGTCAGGCTGCCGCCAGAGCATTACTTAGGCATGACGTCCAGATAGACGGCACTCATTATCAAACCAAGACATTTGCTGGCCTTCATCCCTCATACATAGCATTCCAACCCATCCAACAGCACGAGTCAGAGAGAACTCTCTCTCAGAAAGAACTATGCGAGGCAGCACTGCAAGACGTGTTCGATGCGGTGAGTGAACTTGTTTTTTTCATGGCTCAATCTCATATTCTTTAGATCACCATGCAGGACCGTCTTGACGGCGGTATCTCTCTACTTATTCGATGCGCAGGATCTGACGCAATCTCACCGGAGAAAATTGCTTTGGACCTCTACATTACACCCCGAGAGCTGCATGAAGCGCCTCAGCAGATTGGAGGAGACGTCGCTGTATTAGTTCAAGCGTTTGCTCAAGAATTCGCAGTCCCCCATCTCCAGCATTTCACTAAGCGTTGTGCCATCGAAAGATCCAGCCACCGAAGTATTGTAAGTTCAATTGATTTTTTCCCATTTTCAACACCACTAACATACCCTCGAAGTTCCCGCTGCTCACGTTAACACTGAGGGTCCACAATACCTCCCTGGACCTGTCGTTCCTACTGGGGCTCGTATTCTCTGCTCCGCGCAGGCACCCAAATCCTTCTTGAAGAACTTGCAAAATTCATCCCCTGCTGTTGCAGGCTCAAAGCAGCCGAATTCGGCAGCGATTCGTGAGGGAGCCGAATGGGCAGCGAAAGTTGCCACCAAAGTGAACCCATTAACTCCACGTTCGCAAATTCGTCAACGCCGGCCAGCGGATGTCTTCAATGCCAATAGCGACCCTGGCCCGATTTTTCGGGGACAGCCATTGACAGAACTCTATCGTGATGTTCACAAATTTGAACCCCCATTGATTAGTATCGGACCCAATACTGACACTGCCCTCGACCAGTTCAAACTGGGAGACGACACATTACCTAAGCTACGTCTGTTGGTTTCAACAGTGCGTAGCAGTCGGTGGGAGTCAGTCTTTAGGTCCCAGAAATGGGATTTGACCTATGAGGCAAGCTTCGGTTTATCAAGGGCGCTTCTCGCAGACCTTCGAGGAATGCCACTCAACCATGAGATTGTCGAGGTTAGTGGTATATTTATAGGTGGCGCATATTTGCATGCTAATCGATCACTAGCGTAAATCGTCTGTGCTCTCCGTCATTCTAAAGTGGCTTGCTATTTGGTCTTTTTATGTGCGCTTTACCTCTTTGGATTGTTGATACTATTGTAGATAACGTTGGACTTCTTAGTTTGCAACACTGTGTCAATTTACTGTGGGATCTATATCGTGGATCAGAGAGACAATTAATGGTCTCCGTGTTTGGTAAATATTCAGACTCGCGTGCTACTTGGGCTGACTTGGTTTTCGCTTCCCCTCCTGCAGACAATGGTGTCCCAATCTTTCTATACTAGCAAGAATGACTCGAGGCGTGTTCGAACACAACACCCTCGCATCCGTCCAAAAGTCACCATGAGCAAAGAGGCACGCGCCACGCTTACTGCTGGACGACGTGCCAAATCTCGTCAGTTTAAGGTTGCTCTTGACGAGGCTTGGAACCAGCTCGACGACGCAACGAAGACCATTGCATCAGCCCACCACAAGAGCATTCGCCGGGTACAAAATGATTTATATATTGGTCATGGAATACTACGCTCGAGGCGCACCAACCGAATATGTGGAACGCGTTCTGCTGGAAAAAAGGTCAAGACAGTGAGAATCGTAAGTCTGGTTTTTCCTCACACTTTGAACGCACTAATACTATGTCTTACAGGGAACCAGGGTCGAGACCACGCTCAAACAACTAGTTCGCGAGCATAAGGATGAGTATCTTGCACTCTCGAAGGAAGAACAAGAAGTCCTGCTGAAGGAGTATACCGACTGGACGAAGACGAAGACGACCGGCACACGGATCTCCACCAAGTCCAAGATTATCGATATCACACAGACCTTAAAGGCTGTGGAGAAATGAGGTACGTTTCCCCCTTGATTTTTATTTCACAGTTTGACTAATACTATTAATTAATACTAGCTCAATAGCCTGCGTTGTCGAACGGGTGCAGAAACTATCCTATACACGACCCGTGGGTCAACCGATCTTCCCCTCCGTGGTGTAACCTTCACGACCGAAGGTGTTGAGCACTTCATGCACTCTGTGATGAGTATTGACAATCAAGACTTGGTCAGTAAAATGGAGGGCTTCGCCATCCAAGGAATGAAAGGTATGAGCAGCTTTTTTTATTTTGTTTTGTCACGCTAATTTAATCTTCAACCAGGGGCCGCAAAAAATCACAAAGATCGCGTCTCTGATGTACGTTCAGCCATCCGCGAGATAATCAACAGTGGTCTTCGTAAGTTTTTCCCCTTCTCCGTGAAGTATTTGCTTAACACTAAACTATAGGGAAGATTACTGGGGAACCTCATGCCAACATGCAGTGGACTCACTATTTCCGCAACATCGTGCGACGTTATCAAGTTACAATAGTGGGATGGCCCGACAACATCCCATTTGTGAACCTTAGCAAAGTCTCTAGCGCTCTCCCAGAGCTTGAAAGACTTTTTCATTTGTGGGATACACGTATTACATTCTGGAAGACTTTAACGGATGAAGAATTCGCGAAGATCTGTCAGGAGCACAATGAGAAGCTCAAGAGTGGCGAGATCGAAGACATTCACCGACGGACTCGATCCGACAAAGGGACGAAGCGCAAGAGGCTGGCAGCTACCAATAGTAACGACAACACAGCTCAGCGCAAGAAATACAAAAGTGCTGAGACTATCGAGGACAGTGATTGAGGACAACAACGAGGACAACAGCGAGGACAACGGCGAGGGACAATGGTGGGGAGACAACTCCCCAACCCTCTCCTCATCAGCCGTCTAATGCTAACACTACTCCCAACCTCACCTTCGAGCCATCCGTCACCACTCCCAACTTCACCTTCGAGCCATCCATCACCACTCCCAACTTCACCTTCAAGCCATCTGACGCCGCTCCCAACTCCTCCACTCCCCACGCAGCTGGGAGTTCCCTTGACGCCAACACTCATTTTACCTTTCCTCCTTATGTGCCTGGCAGTCCCCTCGATGGCGACAATCATCCTAATGGCCTTACTCAACTTGGCGCCTTTGATTGTGATGCTGCGTTGGAAACATTAGATCGAATCTATGGCCCTGCGCCGTCATCATCAACTGATGTTGACAATCCTGTGTTTGACTTCACTAATATCAATATGTTCGGCTCGACATTTTAACTCACAGTATCTTTCTTCTTCAAAGCCTTTCAGGGCACCGTCTTTTTCTACCTGTTCAAGTCTATACTTTGATACCTGCATTTTGTAGATGATTTACTGTTCACGCTGTCATGCATGGTATGCAGTTCATACCATGACATGTGTGCTATACAAAAGATAAGGAAGGTATAATGAACTGTACTCTACCATATCACCAAGTGATTCTATCATTTTCCATTGATTCATCAGTCTGTTTTCTGAAGCCTCGTTTCTCGTGTTTCATTTCTCGTATCATACACGGGGATTTCTATGTATTTCTATTTTGTTCTGTGACCTTCCATTTCTTTCTATTTTTCTTGGCTTATTCATCAGACTTTCTCACTAGCTGACTGATCATGTTTGTAATCAGGTCATGTGACTGGGAAATAAGGTGATTTGTAAGGATTCAGCCTGACTCATCATGTTTTGTCATTGATTCGTCATGGTTTGTAAGACTTGCAACTGTATTTATAATCTTCTTAGTAACCAGGATGACTCAGCTCACCAAAAGGCTTGGTTTGTAAGCACAATCTTACCAATCCATGAGATGACTCATGCCTTTGACTGATCATGCTTTGTAAGATTTCACTGTATTTATAATCTTCTTAGTAAACAGGATGACTCAGCTCACCAAAAGGCTTGGTTTGTAAGCACAATCTTACCAATCCATGAGATGACTCATACCTTTGATTTATCATGCTTTGTAAGATAGCACTGTATTTATAATGTATTTAGTAAACAAGCTGACTCAGCACACCAAATGGTAGGGTTTGTAAGCACATTCTTACCAATCCATGTGATGAATCATGCTTAGTAATCTGGCCTCCAAAAAGGTATAAAAGGAGCCCATTTTACACCCTGTGAATATAGCTTCCCACTTTACACATAAGTGCAGGCCATTGGTGCCTTGAAGACATTGAAACTTCCCACTTTAAACCTATCCCACTATTTGAGAGTGAGATTAAGGCAAGACATAGTCAAAGTGCCGGTGAAGTACGAATTTAAGTTAAACTTCCACTCTAAACCTATCCCACTATTTGAGAGTGAGATTAAGGCAAGACATAGTGAGGGTGCAAGTATCATTTCAACAAAGTAACTGCTAGTTATACGATTAACTAGGTTGCTCGCTATTACTATTTTATTGAGCTAAGCTCCACGTATACTTAACGAATACCTCTCTCTTTTACGGTTAGAGAGACACGAAACAGGAGAACACGACAAAGTTGAAACAGACTTTCATAGGTTGAAACACGACCTACTAGGGTGAAACATACCTATCATATTTCTATCCACGACAAATCCACAGTTGCATTTCTATATAGTTTCTTCAAACAAATAGAGGTAACTTGTTTACTCTTTGACCACCCACGAACGACACGTTATCAACCGAGAAGTAACAAAAATCCGTTGACCGTGGACTTGAGGAGCTGGCAACTTTTAGTCTTATGAAAGTGTAGTTGTGATTGTCACTGCATTTTTACACGCTTCTATATAAGACCCTCAAGTAACAAGACATCACTGGAGCCCACCGCGAGGGTGGCTTTATTTGTTTGGCTTTACAAAAGAAACTACCGTATTGTCAAGACTTCGAGCAAAATTGATAAAACATCGGATTTTCTTCGAAGCACCAAATCGTTTACTATCGTTCATATTGTATAGGATTTCAACATGACAACGCTCTCCGTGTTGACAATGCCTAACCCGGGTACCAAAGCGGCACCGGCAAAATTCAAAGGGAGCTATTCAGAAGTTAAAGGATTTCTGAAACATTTCGAAAAGTTATGTGACTATCATAATGTAGTCTCTGACTCTGATAAGTGTGAATCTGTCACACAGTATATGTCACGCCATGTCACAGAATTCGTCGAAGGATTATTGAGCTTCAGGACTCCGGATTGGAGCAAGCTCAAAGCGGACATTTTGAAGTATTATGATGCAGACCTGGACACTAAACGATATAGGAGAAAGGATCTGATTTCTTATGTGAAAACAATGCGCGATAAGCGAATCTCTAGTCTTACGGCTTGGAAGAAGTACGTAAGGGGATTTATCCGCATTGGAGGCTGGCTTCAGCAAGCTAGCAAAATAACAAGCGAAGAATATGCCAGTTACTTCTGGGAGGGAATCAATAAAAAACTCCGGACTAAAATCGAGTCCAGACTTATGGCAAGCGAGCCAGACAGAGATTTAACGCTAGCCTTCCCAGTTGACAAAGTTGCGATCACTGCAGAGAAGCTTTTACATCGAGACAGGTTCGATGCAGATTTACTAGTGTCTGATATCGATTCAGGACACAGACGACTGAAAAATCGAGTGAGGAATCTTCGGACGAAGACTCAGACACGGAATCAAGCGAATCCGAACAGGAGTTTTTTCGTAAGAATTCCAAAACCCAAGGAAAGCATACAAAGAAGAAAGAGACTAAGAAAGTAAAGTCTAAAGGAATTAAAAATGATAAAAGTTCCTATCAAGATCAGAAAGGTATTAATCCTAAGGGAAATAACTCCTTGGAACCTTTGGACTGAGATAGAGGGACTTATCAAGCAAATGAGTTCAATCTCACTTGAGGACCCAGACTATGCGTTGCTATACTATAGAGCAACTAGGATGGACCCTACGATTAAAGACTTAGTAGCTGCTCCAGCTAAAAAGCGAGACAACTTTGTCTATTCGCAAAACCGGACAACTGCTAGGAACAATGCGACTACAGATGGCAGAACTAGTTCGACCCGAGGGGACTATCAGTACCGAGGCAATCCAGGTTCTAGGTTTTATTCTACCCCTGACACACCATTCCAAGAGCGAAAATGCTATGGATGCGGCGAGACAGGGCACAGCATGACCAACTGTCCACAGCTGACAAAGCTTGTGACAGACGGTAAGCTCACCAGAACTGAGAGAGGCAAAGTAGCTAGGCCTGATGGGAGAATAATTAGGAGAATGCCAGAGGAGTCCTATTGTCGAGGCGTTCAACAGAGAGAATAAAACGCCTACGTCTAACTTCATCAAAATTGATGATCAAAGTCAACAAAACGCACCGTCAGCGTTAAGCGTGAAACGTAAGAAATCTACCGCGTATATTCGAAGAATATGACACCGAGTCACAGACGGAGACTGACGAGAGTGAAAGTTGGAAGGAACACTTACCTCCAAGAGACTAGCGAAGACTCTGAGTGATGAGTACCGTGTCTATCCAGTTGAAAGGACTACGCGAAACTCTACTCAAGGAAGGAAAGAGCGCTACTGAGAAGGTGTTTCCACCCAAGCAAGGACAGACGCTAAGGAAGGATGAAAACAAGGGAAAGGAAAGCGTACCTAAGAAGACGCCAACTAGGATCCCCATCCAACCTAAAGCTAAGAGCGCTGAACCCACTCCAGTCCCAAAGTATCAACAAGCCCAGCCTATCCGTAAAGGAACGAGTCAAAAGTATTGACAAGGACTGGGATAGTGATGACATCATCATGGATGACGTCGAAGAAATGAAAAAGAATGACAAAGTGAAGGAAAACACTTACAAACCGAACTTGAACCCTGATCGGCGAGGTACAACACGTCAACGTGTCTCAGATATATCGGCTAAAGTAAAGCCAGAGCGAATTCTTGAGACGGTTCTTAAGACACCAATCCGATTGGAGGTAGGAGAACTCCTCGGAACTTCCCGAGAACTTAGTGGTATTCTGGCTAACGCGATTAAGCCAAAGCCATTAGGAAACAATTCGAAAATTGAAGCACACTCCGTGTGGACAAATACGCGTGGTTTATTAATCAAAATAGCCATGCAATGTGATGGCCAGGCCATCAACGCGATTATTGACACCGGTTCACAATTAAATATTGTGAATAAACATATTTGGAAAACCATTATCAACAGACCTATCGACATCGCGAAGTCTATATCTATGAATGACGCAAACGGCGGCGAAGGCAAACTACGCGGACTTGTACAAAACGTGCCACTAAACTGTGGAGGTGTTAGTACACAGGCGAATTTATTTGTCGGAGATCACGTGCCGTTCAGTTTATTATTGGGCCGACCATGGCAGCGTGGTAATTATGTGTCTATTGATGAGAGGAAAGATGGCACATGGTTGCTATTTAAAGATCCGCTAAATTTGGAGGTCAGGTACGAGTTACTGTGTACACCTGATGGAAATGACCCAAATTGGGATTTTGAACCGGCTACATGGATCGGAAACTTGTGAGAATCTAGCATGTTCTATGAGATCATCGAAGAATCACCAGATTTGGACAAAATTAAAATTAGTAATCCATCCCCGGGAAATTCCAATCATATTACTCAGGAAATTGAAAATGTGCTCCAAGCCGAGCATTTGATGCGTCAGAGATTTCTAAGTAACCCTCTGACTTACTCAGATCAATTAAGATTAAATGAAATTCAAACGTCTATAAAAAACGGGCCAGATATGACTTTGCGCCCAATGCCAATCAGCCTCGTGCCTGGGAAGATCAGCGCGAGGCATCAACCATCCATCATTACATCAGACATTTCGTCTCACGCCCGGAATATGCCGGACAACACGTTCACCCAAAGTCGTGCCGAATTGGCCGACTTCCTATTCCAGAACCCCGGAAATTTCCGGTTCACTACGACTATTCTAAACGATGCCTTAACGCTTTCGTTCCAGTCATCCCCCTTATCGTCCCTTATCGATTCTACCGAGTCCGTTCCTCCCTCTCCATCCTACTCACCTGTATGGCGGGGTGGGTCTGTCAGTCCTGACAACCCTATTGTAGCGCCGGCAACTGGCTACATCCCTGTTGGCAACCCCAACCCTGGCGCCAACTCTGAGGACTCTGGGCTAGACGCCTGTCTGTCTGAGCCGTCTCCAAGGGACCTTTCCCTAACGGCACTCTATCTATGGGCGACTCAACTAGGGAGGAGGATGAGCTGGAAGATAGTAGCATTGAAGGAGGGAGGACTGGTGAGTTTTCCGCCTCTTTCTCTGCCACCCTTTACTCAGACTTCATGCATTCCAATATAGACGCCCTGGGTGGGACCTTGACTCATCCCACCACGCCTATCCTTTCAGAGGCTCGCGCTGGGACCTTGACTCATCCCTCCACGCCTATCATCTCAGAGGCTCGCGCTGGGACTTCACCCACCTTGTCAACCAACCTCACGCACACCCAACGCATGTCCAACGGCATTGAGAATACGTTCAGGACTTTGGGTAGCTATCCTAACTCATTCATGCCTACTCATACTGACAACATTTTTGACTTGTCAGTGTCTCAAAACCTCATTCCGCCCATCGAGACCATGTCTCCCACTACCATGAACTTTGGTAGGGAGAACTCATCATCAAACAACAATGTCGTCTCCCGCACTAACGAACCAGGACTTACGCTGCTCGCAGACACGGCACTCAACGACGAGGCCGATGTCTCGCGTACACCCGTTCTGGACCCCAACCTCGAAGACATCAATCAAGATGTCTCTCGGCACGAAAACGAATCCATCGACAACGTTTTTAAGGGTGAGAACGTGTATTCATTGAATCCAAATGATGCGCTCACCACTAATATCAATCCAGCGGGCCGTATAAACGAAGACCGGCCTGACATTGCCGCTAAAGAGGCTCAGAATAATGTTGAGGGCTCAAAGGACAAGTTCGACGTCTTCTTTGTCCATCCAATGCCCAATGAGGAGCCTCCAACATACTTCAACTCGAGTGCAGCCTATCCCTCGAGTGTTTTTCCTCGTACACCCCCGAATTCGAAAGCTAGCTTAATTAAACCAATTGATCATTTGCTGTCTCGTTTTTCCGATACAAGGCTTCACAGCTCTACACCGACCGAGCCTGAATTAAGAGGCTCGAGAGCCGTTGAGTCTAGCGAGGACGTGCACATGATTAACGACTTTGAGCCTGCGCATATGCCCACTAGCGGCACCATTCCTTACTCTGGTCTTTCTCGCGCAGACGGGAAGACTTCTATTTCGTTTGACGGACTAACGCAGTCCGAAGCCGAAGGCTATCTACTAACAGAAGCCTCTAGATATAATGATTATCATTCCGTCTACATCCCCAATGTCGTTCACGCCATCGAGTCCTACTGTTTTTGCCAGGACGAACTCATCGCGAACGACTGGAACGTGCATCTATTCCACGACGGCACTTACCCTGGACACCCTGTTATCTCTGGGGGACAGAAACTCCCCACCGGTGGACCTCGTTCGGGCCGAACGTGGCAAGAACGCGTCCACGAAATCACTGATCATCGTGCCCACACTCGACACCTTATCCATCTCGTTGAAACCATCCTTTCGACTCGTATGCTCGCAGAAGCATCTACCCGCGCCGGCACCATTAAATGTGACAACTCCCTTCACGTTCAGGGGGGGTTAACAAATTCTACCTATGCCGGGCGCTACGACGACGTTAACCCGTTCTTTTCGGTGAGCGAGGCTAAACGTTTTAACTCATACGCAGCTATTGCCGAGGCCCACGGAGAACCAGAATTGGCCTCGAAAATTCTCGACACTCTACTTATGCCCTTCCCTGATGAGGACACCATTAGTGCCCTTACTGAGTCTCGACTTCTTGATGTTGGGACTATTCGTGACATCCTTCGTTTCGCGTTCGATCGAGACCTTGTTCTCAGGATCGCGAGAACTGGACTTGTCATTGTGGCTACCTCCCCTTTTCAGTCCGAAATGTTCGAAGGGTATGTTCTCTCGGACATTGATGAAGAGGACGAGGATGAGCAGCCGAAGCCGAAGAAGTTTTTTCTCTAGTGTTCTAGAGGTGAACTTTTTCAATTCTATACCATTTTCATTACTCATTTCGAACTCTAGTGATTTTCAAGCCTCGTTTTTTGCCTTATCGATTTTTCTGGCCTCAAGCTCGTTTTTTCTTCCATCGTGTAAATTTCCTTATCGACTTCTACTCGTTCTCGTCAAAATCAACTTATCAACAAAAACATGGACCCTCGTTTCCATTGTTTCGAAGCTATGTATTTATATTGCCATCATTTTCTTATTTTCCCTTTTCATGCTTTGCCTCATGAGTTTGTGTTTGTTTGTTCTTATACAAAACCCACAATGCAGGCTTCCATGTTCGCTTTGTAAGCTACGAAGTATAGGAGAAAAAAGTCAAGAAGTGATAGCTTTAGATACGAGTTACTTGTTCCGTAATTCGATTCTTTTGCGGTCCGAAAACTTGTCTGATTTTTCTAAGCCCAATCAACACAAAAACCTTAGTCTTAGTGTCTCTAATGTTTTTGAGACAGTTTCAACATCTGAATGTCTAGTCTATCCCCAAGACTTATTGGAGGATGAGACCATTGCAGATTGCTACGAGAGACTTAAGGATTCACAAAATTCTTGTTATCAAGAAACCGAAGATGACTCGGACAGCGAGTCTGATCTTATCATCACAACGGAAACCGATTGTCTACCTGAGGAAAACCCCGTGCTTACTATGTATAAACGAGTTGACAAGAAAGTGAAGCCCGTGTCTGGTAACTTTTCCTCAGGAAGCTCGCGTGGATCGTCATTTTCCGCACGACCCTCTACGAAATTTAATCCATTTGACTCCATATCCTCCCAATTTCGTTCCTAGTGATCACTTAACCCAAGAAAGACTTCAAAGTCTAAAATTAAACTCACAAGGATTTCTTTGGCCTGAGGAGGAGAAGCTTTTTCAACATGTTATGCTCTTAAACCAAGAAACACTCGCCTTCGAGGAAACCGACAGGGGGACCCTCAAGGAATCATACTTCACTCCGTATATTATTCCCACCGTTCCACACGTGCCTTGGGAATACAAGAATATTCCGATCCCGCCTGGGATACGTCAGAAAGTTATTGAACTACTCAAGTCCAAGATCAATGCAGGAGTATACGAACCAAGCCAATCTGCTTACCGCTCACGATGGTTCTGTGTACTTAAGAAAAATGGTAAACTCCGACTAGTTCATGACCTCCAACCATTAAACAAAATTTCTATTCGAGACTGCTGGTCTCATTCCAATAGTGGATGATTTCGTAGAATCATTTGCTGGAGCTCAGTGTTACACCTGTGTTTGATTTATTCTGGGGATTTGATGCACGTAAAATGCACCCAGATAGCCGAGATTTAACAGCCTTCCTAACTCCATTAGGATTGCTCCGATGGACATCATTACCAATGGGATATACGAACGCGCCTGCAGAATTTCAGAAATGTACGAGCTTTGTTCTGCAGGACGAAATCCCTAAAGTAGCCAATGTTTTTATTGATGATCTTCCTGTCAAAGGACCAAAGACCATCTACCCAGACAATGAAGGAAATCCCACGGTCTTAAAAGAAAATCCAGGGATTAGACAATTTATTTGGGAACACGCAAACGACGTTCACCGAGTGATGCACCGTATCAAAGACGTAGGTGCAACATTTTCCGCTACAAAAATTCAACTATGCCTTCCTAGTGTGCTTATCGTTGGACAAAGGTGCACACCAGAAGGAAGACTACCTGATACTGAGAAAATATCGAAAATTCTTAACTGGCCAATCCCTTCCACAGTCAAGGAAGCTCGAGGATTTATGGGCCTTTGTGGAACTGTTCGTATTTGGATACTAGGATTTTCCGAGCTAGCAAAGTCTATTACTCAGCTCTGGAAAAAAGACACCCCTTTCATTTGGGGGGAGAAACAAAATGAAGCATTTGAAACTTTGAAGGAGCGTGTATGTTCAGCACCTGCCATGAGAAGTATTGACTACACCTCTTCAAACCCTGTTTACCTTTCTGTTGATTCCAGCTTCATAGCTGTGGGAATCATCTTGTCACAAATCGATGATGATGGAAAAAGACGTCCAGCACGCTATGGTTCTTTACCTATGGGAGAAGCAGAGTCACGTTATTCCCAACCTAAGCTGGAGCTCTATGGTCTTTTCCGTGCATTACGTCACTATCGACTCCACATTATTGGAGTACAAAACCTTCATGTTGAAGTTGACTGCAAAATATATTAAGGGCATGCTTAATGAGCCCGATCTTCAACCCAATGCCACAATTAACAGATGGATTCAAGGAATCCTACTATTCGATTTTACACTTCATCACGTACCTGCTACCAATTTTAAAGGACCAGACGGCCTATCTCGACGCCCTCTTGGTTCAGACGAAGAAATCACACCCGAAGACGATTCTTGGTTAGATGAGATCGTTTTATTGTCATCTATCACAAGTTCTTCCACCAAATCATATAGCGAAAGCACACTACCATCTGTATACTTGTCAGCTGCTGATCACGAGCAGACTTTGACTGACATTTTTAAATTCCTCACTACATTAGAAGCACCAAGCTTCGAGAGTACTGCAAAACGAAGGAAATTTGTCAAGCGAACCACTAGGTTTTTCGTTCAGAATGGCAAAATGTATAAACGCCTACCTGACAGACCACCTTTACTTGTCATTTTCGACCCTGAGAAACGAATTTCTATACTCATGGGTGCACACGAAGAATTAGGCCACAAAGGAATTCAATCAACCTTTGAAACCGTACGTTACAGATTTTTCTGGCCTCACATGTATACCGACGTCAAGCATCACGTGCAGTCTTGTCATGACTGTCAAATTCGAACCGTTAAGAAAATGCACATTCCTATCACTGTCTCTACACCTGCTACAATTTTCACAAAGACATATATCGACATACTCAAGATGCCTACCGGGAATGGTATGAAGCATCTAGTGTTAGCTCGTGATGATCTCTCACGATTTGTAGAAGGAAGAGCACTACGATCTGCGTCCGCCAAAGCTATGGCCAAGTTCTTCTGGGAAGACTTGTATTGCCGATATGGTGCAATTGGACAGATTGTCACAGATAATGGCCCTGAAGTTAAGGGAGCATTCCAACAGTTACTTGAACAAGTGGACATTCCACATATTCAAATCTCACCCTACAATTCACAAGCCAATGGGGTAGTTGAACGTGGACACTTCAATATCAGAGAAGCAATAGTAAAAAGTTGTGGAAAACACATCTCACGTTGGCCTGAGAAGGTTCCTCAGGCACTCTTTGCCGAAAACATTACGACCAGTCGTGCAACTGGATTCTCACCATTTTACCTCCTTCATGGAGTACATCCCTGTCTTACCTTTCGATCTTACTGAGACTACATTTCTTGTTGATGGATTTCACGCGAATATGAACTCCGTTGATTTCCTCGCATTACGAATACGCCAAATCGAAAGAAGAACTGAAGACTTGAGACGTGCAGCAAAGACCTTGAAAGAAGGCAAGATTTAAGTCTAAGCTTCAGTTTGAACAAAAATATCACCTCAGGATGCATAAGAAATCATTCCATCCTGGTGATCTTGTCCTTGTCCGAAACACTCAAGTTGAGAAAGAATTGAATCGCAAAACCAAACCAAGATACTTAGGACCCTTTGTTGTTGAGAGACAAACCAAAGGAGGATCTTACATTTTACGAGAAATGAATGGAACTCTGTCTAGACGTGGTGTAGCTGCCTTTAGATTGATTCCGTATGTCAGCCGAAGTGATCCTGCCTTACGCGAAATTGCTGATACCCTTGTCGACGCTCAACACTCTGAGGAAAATTTATCGTCATCAGAATCCGATCATTCTTCTCTCTCTTCGGATTATTAAACCATTGCACCGTCAACGGCAAAGACCACATATCAAAATTTATGTCCATGATGTTCAAATTTCATCGAAATTTTTTCGACCTCTTCAGTTAAAAAATCTACTACGCACACAACTGGGGACAGTTGTAATTTCTTGTGCCGGGTGGATGTCATGCATGGTATGCAGTTCATACCATGACATGTGTGCTATACAAAAGATAAGGAAGGTATAATGAACTGTACTCTACCATATCACCAAGTGATTCTATCATTTTCCATTGATTCATCAGTCTGTTTTCTGAAGCCTCGTTTCTCGTGTTTCATTTCTCGTATCATACACGGGGATTTCTATGTATTTCTATTTTGTTCTGTGACCTTCCATTTCTTTCTATTTTTCTTGGCTTATTCATCAGACTTTCTCACTAGCTGACTGATCATGTTTGTAATCAGGTCATGTGACTGGGAAATAAGGTGATTTGTAAGGATTCAGCCTGACTCATCATGTTTTGTCATTGATTCGTCATGGTTTGTAAGACTTGCAACTGTATTTATAATCTTCTTAGTAACCAGGATGACTCAGCTCACCAAAAGGCTTGGTTTGTAAGCACAATCTTACCAATCCATGAGATGACTCATGCCTTTGACTGATCATGCTTTGTAAGATTTCACTGTATTTATAATCTTCTTAGTAAACAGGATGACTCAGCTCACCAAAAGGCTTGGTTTGTAAGCACAATCTTACCAATCCATGAGATGACTCATACCTTTGATTTATCATGCTTTGTAAGATAGCACTGTATTTATAATGTATTTAGTAAACAAGCTGACTCAGCACACCAAATGGTAGGGTTTGTAAGCACATTCTTACCAATCCATGTGATGAATCATGCTTAGTAATCTGGCCTCCAAAAAGGTATAAAAGGAGCCCATTTTACACCCTGTGAATATAGCTTCCCACTTTACACATAAGTGCAGGCCATTGGTGCCTAGAAGACATTGAAACTTCCCACTTTAAACCTATCCCACTATTTGAGAGTGAGATTAAGGCAAGACATAGTCAAAGTGCCGGTGAAGTACGAATTTAAGTTAAACTTCCACTCTAAACCTATCCCACTATTTGAGAGTGAGATTAAGGCAAGACATAGTGAGGGTGCAAGTATCATTTCAACAAAGTAACTGCTAGTTATACGATTAACTAGGTTGCTCGCTATTACTATTTTATTGAGCTAAGCTCCACGTATACTTAACGAATACCTCTCTCTTTTACGGCTTAGAGAGACACGAAACAGGAGAACACGACAAAGTTGAAACAGACTTTCATAGGTTGAAACACGACCTACTAGGGTGAAACATACCTATCATATTTCTATTCACGACAAATCCACAGTTGCATTTCTATATAGTTTCTTCAAACAAATAGAGGTAACTTGTTTACTCTTTGACCACCCACGAACGACACGTTATCAACCGAGAAGTGAACAAAAATCCGTTGACCGTGGACTTGAGGAGCTGGCAACTTTTAGTCTTATGAAAGTGTAGTTGTGATTGTCACTGCATTTTTACACGCTTCTATATAAGACCCTCAAGTAACAAGACAGCGGAGACAGGTAAGCACTGCCCTCATGATGCCCTCATCGATGATGTACATACTGATATTCTCAAAACAGCAAATACGAACCTGGTTTAATTATAGGTCCCAACGAAGTGGCCGTTCCGCTGTGAACTCAATGACTAGAGTAATCCAGAAAACGTTAACCAACAAAGCAAAAGGAACTCGGGTTCATACCCCTGCCGAGATCTTTTCGACCATTGCCTATAAGGAGGAAGTAAAAGAGCGGGTTCAAGACGCCATTAAGTCCGGCGAGCTCGTTACTAAACAGGAAAAATTGACAGCTATTCGAAAACTTACACGCGAAGCATATGAAGCCGCACCACCAGAAGTCCAAGCTTTGTGTGAGGAGAAGGTCCGAGAAGAGCACGAAGCGAAAGTCACACTTATTGAAAAATCCGCACCTACCAATAAACAGTATGCAACGTAAGTTTCGGCTTTTGCCCGTACACCAATTTCCCATTGCTTATACATTATTACCAGCGCTCTCCAGGAGTGTACTGCTCCCATTGCGCAGTTCTTGCAAGTCATCAAGGACATGACAGGGTGGGAATGGACTGTTATTGGTGCTGGGCCTGACCCTCATCTTGGTGGCAAACTAAATGCGATGAGGTGCGTCTCATATTCGCTCATTCATTTTCAGAATGCTCAAGACTTCTTAGTTACCATACAGGAGTGAATGGAGATGGACACAATTGGAGGCAAGCCACCCCAAAATTCATTGAGAAGCATCTCAATCCATACTTGGAATTTGTTGGAACACTGTTTCGTGAGTAACATTTCCGTTTGATGGTCGGTCACACATACTCATTGGATTCAATAGCCGAGCATGTCAGAAAGTCTCGTGCCATGGACGTCGTCGCCCCACTCACAAACAGTCTATCACCCACAACTTCACTTGCAAACGGTCTACCACCCGCGATTTCATCTCCCTCAGGTGAAGGATCTGGGTCACTGGAGGGTGCGTCATCGACCGTGACTCCAGCATCACATGGAACTGCCCTGCATGCCCCCCTCACACTCTCGGACACCCTGCGAGGTGTCGACTCGTCTCAGATGCAGACACTCTCGGACACCCTGCGAGGTGTCAATTCGTCTCAGATGCAGACACTCTCGGACACCCTGCGAGGTGTCGACTCGTCTCAGATGCAGGGACCTCTGCCTTTCAGCAACCCCCTTGGCCTTACCTTTGATAACGAAATGTCCACCAACTTTGGCACTGACACCTCCATGTCCCTCAATCCATATGACGCCAGCTTCGCCAGCACATCATCATCTAACTACGATTTCGCTTTACCTGCCTGCTCCTTGTCATCCAGCGAAAATACACCGGCATCCACTATGGGAGACACAAGCGCCGGCCTTACCTTTGACAATCAAATACCCGCTGGCTTTACCACCGACGCCATGTCTTTTGATCCCTATGGCACCAGTGTACCCAGCACCCCGGCATCCAACTTCGATTTCATTTTACCTGCCCACTCCTTATCATCCGGTGCAACCACCCCAGCGTCCACTATGGGAGACTCATTGCCAGATCTTACCTTATCATCCAGTCCAATGCCATCATCTAGTCCAATGCCGGAAACTCCCATTACCTCATGGAGGAAACAGATGTACAGTACATCCACGTCTGCCCTCATGACACCCCCTCGCCTTCGCTTCCGCAGTACATCCGCTATTGCCACCCCATTACCGTCTTTTGCCCCCTTCCCGGTATCAACGGAAAAGTATAACTTCAGTTCCTCTACACACCCGCCTGATCCTCCAGTGGTTACAGCTGCTGGAACAGCTCAGGTTTTGGCGCCACCGGTAGTATCCTCTGCTAGTGGTTCCAGCTGTGCCAGGGACTTGGATTCTGCTCTTACACACCCTCCACTGTTGAGGTTGCCCAGGTTTCAGAACAGCTGGCGCTCCTCCCTTCTGATGTCGGTAGTGCATCGGGCTCCGCTGTGCAAGCCGATGACGTAGTTGTTCCTGCTGTTAGGAAGACAAAGCGCGTGCGCCAGCAGACGACACGTTTGGCACAGGCTGATAGCATAGGTGGCCATTCTCAAAAGAGGTTTGTGATTTTGAGTGTTTATTATTTGCAAGCGCGAACACTAACTCAATTCTAGGAGGAGAAAGGCTATGTGATACTACCTACATTTTGTGTTCTGTCGATGTTTACGTGTCTTGTGTTGTTGACATATTGAGAATATGAGCATATTTCTTGTTGAGACTTCGCGTTTTGTGAGATGAAAGGCAGATTTTCAAGGCAGACAAGACATAAGCGTGAAATTTTGCATGATCAGGCACAAGAGCAACCAGTCTTATTAATATTTTCAAGGCAGACAGGACATAGCGTGAATATTTACATATCTAGGCACGAGAGGAGCAGCCAGTCTTAATACTCAGGCAATACCGATACCTAGAAATGAATTAAAATTCCGCTGATGCGCAGAGATCGATGAGGGCTAGGCCATCAAAGGTACGGCAAATGTAAAATCTCGATTTCCTGCCAATTCGGGGTGCGGGGAACCAGGGGATATAAGGCGTGTCCCGCTGAGGGTGTACAAGAAGGGGGATGGGCTAAATCAGGCTAAGAACTGCCAAATCGGGGTGCGGGGAACCAGGGGATATAAGGCGTGTCCCGCCGAGGGTATACAAGAAGGGAGATGGGCTAAATTAGGCTAAGAGCTGCACAAAGTGGGTACCCGAATTGAGAAATGGTGTGGCGGATCATCTCTGGCAGCATTATGCATGGTGGGAATCTATTATGCATAACGGCTCACCCATCTAGAACTACAGACAACCATGCATAACCATGCAGTTTCTTACCACACATGGTTATGCATAATTTGGACAGTATAGCCTGTTACCTTGTTGAATTCAGATTCCCCGCCAGCCTCAAAACCACGTGAATCATGAAAGACGAAACCTGGGTTGTTTCTGAACACCATTTCATTCTCGATGTCGTGCTGTCCGCGCTGAGAATACGTCAAGCCTTCATGTTACTACCAACTAATTGCATAGCTTGCCTCTCTAGATGTCATCAAAATGGCGGAATCGATCTGATTTCGATGGGTCAATGATAGCTTCTTACCACTACTAGCGATGCGCACCTTTTCCCCAGCGCTGTCATATATTTCTGGACTGTCTTGTGTGCCACAAACCCTCTGTAGGATGGTGGTTTTTCCTGCATTCGCCCTTCCTATGATGAGGACCCGGAACCGTTCAAATTTCCGTCTCAAGTTGAAAGGATCCATGAAAGTAGGTAAAGGAAACCGGGAAGCGTTCAGTGCCGCAGATCCGGTTTCAAGTGTGTGAACTCTATGCGCGCTACTGGCTCAACGGGCCATTAATGGGCATGTAGTACATCACGAGTCGAACCATCTCGCTGCAGCTAAGCAATTCTCCAGATTTCGCAATGTCATATGTTCTTTGTGGTCTGTCGACGTATGTTCGTCCAGTCCGGGTGGCCGTGGTAACCCCTTTCATTCGGTTTCAACTTATTTTCGACCAGCTGTATCCTAGACATAGAATCCGAGACCACAACGTAGCAGATCACATTATCCCGGAACGATCTCATATAACGAGCTGTCTATTTCGTTCAAGCCGAGAGAGATTCAAATCGTGATACCGGCTTCAATTGTGAAACCGCGCGTTGTGTCTGGTGAGAAGTAAATATGAAAGGCTGGAGGTCACCATTGTAGTTATTCATCCACTGTAACCTCCTCCTTCAGCATGGCAGATACGTCAAGGAATGTTTATCAGAGTGGTTGCATCGTATTGCATGGTAAGTCAGATCGACAAGCAAAGAAACATGAAACACGTAGCCTCTGCGTATTGTATATTGCAGATGGAGGTGAGGAGGTGTGTGGTATAAAAAAGGACGGTCCAAAACATAGTAGAAAGGCGTGTAATCGGGTAGAGGCACGCGGGAAATCATCGGGACGATGACATCGTAGATTGATGACGACCATCCGTGTATTCAGGAGACAAACAACCAACGAAGAGCCAGAAGCGAGTCCAGCACCCAGCCTGTCTTATTGTCGCGTCAGGGCGTGAGGAAGTGGAATTTGTAGCTGCGGTGGTATCACCAATAGCAGGTGTGGTAGACGAATTGGAAACAGGTGGTCGTGGTTGCGAAGATGGCTGTGTCTGAGTCGCACCACTGGCTTGTGTGGCGTTGGGCTTGGGAGGCCGCGAGCTGCCCAGAGTGGTGCGTAATGGTTTCTTTTTTCGTTTCTCTCTTGCTGACGCATTCCTCTACATAATGTGAAGACGAGTCAAACGTCTGAGAAGGAGAAAAAACATACACGTTTTCCCTGTGCGTACGGGACCTCAACAACTGCTGGGCTGCTCCCGTGGAATTCGATGCCTTCACTATCTCGTCCGCGCCGTTTCAAAAGGTGTCGAGCCCAGTCGACAGAGGACGGTGAGGTATCACGTGCATCGGAGTGGCTGCGGTGGAATAAGCGGCCAAGAAATGTGCTTCCTTGCGGTGCTGAGGAGTGGAGGCGGCTTCGTGGAGAGATCTGAGCACACGAAGTCAGAAAAAACATCAAAGTGATAGTAATGACATACATGTTCTCGTGTGTCATCGAAAAACCCTTGGGGTACCCAATGGGCAGGCTGACGTCGCTGGACCGCATGTCGTGTAGCATTGACCTATAGTGTACGTGTTTGAACGCAATGAGATATTTTACGAAAGTGTTACATACACGGAGTTCCGACTTGTTGGCCTGGCAGAGCGCATTCAGTTGTGAGAATGAAATAAATGAGGTATGTTGACTCACCTGTGGATCCAACAGAAGTTTGTCGAGACCAGCTTCTCTAACAACGGTAGCAATATCCCATGTGTACGCATTGGTGTCCCAGGAGCCAGTTGCTAGTAGTTTTCCATCCGTAGAAAATGAGACGCAGACAAGTGCATGTGTATGTTGGAGCGGAGAACTGATAGGCTGGCCGTTGTCGAGGTTCCACAATCGCGCTGTCTGGTCGACCGATACACTTGCGAGGATGCGGCCATTTGGAGATATTGCCATGCCATAGATAAGAGAAGTGTGCTCATCCAGAACTACGACCTCCTTCCATGATTTTGTATCCCATGTCCGAATCAAGTCATAGTATGACCCGGAGATGAGCGTTTTTCCATCCGGGGTCCAAGCCAGACACATCACAGTATTTGTGTGTCCTTTGAGAGTTGCGACAAGTTCGCCTGTCTTCGCATCCCAGATTTCAATCGAAGACTCGGTTTCATCTTCAATCCAGGGTTTATCATGTCCACCAGTCGCAATCATGGTAGTGTCTGGCGAATAGACGACTGCGTACACTGCGAAATGCCCTGTCTTGATTAGCCCGGGTGCCAGGATCGTCTCTCCGCTCTCCACATCCCATTGCCTTACAGTCCCATCAAAAGATCCGCTCACCACTCGCTGACCATCTCGACTCCAATAGAGAGACCACACTTCCTTTGTGTGTCCCGTCCATTTCGCGATGACCTTGCATGTCTCGATGTCCCACAACCTCACTCCACCGTCCCTGCTCCCGCTAACCACTTTCTTCCCATCTGGGGATAACGTTATACTGAGCTCGCCACTGTCTCCGTCCCGCCAGTCTTCTCCTATCTGTTTCCCGCTCTCCAAGTTCCATACCCGCAGCAAGCCATCTTCTGAACAAGTAATCATCTGCTGTCCGTCAAGCAGGTGTATGGCGCCCCAGACCACCGCGGTGTGTCCTTCAAATTTCTGGCGAGGCGTTATTGCTGATATCTCTTTCTTTTTGGTGGTGGGCGGAGACATTCCAGAATTTTAACTACCGAGTGCAGCACTGTCTCAGCTTTCGCCCATCAAATTCCAAATTCATTACTTACCGAGGACGATAGCGACGGGCGGAAAGTAGGGGACAATGGGAGTTCAGGTCAAGTCAGAGAGTACATCAGGAAAAAGGTCGGACGCGAGTTGCACGCCGCAACAGTATATAGCACTACGTAGCCTTGGTAGTACAATAGAGCACCTATAGACCATCCATTGCACTAAATATCGCAATGTAGCGAGCCGTGAAGCCAATAGTAGCTATGTAATCTTCCCAACAACTCATAGTCAATATTGCACCCTATAGTTAATAGTAATGGTAGCATAGCTATACAGACAAGCGGTCAAACAATTCCAGATCTATGTACCTGTTAAGATAAAAGTCTTCGCGCACGTCCGACTCTCGACCAACGCGAGGGATAAGATGGCATGGGCGAAGAACTTGATGGACCGGTACCACCAGTGCGTTAGGACCACGCTGACGTGAAGACTTGCTGAGGCGGAAGCTGTGCACATTTTCATCAAACGTTTGAAGGGGTCGAAACCAGTGAATATAAGCCAGCGGGTGTGGAAAATTACCGAGACGTGATGGAAGCTTGAAAATGACTCGGACTTCGGCCACTCGCAGACCTAAGGTAGGTCAGAACGAGCCCACAACCAATTTATGATGCTCACCAGATATACCTCGACCGGTGTACTCATTCCCATCTTCAATCACCAACACACTGTCAAAGTGTGCAGGTGACGGCGGTCTCCTCACGTCTGACGCAGGAATCACTGGCGACGCACGAACTTTGAACAAGCACTTGCGGTTGTTGATATGGGGTCGTGGTGGAGAGAGAATCTTGAGGTACTTGTAAACATCCACCCGATCTTGCGATGTGAGTTTTCGGCGTGACCAGCTTCGAACATGTTTCTGAAGGAATTCTTCAAGAGCTGGAATGAAAAGGGATGCATCGTGGTCGGTAAGTAAGCGCTGGATTGTTGAATTCGGAAACGGACATGTCCTAGGGACGAAGTAGCCACGAGAACCCGTTGCCATTGTGAACCGTTGGACCTGAGAGGGTAAGTCAACATGGTTATCCAATAGTCCAGGTCCGACTCCTGCGCCATCCGAATCTGAACCAGAGTCACTGGCATCCGAGTCTTGCCACTCTTGATTGACGGGGTGATGGGATTCCCACCAGCGAATGTAGGCATCTTGAATGTGGATGGACTCTTGACGTTGTAGCCAGGTTGTCATTTGCATGACGTAGTCGCGGCGGTTCGATGCACGGTAAGCCCGTTTGGCAAAATCAATGTGTAGCCGTTCAGGCAATTCAGTGTTGAAACCGTCCGCAGTGCCGAGAAAGCGAATGGCATCGATGTAATGGATCATCGAATGAATCTTCGGAATGTTGAAGTGTTCGCGTACCCCGAGGTCGACGAAAATGTGCTTACTGGCATGGAATGAGGTGAGGGCGGCGTGCATATGGGCAAGTGTGTCATCCGTGTGCGTGCGATACTGTGCATAGTAAATGAAATCTAAGACGCCACGCACTGCCGTCAGAACTTTGTTGTCAACTGCGCCAGCAATCACACCAAGAAAGACACGCTGCAACTCGCGATAATCTGCCCCCGTCCATTGTTTGCGCTTGGATATGCCTTTTTTGAAGTGTCGGAGTCCTGAATACGACGTCATCTCCTTGAACCGTGCGTCAAGTTCTTCCTCGCCTATGATATCAGCACACCAGCTAACAATGTGATCCTTAAAAACTCCTTTATGCAGCTGATGTAGAATGTCGGGGGTGATGCATGAAAAGATGTCGTTGTGAGGGAGCGTCGCCCAGAATGGTGAGTAGATCGCTCGTAGTCCCAGCTCTCCTTCAAACTGATCTTTTCCTATTTCACCATCGCAGTGCAAGCGCAGATTTTCGACCGTGGAGTCTCGATCTCGCATTGGTGATTTCTTCATGTCCCCTCGCTCCTCTCGGCCCACTACACACTTCGGGCACCGGTTTTCCATGCAGCACGCCACCAGGCACTGCTCTGGAAAATCAGCAATATATGCTGCCACGATGGGATACAGGCGTCGTACTTGACGATCTGGGCAGGTGACATCGACTCCTTCCGCACCTACCCTGACCAATGGCTCCAGGACCAGCGACATGCAATAGTGGAAGAGCCGATAACGTTCAACGGACCGCGTGTCGCGCGTGAAGCATTCTAGCTTCGAAATCGGTAAGTATGCGATGAGGACTGTGGCGTGTTTGGATGGCTGACATCGGACATTTTTTGAGATGTTTCCGAGGCTCAGGTACACAGGCCAAACTTCCTGGTCTCCCCGGAACTGCGACAGCGAAGTCTTATCGGACGCTAGGATAACTGGAGCGACAACGGCCCCTTGGGGCAATCTTCCCTGTGGGAAAGGCTTTAGTGCGTTTTTTTGCCAGATTTGTTGACACTGGCGCTTACCTGCATCTCCCACCACCAGTCACCTGTCCACATCTCATCAAACCGCCTGGTCTTGCCCTCCACGTCTGAAAACACCCTCTCTGGTGCATAGGACACCATGTGATCGAACTCCGGATTTCCCATGAGTTCGCGGATGCACTCTACTGGGTCCCGCATCCACAACTCAAGATCCTCAGTCTCATACTGCCGTTCATTGGTGAGTTTGTTGCCCTCAACGCTTATTCTCTTCAACTGCCATTCTGTGCCGCGGGGAAGCTGATCTATTGCTTTCATCAGACTGTACTTGCTTGTGAAAGATGTTTTAAGGCAGCTCGTCTGCGCATTGGTGAGTACATTGTGAATCGCAGCTGAAACACACTGACTTACTATTGGTAGTTTCATGAATTCATCTATGGCATTTTGGCCCACCCGCGATACCAACCATTTGACAAGTCCCCATTCCTCTGCATCTGCGAACGGCGCCCATGGATCCAGGCCTCGAGCCTCTTGTTGGGCTTTGATGTCATGGAACATTGTTTCAGCGTGGCCCAGCGTTTGCGCTACCCGACCTGGGTATGACTGCACGAAACGCATCCACACACTTTCCTCATCATCTACTTCTTCAACTTGGACACCGCAATGCTGATCTGGTGTCACGGATCTTAGCTCTTCCTGTATGCCATCCGCCTGGCCATCAAACTCCCAAGGTATGTCTCCGCCAACGTCCATCTCATGGTCATTGTTGGGTGTGGCTTGTGTAGTCTCTTTTGAGGCTTGCTCGTGGTTGCGCAGCCGGTCCATGTGTTCCTTACAGGCTCTAGTTCTGCTGATATGAATGCTAACGGCTCTCGCAGTTTGGAAATTGCCTTTCAGGCAAAAATTGCAGCGGTGCATGATGGAGGAGCAGGAGGTTGACAAGCCGAAAAAGCCGACCTGTAAGTGACAGTTCGTCCGGTTTCACCTGGCTGACTTGTGCCATCTGTCCGACATCGGACATCGAAAGTTTTTTCCTCAAGATCAGTACCATCTCTCAAGATCGCAGGTTGCCAGTGCACCTGACTTCACGCGTTTGTGTTGTTGATGCAGCGCGTCGCGTCGATTGTTGATTGCAGCACGTCGATTGTTGATCGTCTAACTTCACGGACGCGACGCGACATTATAAAGGATGGGACGTTATAACAAAGGTGCGCTCTGTCCCCATATTCTCCTCCTAACATTCTAACTTCCTATTCACACCCAGAATGTCTTCTACTGCTCCTACTCGCCAAGCGCTGAGTAATCTTATCAATCACACTGATTCTGGTCCCTCTCAGCGTCAACGACGTGAACGTCGTCCTTCAGAGAAGGCCTTGTACCAAGGTATGTTAATTTTTATGCACTACCACTATTATTACTAACTATATCATACATAGTCGAGGAGGACCAAGAGCGCCGTGAGGCACGACGCCGCCCAAGTGGGCAAGAAAAAATCAAGCCCACCCGTAAACATCGTGGCGACAGAGGTGAGTGTTGACTGTCGCATCAGTTTCCGGCTACTTAATCATGCCCAGCTACACAAGACAGCACACAGTTCTCATCACAGGCCATCGCCCTGTCCAAAGGTAATGTATCAGCCAATGGTCCACTTGATCTGCGACCCCGGTTCAGCACAGTCCCCCCACGAGAGAAGCACACCCCACGGCCAAAGCCCTTCACACAGGTAAGCTTGGAATACCTTTGACCGTTAGCATTTGACCACTGATCAAACTCAAAGGTTCACACACCAGCTCCATCAAGAACATCTGTGTCTGGGGGCTCTGGGGGCGGCTGGTGTGATGACCCTCTTACCAAGGTAAGTCAGCCGCATGATTAACTTCACTTTGACTTGGACGTTGATGCTTTGTTTCCAAGGAGACTGGGTTTTTCAATCGTGAACCCCCGAATCGTGAACCCCCGCCTGCACCAAGGAAGTTGACGACGGCACGCGCCAACGAGCTCATTCAACTCCGACGTGCGCAGTCCAATGGCGACTTGAACAATGGTGTGCAATATGACGGCACTGAGCAGAATGGCGACAACTATGAAGACCACGACAACGATGAAGACGACAACAACTACAAAGACCATGACGACTACGAAGACCACAACAACAACGAAGACCCCAACACCCACGATGGGGACGACAGCGATGTGTTTGCTGGTGGAGATACATTCTATGGTGAGGGTGACGACTATGAGGGTGAGTAGTACTCTACCATCCATTCAAATGGGAGCTGAATGATCACACAGATCAGCGCCACTTGAAGCGTATGCGACTACCACCCTCAGATGATGAGGGTGAACACAGTCGTAAACGGATGCGGGAGTCCTCACATTCGCCTTCGCCACAGCAAGGTGAACAGACTCGACTTCCACGCAAGATTCATCAGAGTAAGGGCCGTGTAGCGGCCCGGGATTACGAGGTAGCGGTCCAGCAACTTATCAAGTATGCAATCAGCCATTTTTGTGTGCGGCTCGCATCCGAGTATGCCTATCCGGATCGAATGACTCAGGTATTGTGGGCGAAGGAGGCCTGGAAGGAGGCATGCAACCATTATGAGATAGAGATTGGTTTTAATGGAGAGATTATACAAATGGTACGTGTTCGAGTTCTATTATTTCATCTATCTAATTTCTTTCTGGATCAAGATTACGCGGCGCACATCGCATCTCACGAGTGAGGTGAAAGGGAAGGTTCGCCCACTTGTTGAGAGTATTTACGGTTTCGAGTCCACCAATCGGGAGTCCATCAAGTCTAGGAATCGCAAACTCGCCCGTCAGCTCAAGGATAAATTTGGGATGTGTTACCGGGTGCGTTCTCATATCTCGAGTCATGTTTTGTACTGACATTTGGTTGAAAGGACCTCGGGGACAGAAAGAACAACGTGCCTCGCAGCGGTCTATTTCGTACAAGGTTAAATCAGCAAGCAGCAAATTTAGTTTGGTACCGCAACAAGAAGGATGATGGAGTCGTGTTCGAGGACGTTTTTTCTCCATTTCCGATACCTGCATTGGCCTTGGTGTACACCGCAGTGAGTCGTGCTATTTCTCGTTGGCTTTAGCCAGTGACATTTTCGTCTGCAGGCTGAATGCTGCATCGATGAATGGTATGACGGCGAACGCACGGATATCAGCTTTTCGAGCGGTGAATACAAGGAAGCTTATGATCGACATCTCACGAACCTCAAAAAATTTCACGATCGAACGAAGGATCATGGGATACTCAATAGTATCCTCACGGAACTCAACAACAATGGCAGGTAAGTACATCTCAAGGATTTGAACTTCAAAGTTTGACAATCATACAACAGGTTGCATGCAAAGGTGGATCCGATCAATGTTGGAGACGAAGAGTGTTTGTCCGACGACGAGATCAACAAAGCAATCCGTGAATATCAACAGGTTGGCGGCGCTGAGGCCAGTGACGAGGTGGAGTCTGGCTTGGAGTCTGAGGGTGTTGATGGCGAGGCCGAGTAGAATTGACCACTGTATTAAACCGTGAATGCATGCCATTGATCTCCCTGCTATTTGCAAGTGCGCAAGCCTGAGTGCTAGTAGTATGATGTACCATGAGATGTACTTACCACAATGACTTACTATAGATCACTACATAGCTGCGCTACATTGCCAAGGTACGAGATACCAGACACTATATTGTGCAACTAAAAATATATCCTAGGCTACATGGTACAATATTGGGGGGGGAGATGCAACCAGGCTATAAGTGCTACATAGCCTCTGTAGCGCTATATTGGAGTTCCCGTTTTTCCTGATGTACGTTTGACATGCCGTACACTCATGTGAACTTTGTGAGCGCTACTGCCATTAATGGGCATGTATATCACGAGTCGATCCATCTCGCTGCAGCTATGCAATTCTCCAGATTTCGCAGTGTCATGGGTTCTATGTGGTCTTTCGACGACGAGGTTGCGCGCCAGGCTCTGTGTCTGCTTTTAATGGCGGTGTCTGGTTTGATGGGCCGTATTGTCGCCTTTCCTTCAACAATCCTGCAGTGTCCTTGCTTTTCACTTCCTCGCTGTAACATCCCAAATGGATACTAACTAGCTAGCTAGGTGGTTTTCCACGGAACATGATCACGAATCGTCTTCCAGTTGCAAAAAGGCCTTAACGTTTGTTTGTGTCTGTTTGCTCAAAAAAGTGGTTGCTCCACAGCGGATCGCGAGCTTGCGAGCGTTGACGCGTGAAGCTAGGCCTTCGTAGAGCTGTCACGTGAAGATCCTCCCTCCCAGTGCTTCTTCCTTAGTGAAGCACTGGGGCCCGTGCACTCCTCATAAGACGGGACTTCGCAGATTCTCGTTGCCTCGTTTCTTTTCTTCTCATTCCCATCTTCCTGTGCGACGCGCGTACGATTTTTTCGACCTTTTTCTTACCATACAATGACTTCCTCTAACATTATCGTACCCACCGCATCCTCTTCGGTTAATCCCGTTACTGCTACCACTAGTTTATCCTATGATCAGACCGTCGCAGAAAACACGCGTCGCGTCGCTGACAATCTCGCACTCCAAATCCGTCGTGACGCCGGGGAACTTAATGTTCCCGCAGATGAGCCCATCCTTAACCTTCCCCCCAATCCCAATGTACCGGCTAATAAGCTTCATCATTGGGTTGCCGCCTTTGCACAGCTTTCCCCAGCTTCTCAAGTACAAGGATCGGTACTTCTAAACTCTATTATGCCCAATCAATCTTCAACTGCTTCTCGTCCCAACGTCACCCCCGTCGCCAAAGTCTTATTTGACAGTTCCAAGGAGGTGCTCTCATCCGGCACCATCGACTCCACTTACAACTTCGGGATCCATTCATTTATTCAAGATCTCGCTGACGCTGGACAATACTGTCCGCTCACGCTGTTTTCGGCTGAAAACACTGAACGTCTACATCGGGAAGGCCATTCCCTTAAGCGCACCAAGACTCACGTTAACGGGCTATCACACCATCTCCTTGATCTCTCACAATTTGAGAGCGAAGTCAACCTCGACACTCTCACTTGGCAAGAAGCGTACCAACGATACCTCACTTGGATCGCCGATGTCGGCGATCAAGCATCCCTCAAGCGATGGACCAATCATTTCTCTCTGCTCTCGAAGGACGAAGCCGTTCGCAAGAATTTTCGTGCCATTCTCGAATTCGACATCGAGACCCGTCAGAACTACGCTCTCCGCCCCCACCAGCACAATCAAGCTGAGTGGGAAGCTCGCCTCCAGCGGAAAAAGTATTCTACTCTCCAAGACGCCTTCTTTACTGATCGTTCTTTTCCTGACCGTCAACCTTCTTCGCTTGGTACCCGCTACGAGCCTTACGACCGCAATGCCTCTGTTAAGCGCAACAACAAGAGAACATCAGACACGCCAACCCCTTCCTTTCGTGACTCCAACAAACCCTCTCAGTCCACCGACCCTCTCTGCATCATCTGCGGAAGACTCGGCCACCGTTTCTCTCTCTGCAGCGAAGAGACATCGGCGAAAGGCTCACAAACTTTCGCGAAATACGCTTCCGGAAACTTGTGTCGCCGTTCCAGTGGCACCCAGATCTGCGTCGGATTCAACCTCAACAATCCCCGTCGCGTCTGTAAACGAGAACATGTGGACCAACACGTCTGTTCCTTCTGCGGAAAAACAGAACACGGTGCGCTCTCGCGCCAGTGTATCTGAGACTCCGCACGAAGACACTTTCTTGACGTGGACCCCAAGCGTCCCCACTTCTTGCGCAGCTCTTCCTCGTCACATTTACTTCGATTCTCTGCAGCATCAGTCCTCTTCGCATGATTCCGACCCCGATTTCTCTCGCATCAACACGCCATATTCAGCAAACGGCTTCGACAATCTCTTGCGACGCACCAATCTCGTCGACCAATACCCCGAGCTCACTTGGAAGCTCCGAAATGGCTTTCCCATCGGCAACCTCGATCCCCTCACTTCCACTTACACTCCCAATAATCTCCCTGGTGCCGACATGTTCAAAACAGTCTGCGACGAATACGTCGCAGACGAGCTCTCCAAAAATCGCTTCTCGGGGACGTATACGCACGAGGAGCTCTTCAACAAGATTGGACACTTTCGTTCCTCTCCTCTCCAGGTCGTTGTTAAAGCAGGCATCGACGGAGAACCAGACAAGTATAGAGTTTGTCGTAATCTATCCTACCGGGGCTCTGCAGGCCATTCCATCAATGATGGAATTGATTCTAGCGAATATCCCACGACGTGGGGTACCGCGGCCGAATTTGCGGACATAGTACGTTTTACCCTTCTCTCTCGCACCACTTTCTCGCGTCTTTCCTCTGGCTGGATGCACTTTGCGTGTCGTGTCTCAGGTTCACCTGTTTCATTGCGCGTTCGAAGGCACAGTCAAGAGAGTCGCATTTTCGGTGCACACCACTGTCTCACATCCATACTCAACATCCATCGCAGATCCGCGACGCACCTCCAGGTGCGCAATTCGCTACCTTGGACATCGAGGCAGCGTATCGCAGCATCCCGTGCCTCCCAATGCACAAAGCTTACCTCATTGTCTATCACGACGGTAAACTTTATATTGATCATAATATCCCATTCGGACTCTCATCTGCCACTGGTTTGCAAGGCGAAGTTGCGGACGCAACAGTGGACATCTGGCACGCTCTCGACATCAAACCCACCAGCAAATGGGTTGATGACGTCTACATCTGGCGTTTCCCCACGTCTCACGGCATATTCTACGGTCTCTCAAACGGCCAAGTCCACTACTACGACTATGATCTATCCAGTGCCAAGTCTCTCGTCGCAGAAGCCAACATTCCATGGCACGAGTCCAAAGGTCAACCGTTCAAGGACGACGGAGAGTACGTGGGCTTCTTTTGGAGCGTCCCCGACAGAACTGTCGTTCTCGTCGAACGAAAGCGGCGAAAATACATCTCTCGCCTGTCAGACTTTATTGCCCTCTTTGAACACGCTCGCGTCTCTCTTCGCGAACTCCAGCGCGTCTCTGGATGCCTCACTCACGCCACATTTGTATATCCTCATGGGCGTTCATACCTTTCCAGTGTTTATAAAGCCATAGCCGCTTATCCAGACGAACACGCCCCTCGTTGGCTCCGCAAATCCGCCGTCTCTGATCTCAAATGGTGGTTAGAACTCTTACGTTCGGATCCCACACCCATTCCTCTATCTCCGCGTCCTCCCACTCACGATTATGGAATTTGGGTTGACGCCTCCACCACAACAGGCATAGGCATCGTGTGGAACGAACACTGGGACGCATGGTCCACCACGCCTAAATGGCGAGGTCCATCCCGCGATATCGGCTGGCTTGAGGCAGTAGCAGTTGAGTTAGCGGTTCGCCTTATCCACTCAAAAGGCATCACGGACGCCGACATCCTCATTCGCAGCGATAACCAAGGTGTTATTGCTGCCTTCCAGAAAGGCAGGAGCTCCAATTTCCAAATCAACCTGTGCATTCAACGTTCCGAGGAACTACTACGCGAATCGTGTGTCTCTTTATCCTTGATCTACGTAAACACTCTGATCAACCTGGCGGATCCAGTGTCGCGAGGTATATATCCTCCCTCGCACCTTCGTTTACCTTCACCTCCCTCCATTCCCAAACCCATTCATCGTTTCTTCTCCCATGCAAGAGAGTGATCTCTATCGTGAATTCATGGAGGGTGTTGATGTCCGCGCTTCTGCAGACGAATTTTGGGCAGGCATCGCCTCCACACCCTCCGTCCTACGAGAATCTGTCGCGCAATCATTACAAACCTCTCGCCCACGTACATCACGTTTTCGCCCTGGTTCTTCTATCGCTCCTTCTTCTCATCGTCCACCTGTCCTCGCTAGCGACAGACTCCTTATATGGTCCACTCCGGCAGGTCTTGAGTGGCAAGCCGATCTTGAACGCAGATTCCCTGATCATTCTTTATATCGTCTCTTTCACGTACGCCATCCCGCGTCCTTCTCTTCTATACATCCTAATGCATCTTTAGGTCATGATCCGTTCCCTTGATCAAGACACGCGCAGTAATTATGGAGCTGGGCTCCTGCGTTTCACGCAATTTTGCGATTCAATCAACGTCCCAGAACACGATCGCATGCCCGCTTCAGAGGTTCTTGTTGCTCAATTCGCAGCGGCGCATGCCGGCTCCGCGTCTGCAAAGACTCTTAACAATTGGCTATGCGGCTTACAATTCTGGCACATTATCAACGGCGCACCTTGGCCTTCAGCTTCCTTATTGCATCACACTCGCAGAGGCTTCTCTAAGATGGTTCCTCCGTCCTCTCATCGTGCAAAACGTCCTCCCGTGACCATAGAAGCTTTATCCATTCTGTTCGACAATCTAGATCCTGCGTCCCACCTTGACTGCGCTGTCGGTGCCGTTGCCATGGTAGCCTTCTGGTCCTGCTGCCGTTTGGGTGAACTGCTCATCCCTAGCCTGGGGCTATTCAATCCTCTTAAACACGTGTCACGCTCCATACTGCCGCTCAACTTCAATACTGCAGCGGATTCCACCCGATCCGTCTCCTTCCCCATACCTTGGACAAAGACCACCAAGGAAGTTGGCGCGGACATTTCTGTCACGGCACGCAACCATCGAACTTGCCCAATCGTCGCTTTGGAACTTCACCTTTCCGTCAACACATCCATCCCCTCATTTGCTCCCCTTTTTTCCTACCAAGACACCTCAACCACCGGTTGGGTGCCACTCGCCAAGCCAGTCTTCATGAGGCGGTGCAGTGAGATTTGGGAGGCGCAAGGATTCCCAGCTCTACCAGGTCACGCGTTTCGCATAGGCGGAGCTACTGAGCTCTTGTTGGGGGGCATACATCCAGACATTGTCGCAACTCAAGGTCGTTGGAATTCCAGATCCTTTCTAGATTACTGGCGTCGTATCGAGACCATCTTGCCACTTTTCGTATCAGCATCTTACAATCCGCAACGTTTTACTGAATTAGACTCGCTCATGAATACCTTTGCTCAACATCATCATCTTCCACGTTCGGCCGCTTCATCTTAATCATCCCTCTCCACGTTACACTTAACTTAGGCCATTTGTCTGCTACTTGTGCGCTCTTGTTCTCATCGTGCAATGCATCTTTTTCGCTCAGCTCTATGTGTGTGGTCGGTCTCCGAAGGAGACTCGTCTTGTTGTGAGCTGCGCTCTAGGTTGGTCTGGACTTTTGTCTCCTTCAGGCCCGAGGTCTGCACACGGCCTAGATCAGAACTCGCTCAGAAGGTCTGTTTTTGTTCTTCCTTCCCGAGATCGATTTTTATCTCCAAAATCCTCTTATTCTCGGGAGCCTCGTTTCGAGCACAAACCCGGCGCGTCGCTGCGTCGGTCTGGCAAAGCCAGACCTTCCCACACAAAAACCCGAATTAGCAGCATAACACACCGCTGATTCGTTTCTCCTTTTCCTCACGTTTTAGCGTAAAAAATCCCATTCTCTGCACAAGCAGCGTTCTGCGCCTCTCAGTAGCACTACGTTTAGCCTATACGAGCTCTATCCGAGCTCGTCATCTTAGCCCCTTCACCTTACACAGGCTTTCTTTTTATCCCACTTACCGCATGCTTGTGCTGGCCATGTGCTTCATCACTGCATATTTTCATCTCGGATCCCTCAAAGTTTCGGTTCCATTGGTGAAGCGCACGGAAATTAACGTTTCCGAATCGGGCGCTGCAAAATGATACAAAATCTGGGCCTGGGCTGCCAACCAGATAAGTTGGGCTACACGGTCTGCTTAGGCCACGTGCGCCATAAATAAGATCAAGAATGACATACCACTGCTTGAAGGCATGACCGTGTGTTCAGTTTGACTGACATAAGAAACCAGCAGAATTCAATCGCATATTTCGATAGGGTGTCGTACATCGAGTTTACATTTTCCTCGAGGCCCTACATACACTAGACAAGAGTAAGAATGGGTTATGGGTAAAAACAGACAACTGCCACAGCGCGATGGTACCTGATATAATACGAGATTCTCCTTCGATCACACCGAATCCGAAGAATCAGCTACCACAAACCTCTTCATCACACCATCATCGCCCTTGGACTCCTTCAGCTGCACCTTCACGCCCTCGTTGTCGATAATCCCTTTCTTCCCAAAATCTTCAAGTGCGAGAGTCCCAGCGGCGGATGCCATAATGAGATGAAGGGTGTTTGACACGTCGAAGGTGGTCCTATAGCGACCGTTCTCAATCTGAGCCTGCAAATGACTATACAAAGCGCAGGCGAATGTGAGAATAGTGATAATGGTGATGGGAAGGATAGCGAGAAGATATGTCGCCGACCGCTTGGTCCAACCTATTGTCGATATGTACATGGTTCCATTGACTGGGGAAGAGAGGTAGGGTGGGATGGTATCATCCGGGAAGCTACCCACGACCATAAAACCGGAGCGAAGGAACTACAAATCGAAGCCAAGTCAATTTGGATTGGATTGAAGGAGGTGGAAACCTCACTGTGGCAGAAAACTCCACGACGCCACGCCAATATTCCTCCTAAGAAAGACTCAAGTTGAAGATCAGTAAGGACGTTGCGACAGGAAACTCACAAGCTCCTTGTAAACCTGCGTTTTATCTCCGAGATTATCGTCGATAGATGTGTTAGTTGTTGAGGAATAGATGGAGTACAAGGTATCTCCGATTGCGCTACTCAAAAGCCCTTGCGAGTTGATCGACTGAAACCTAACAACTCCAGCAATGAAGAACAGTAGATTGCTATTTTCTAGTTGGAAAGGGGTGGACGAGATGACCTCGGAAGAAATTAAGTCTTTGGAATAATTGACGCGGACTGTGGTCAACAGGGGGACCACATCGCACACGCTTGCATCAAGGAACCTATATTTGTAAAACCCTTGTGAAAAAATCGCTACAAGAACAGAGTTAGTCAATGACTACGAAGACATATTCCAATGGCTCACTGAAGTTTGTATAAGTGTTGTTCATATCCCTAAGCCCTGGGCACACAACGGATGGGAGAAAGCCACTCCCCGACAGGCTCGCATTTCCGCTTGCGTCCACCATGGTCACATATTCCTGCGTCGTCGGCAAATCTAGGATCTGTCAGTGAACTTGAGACAAGATACCAAAGATCCAAACTCACTGGTAGCACAGGTTGCACTGATATTCCACAAACGGAGACCAGTGACGGAGTTGTTCGAAGCAGCTGCATTGGCGTAGATAATTTGGGAGTCGTTTGTGTTCCAAACGTACTGCATTTGACTCGATTCAATGGCCCGGCAGGTGACATTGGCTGTTAACCCTTGCTGCGACATGGAATAGTTCCTGCTAAAGCCTTGAGGAATATGCACGCTGGTGTGTTCTCCCGACACGGCTTCTGTGTTGACCGTGACATTTCCACCAGAAAACCCAAGACGAGTACCATTAGCGCCGGGAACTCCATCCGAGCCAGAAAAATCCTCGATGGTAGGCACGACTCCCTCTGTTTACACATAATCAAAAAGCAGTTTCAAGTGACCTGAGCGATTGGACGTACGAGTGGATACATTGTATTTTGCGCCATTGAAATTGAATGTCCCAGGAAGACCATAGGTATATCCTGCAGCAGAGACTCCACTTAGCATTCCGCCAATGTCGAGAACTTCGAAAGCATTGTCCTGGACTTGGGTTGTCCGTCGTATGAGTAACGGGACAAAACAAAAGATAGGGATACACACTGTCAGTGAGACCCTGCTTTTGGTATTCTTCGGCAAGCAAGGCAGAAAATGCGCTTCCAGTAATGTCAAGTTCGGATCCATGCATCTGTATTGGCCATAGGAAGTAGGTTGGTGTCAGGAGGGTTGTCCACCTATATCCGCACTTAAATAAGACCACTGAAATAGTACGATGCTCCCAGAGACGACTTACCCAGCTGTCAAGAGTCTGAGCACCCCAAAGACGAACAGTGTCAGGGTAGTCAGTCCCAAGTATTCAGGTCTCAAGATCGTCGAGCCCTTTGTCAAAGCGACACCCGCGCTTAGCTGAACGAGAGAGATGGGCCGCGACATCCGATGCCTTAGTGCATCCTTGATTGAAATCGTGAACAGACTAGAGGGATGTCATCTCTCTCTGAATAGTAAGTTATAGAAATTGAAAGGGTATACATACGTAGCGGTAATCACTGAAAGCACTGTTGCTATCAATGTGATAACCATCGTCAACTCTCCAGGGTAATGCCTCCATAAGTTGCCAACTTCATCGGGTGGAGAGAGGTAATCGTAATAGAGAACTGCACCAAGGAATCCGTACCCAAATGCCAGGATAATAGCCTGACTACTGATAATGGCGGTGAGACGCAGAAAGCTGATGGGCAATCGAAACATCGTACAGGGTGGGTAGTGCAGAATCAATCACGGTGCTCGGATAGAAATAGGATCAATTTGACGGAGTGCTAACTCCAAAGTTTCGGGGCCCTTGCCTGCATCGTGACAAGTTCATGGTGAGATTACCTCATTTCATAGCCTAAACCACGACGAGGCTATGAATAAATGGAAGAATTGTAGCGAGATCTCGTAACACCACATGTATGGAGGAGGCTTGGAGTGTTCCATTGGGCTCACTACAGTACAAGTCAATAGAACAGCTGGCCCCCATCGAGCCTGGAATTGCTGTTTAATTCGGCTTGCATTATCATTATTTGCCTAGACACAAATAATATCAATATTGCCACAGAAAACACTCCGAAAGTTGATTATACGTACAGCCTCGTTGAACCACCACTAGACCAATTCAAGTGAATGATCCTGAGAAATGGGTGTGCGCTATCACTAATAACTATGTAAGGAAAGCTCGATTATTCTTTACCCCAAGGAATACAGCATAACGTTGATGATAGATGAAACAACAATAGCACCTAGCGCGTGGTCAACATGCCAGTCCAGCGTGATGTGGTAATAACGAGCGGAGGCTGTCAGGCAATGACTCCCGGATGGTAAAGCCGGCGGGAATACTTTAGAGTGACTTTTAATGAATTACAGCAGCTTTGAGAGCTCGAGGCCGGTGTTGGAGTCTCTGCGAAAAGTTAAAACAAGCAAGCTTATTATTTGTGCCTGCTGTTCAACTTACGTGACTCAGGCTGTCCCCATTCATCATCACATGCTCAACGCACTTGTACCACGTTTGCATATTGTTCAAAGATTGCACATTCACGAGCATTACAGAGGAGTCACATCATCGCATCGAAGGCAGCACTCCGTGCGGAATGCATGAAGTTAGCCAATCAGCTTTGTCGTAGCGTAGCACCCTTGCCTTGCTCGCGATACACAGGCAGTCGTGGATGCACCACTTCAACATGCGTTTAGGACGACGATCACCAGTCCCTAGTTTGTTCGTCCAAAATTACATTCATAATGTGTCGCCAAAACCCGAAATAATCACCTTTACCACTGCAGTTCGAATCGTGCCCTACAAATATCAAACAAGACTAAGGAGAACAGAAATTACCATGCCGTGATATGGCTAAAAATCATGCCATCTCCTTCACTGCTGGCACAAACTTCTTTTTGGCATGCTCGGACTCATCAAGGATAATTTTCGTATCCTCATTGACGATAATCCCTTGCTTATCGAAACCAGCGAGTGTGAGCTCCCCAGAAGCGGATGCCATAACGAGATGAATAGTGTTTGATGCGTCAAAGGTGGTCCTGTGGTAGTGACCAGACCTTCGGTCTTTCCATGCCTCCCTAATACTGTACAACGCGCAGGCGAATGTAAGGATGGTGATAGTGGTGAGTGGGAGTGTAGCGAGCAGATATGTTGGTGATTTCTTAGCCCAGCGAGTCCAGCCTATCGTCGATATGAACATGGTCCCATTGACTTGAGAAGAAATGTTGTTCGGGATGACGTTATCGGGGAAGCTGCCCACGGCCATGAACCCAGAGCGAAGGAACTGTGAAGTAATGACAGGTCAATTTGGACTATATTGAGAGGACTAGCAATCTCACCGTGGATGAGAACTCAACAACACCACGCCAGTAATCCTCCTAAGAAAGTTATAAGAGGTGGATCACGACAATATGATATGAAACTTACGAGCTCGAGGTAAACCACCGTGTCATTGAGATTGTCATTAATGGATCCGATTGTAGTCGAGGAATAGATGGAGTAAAGGGTATCCCCGATTGCGCTACTCATAAGCCCCTGCGAGTTGATCGACTGAAACCTGGCAACTCCAGCGATGAATGACAGTAGCTGGACATTCTCTGTCTGGAATGGGGTGGACGAAATGACCTCGGAAGAAATCAAGTCATTGGAATAATTGGCACGGACTGTGGTCAACAGGGGGACCACATCGCACACACTAGCTTTAAGGAACTGATACTTGTAAAATCCTTGTGAGAAAATTGCTACAGGGACAGATTCAGTTAACAATTACAATGGCATATTTCAATGGCTTACTGAAGTTTGTATGAGTTTGATTCATATTCATAGGTCCCGGACAGACAATGGAAGGAAGAAAGCCACTCCCTGACGAGCTCGCGTTTCCGTTTGCATCCACCATGGTCACGTATTCGTACGTCGTAAGCGTATCTAGGAACTGTACGTGAACTTGAGACAAGATATCCAAGATCTTAACTCACTGGGACCACAGTTTGCACTGATATTCCACAAACGGAGACCAGTGATGGAGTTGTTCGAAGCAGCTGCGTTGGCATAGATAATGTAGGAGTTGTTTGTGTTCCATACGTACTGCGTTTGATTCGAGTCAATAGCCCGGCAGCTGACATTGGCTGTTAACCCTTGCTGCCACATGGAATAGTTCCTGCTGAAGCCCTGAGGAATAGACACGCTGGTGTGCGATCCAGGTATGGCTTTGGTGTTGACCGTGACATTTCCACCAGAAAACCCGAGACGAGTATTATTAGAATCCGGAATTCCATCCGAGCCGGAAAACTCCTCAATGGTAGGCACGACCCCCTCTAGTTACACAGCATCGCAAAAAAGTTTCGAGTGACCTGAGGGGCTGGACCTACGAGTAGATATGTTATATTTTGCACCATTGAAATTGAATGTTCCAGGAAGACCGAAGGAGAATCCAGCAGCAGCGACTCCACTGAGCATTCCGCCAATGTCGAGAATTTCGAAAGCATTGTCCTGGACTTTGTTGTCCCATTTACGACCATCTCATCAAAGAAAGTGGAGACACACACTGTCAGCGAGACCATTTCGCAAGAATTCTTCGTGGAGCAAGGTGGAAAATGCGTTTCCAGTAATGTCAAGTTCGGACCCAATAAACTGTACTGGCCACTGGAAATAGGTCGGTGTCAAGAGAGTTGTCCACCTGTGATTCCAATCAAATGAGAGGATCTCGACAATGCTTTCAGAGAAGACGCACCCGGCCGTTAAGAGCTTTAGCGTCCCAAAGACGAACAACGTCAAGATGGTCAATCCTACATGCCGACGTTTCAGAATATGAGAGCCCTGTGATAAAGCGACACCAGTGCTCAGGTGAATTAGAGAAATGGGCTGCCACATGCGATGTCTCAGTGCCTCCTTGACTGACACCGTGAAAAGACTGACAGAAAAAAAATCATGTCACTAATTAATCAGTCGAAAAGAGCAAAAGGTATACATACGTAGCGTTGGAGACTGATAGTACAGTTGCCGTTAATGTGACAATCATTGTCAACTCTCCAGAATAACTCCTCATTAACTCGCAGACTGGATCGACTGGCGCAAGGTACTCAAAGTAGGCAACTGCACCAAGGAATCCGTATCCAAATGCCAAGATAATAATCTGGCTACCGATGACAGTTGTCAGGCGCACAAAGTTGACGGGGATATGATACATCGCAGGAGCAGGGATTGATGCAGAATCGATGCTGGGACTCGGAAATATATACTTGACGGAGCATGGACCTTGCTGCATGCACGCCACGACCGCTTGACACAGCCTGAACTATAGAAGCAGAAGTTTGAGCGGAACTGTGCAGGATCCACATAATGAGGATGATCGGTAACGCACTCTCCATTACCAATGGTAAGTAGACATAGACACATCGCGTCATTTAAAATCTTGGTTCGCCCAAGACAACTTGCCCTCGGGAACTCTAAGGCAAACTGGGCGATAGAACCCACTGGAAATGGACTTAGCATATGTCTGTGCCACATCAACGTGCTTACACAGACTAAATACTACTCCAGATTGAAGGTACGAATGAGGTCTAAACTTTCCCTTGACCGATTGAACTCTGCTACTTAAGGGTTTATATTCATTAATCCACGAAAGCAACACACGAAGAAAATGACTTACCTGCCCAGTTTTCTTTGCTAAGAAACTAAATTTTAGCGCCATAGATCCTTCGAAGATTCAAGTGTCATGGCAGACTTGGGAGAAAGACGCTTAATTTCCCATACTTGTAAGGAAACTGCATCCCTCAGCAGCACCCTCAGCGCGCGGTGATAGAACATCCTACGAGCTCCAAGGCGTGGGGGGGCATGCGAGTTAAAGAGAATCTTCAATGCATTAGGCTAGAGGGGCATGTACATGCCATGACTTGGGATGACCGTGGTTTGATGTCAGGCCACTTTCCCACAGTATTGATGCTTAATCGGTTGAGCGGGCGGTATGTATTTCATTACCGTTCAGGCTGGAACGCGAAGATCACATTATCGGAAGGCTAGGGTCCGATAGAAACCACCCTGTGTGACTACGAGACGGTATATCTGAGTATGAATAAGGAACATGCAGCTCGATGAATCGGTACAGACGCTGTCATCGAAGCAGTATTTCGGATCCAGCCATGTTCCTGCCGCCGGCCGACTATGTAATGAAATCCATCATGCATCCTCGCTATATGAAGTTACTGTGCCATCGACGTAAATCCGGCACCTGTATCTGCAAGGTATTATGGTGCGGTTCCGGCACCGGCATCTGCATGGTAGGCTGCAGTTCAGGACGAGATACCACCTCTAGCCGTTTCTTGACCATCCTTCCCTGCTGGCTAATCCCCTCTTCCACATACCGAATCTCAATCTCCTCATTCCTCTTCAAACAATCAGGGTGCTCAAGACCATAGAGCTTCCCTTCTAGCCCACCAGCCGCAGCAGCCGTGATGAGGTGAATGGGGTCGCAGTAGTCAAACATGACACCGCCTCCCCGCGGATGTTGCAGTTCTTTCCTCAAGCTGAATCCAGCGGCAATGACAGTTACCAGCCAAATGAGCGTGAAGATCACAAACAGGAACAGGTAGATGGGACGCCCTTCTTCCCAGCCATACGTGTTAACGAACATGGTGCCATTCGTGACAACAGACATGTGGGAAGGTATTTCTGTCCAGGGAAGACCGCCGGTGGCAGAGAAACCAGATCTCAAAAACTACCAGAGACAAAGCCATCAGCGTCTTCGCCAGAAGAAGTGATTGCAACTTACTGTGCCACTGAATTCTACCACCCCGCGCCAATAGTCTTCCTGTAGTCAATGAATTATTTGCATCCAAGCACAGCAGTAACTAGTTTTCTTACCATTTGACGGAAAATGGCATCCGTTGAGTTGCTATCAACGTAAGCAGTCAAGTAGTCCCCGATAACATTGGCCTGGAAGCCTTGATTGTTCTCTGCTTGGTACATGATCGCACTCGCAATGAACTCAGTGAGGGCCATGTTCGAGTCTTCGAAAGGACGACGATCAGTTACCGCTGCCGAAACAATTCCTTGATCATATGTGACGTCCACTGTCGTCACGTACAGTACGACCTCGCAGACCGTTGTAGGCAGGAACGCATATTTAGCACGGCCTGCCATTAGAATATCTTTCAGAAGGTTGAATTGGTGAGTACATAGTGAACGGGCGGGCTCGTTCGCTTACCGAACGTGTACGGGCTGAAACCTGGAGCGCCTGGCTGCGGACACACGACTGTTGGAAGAAAGCCCTCAGTATCGGGGTTCATGTCAAGAGTAGTCGCGTTTGCAAAGGTCGAGTATAACATAGAGCTGTTTCCTGTAGTGTAAGATGTGATATTCTTCTCAAAATTCCAGAAATAATTTTGCTTGCCATTTGGACACTCTGTTACCACTTCCCACATCGTCAAGCCGATGCTGTCTCCAGTGGGAAATGAAACTGAGAAGTTATTCGAATTGGCGCTATAAGAGTATACAGAAATGTTCCGCTCTTGGCAGTTGACCTCTGCAGTGAGGCCTTGCTGGGTCACGGTATAGTTCTTTCCGAGACCCTGGGGAGGGGAACCAAAACGGTGGCGACCTAAGTCAATTGTTGTATTGATTGGCACGAAACCACTGGTAAAAGCAAGTCCAACTGCGGTCTGGGCAACAGGAGAGCCGCTGTAATCAGAATCATTCACAGCAGGGAGAAGACCATCTAGTCAAATGTGCTGCGATGAGCTTTCAACAATACATGGAATTGAAGTCTCACACACTTGTCGACTCGCTGTACGAGACTCCATTATAATTAAAGATACTGCTTGTGCGCACACCGGCATCATAACTTGCGGCAGAAGCGCCACTGAAGAGGGCAGTAATATCCAACGTTTCGAATGCCTTGGTATATGCTGCGTAAAACAAGAATGATGAGACCAAAAATGATAACACAAACTGCACGAACTAGATTGAGCTGAATTGTTTAACAAAAGCGCACTCAGTATATCGTTAAAGGCACTGTTGCTAATGTCCAGTTCAGTTCCTGATAGTGTGACTGACCACTCGATCAGCGTTGGCAAGAGCAGCGTGTTCCAACTGCAGGGAAATTCCAGATAAGTATTTGAAAAAGCCAAGGCTTCGCATATTTACCAGGAATTCAGAAAAGTCATCATCGCGAAGACGGTGCCTGTGAGCAAAACGTACTTCCAGTGTCTCTTATCTCTGCAGATAATCCAAGTCGGTTTCGTCAGCGCAATTGCAGCGCGGAGCCCGAACAGCGAGATGCCCTTTGCTAAGTCATGCCTCAGAGCCTCCTTCATCGAGAATGCGAGCAGGCTGGGAAACATGAGGTCAGGACATGCCGTTGCGGTCTCGCGGAAATTCAACCGACCTTGTCGTGATCACAGACAATACAGTGGAGATTAGAGATACCACCAAAGTCATGGTCGTTGGGTATTCGAGAATTAATTTGACTGTCCAATCCGGGAGGGCCATGTACTGGTAATACCAGAGGGCGCCCATAAAGCCCCATCCAAAACCGAGAATAAGGGACTGTGTGACCATGGTTGCCAATAATGGAAAAGTATGACGGGTGAAGAACGCCTGTCGGTGTTCTCAGCATCGCCTAAGGAGCGCAAATATGCAAGTGGATATACCTTGAATTTAAAAGGTGACGATACCATTGTTGAGAACATTGCAGGTGAGCACGCTGCTCGATCACTGAAACTATGCGATCAGAGAAGAGGCTATATAGTTAACATATTTCCGAACAAAAGGTACCGTCCATTTGATTTTTTTCTCGTAACGTACCTCTATTATGCTTGACGCCCATGGCTGAGCAGGGTGTATAGCTATAGGTTGTTTGCATTTGAAAGACATTCTGCCGCACTCTTTTGCAAATCCAATGATCGGCGAGTAGATCAGCAGTCCAGAGTCCCTCATTTCTTACCATAGAACCAGGTTATGCAGTCGCTCGGAACCCGCGCGTCATCGGGGGAGCGTATCGAACAGTTGAAAAAATGTTCGAGATAATATTCCGTGGGAATGAGCAGCTACATAGAACGTGTGCGCGCTTGATGCATGACATGAGAGTTGGTCGGTCACTACGGTGAAACGCATCTGCAGTGCAGAATGCATGTGGGCTGCCTGATGGAACGGAGCTGTGTTCAAAACTAAGCGCCGACTCTGTAAAGACCGCGTATGTACTCGATAAGCGCGAGAATAATATGTTTTAAAATAGGAGACCCACCACCCGAATAGAACCGTCCGACAGTTTCGTGTTATATTCCTTGGTTCAAGTTCTGAAGCAGCACTATATCTGTGCGGTCAGAAAGCAATTTAGAATTGGAAAAACTTCGAGATCCACTGACGAGTAACGGGACATTGTCGTGATAACATCACCAAAAGGTACATGTGGTGGATCATCACATGCAAGAGACAAAACAGCAGTATATCATGCAGTAGCCTAGACACTGCCAGGGTGGAGAAGCAGTGCGGTGGCCGCGGTATTCATCAGAAAATAGTGTCGATTGTGTGGATTGAACAGTTTTTGAAATTACCACCAGTGATGAGGCCTCGAGGCATAATATGCGCAGGATCCAGCCGAGGCACAAATATGCAAAAAGTCGGCCGGTGGAGCAGAATGGAACGTTGTGATAGGGCATGTGCATCGCCCCGGGGCCGGACTCCCTCATCTGGCTCGAAAAGTTCAATGAGCACAAGCCAGAGATCAATATGGAACGTTGAATGTTGACTCAGGACCGCGGCTGGGTATCATATTCCTACAATTTTTTTCCCGTGGTTTGTGACCTGTTTAGTTGTATACTCGAGGTCATGTCGAACCACTGCATAAAAGGAGAGGATGCTGTAGGCACTAGGCAGAGAACAGGCCGTCTCCGCCTAGGATGCAGCGGAGTATCAATCTATTAATTGCAAGTCTATTAATATTATTACTCGGCAGCACTTGTCATCCCTGACTATGCACCTGACTTATAAAACTGGCAAGGCTCAAGTCCAAACGTGAATGGGTGACTGCCTGAACCAATATTAATGGTTGTCCAAACCAACCAACCAACAAAAATTCAACTCAACCTCGCCAAGAGAGTTGTTTGTAAATTTGGTTGATCCGAAGAGTCAAACTAAGAAAGCTTGTGACAGCGGCGCACAAATCATTGTTCGAGTTCTGGACAAGCACAGGTACGGGCCACAGGCCTAAGCATGACCTCCCTTGCTCGTCCCACATCTCCCTCGTTCTAAACGTGAGACTCCAGTGCAATTACCGAACAAGAGTACACATTCTGGGCTCCGGTCGTTAGGGCCGCTCCTGTGATCTGGCGTCTAAGAATCGCGGAAGATCTGAAAGACTTGGGATGCCTGTTGATATCGCGCCAGCCAGGCCATCAGGAGGCGGCTTCCATTGTCTTGCTCGTAGGTCATTACGCGGGCACGGGGAAGCCTATCGAGAAAACGATGCGAGCGGCGCTTTGTCATCCGCTGCGTAAGAGGAGCGTACATCCAGCGTGTGTAGAAAGTTGTGTTGAAATGACTCGGCTTTAAGATCAATATCGATACGTGCATCATTCACTGCCGTTCGCAGGGTACGCATGTGGTGGCATAGACGAAGTATCTTTGAAATGTAACGGTGGGCCAAGACAGTGCGAGTCCCCAATTCAAGTGCGCGGATGTGCGGCCAACTTGAAAAAAAGGCTTCCACGAGAAGGTCGTCGTCAAGTTAGATGGGGCAAACATGGAGCCGGCTTGCAGAGTTCGCAACAGCGTGAAACCAAGAGACTGTGTGATCGCCGTCAAAGTGCTGCCCAAGAGTTCCTGATCTTACGGAACATTCAAATCAGGAACCCTCAGGCATTCCGGCTCTATCTCCGACTCTGCTTTTTAGGGAGGCCTTGATGGATGAGTCCTCTAATGCAGCACAACGGGTGGCAACAGACTTCAATTCCGGGTAAACGACCGGTAGGGCACAGCGATGCAACCTGGGGGACAGGAAGAGATGCGAGTGTTTGTTCAGATCTTGATCCGTTGATAATGATAATGATAATAATCACTCGATCGGGAAGACTGACAGAGGGGGAAAATTCCGTCGTACAATATTTTCAATAAGCGAACGCGACCGATGTGACGCGAAAAAAGATGGCCTTCATGCTCAGACAATAGTTTGACACCTTCAGAACCGTCGGAAGTAGTGCGTCTAGTGCTCGGTGAGCCAATGGACGAAATGAAATGAACATAAACCGCACTGACCGAGCTTGACCCAACTGCTACAATATATGTCTGGATGTAACCTCGTCACACAGCCTAGCATCCAACTCAGACCAAAGAAAATGCATAGCTGGCTCGTGAGCAAGCTTTGCATGTCCTTGCAAGCGCTGCAAGGGATTTCCGGGACATGGGGATGATTGAAGAATCGAGTGGCATCAATTGAGTCAAATGGGCTGTCAAGTTCTACGTCGTACGTTCACACGGGCAGACCTGCATCACGTGCGATTGTTGAGCGCGCTGGGCGGCCACTGTACTTACATATCTTGTTCTGTTCATTCAAACCAAATTCAGACCCAATACCGAAGAATCAACTTCAACACACTGGGACCGTGTCAGGATCGGCCATATAGTCCAAATTTGTGAGTTCACGTTGCCAATTGATGCATAGTACATGTTATCCCTTGGCATCAATCTGATGTTGATGGGACAGCCTGACAGGCCCATCACCATCAGCCAAGTACTACTACTAGCATGACGATGCTCACCTTTTTCCCAGTGCTGTTAAACATTTATAGATTCTCTCTTGTATTGCAACCCTCTGGAGGATAGTTTGCATTCGCTCTTCCTATGATGGGGATTCGAAAGCGAACGATGTTCTCTGTTATCTATAAAGGTAAATATTAATGATAACAGGGCTGAGGGCAGGCTTATCGCTCTTGTTACATAAAATAGATTCAGTAGGTAATGGACATAAGGTTGCGCACATACGCGATGATCAGCTCGCGTAGAGAATAATGGCTCAGGCCACGAAACGGAAGCAACGTATAGTATGGTAACAGTGCTCGGCCACGCCAGTCCCTGACACCTTTGTTTATTTATTTTGGGCGTCGAAAGGAGAGTGGGTTGAGAAGATACTTTGTATTTTATTGGCGGATATCAGAGTACAATGAACAACAATATTGAAGCAGTGCTGGGGGTGTCATAAGTTATTCCCACACAATGCAGGTACAGATTTCATAAAAATCAGGGGGTGTGTTGATCCCGCGGAAGCAACCATGGACAGGTGACATTGACGCTGACCATACACAACGGGGAGGAATACCCTCACGCTCTACTATCACTCTAACGAAGGAAAGAGTCTTTCCTAGTAAGCATGCCCAACTCTCTTGCCTCGACGATTCCCTGTCCTCTTTACATCTCTGGTACACGATTACAGCCATCAGCTCAACGCGCAACCTCACTGAATATATCAAATTAGGTGTCTCTGTCGATTTCAGCAAGTCGGCAAAGAATGTAGAATCTGCTGAAATACGGATCGGCAAGTTGCACGCACCAGTTGAACGTGCAGCAGGAAAAGCTTTGCAACATACATTCACTCCACCCATGTAAGCGCTCGACTAAGACGAATATCCTCGTCTAAACTGGTTTTATCATAGACAGCTTTCTATTGGGGATTCGTTTTCCTTGCATGTCCGACATAGCACACGGCTTCGACTGAAGACTGTTGAAGACATCCATTTCGATACCGAAGAAATCTTCCGCATTTCTGCTGACGCAAGTGGAGAACCCAAGATACAAGGTAAAGCTCAAGCAATAATTGTGTCGCTATGACAGACCCAACACGACATGAACAGCATACGTCAAGTCCCACAAAAAATTCACGATCGTCATCAATCTTTCCGGGAAAACCGTCACGGAAACCGAAGTAAGGATCCGCCTCTTGCGTCGACGCTCATCTAAGCCGTAGATTAGCAGGCTGATCAGTTTGTCTCTTCCTCCGGTGAAACCCCAGGGCTTCAGCCCACCACTGATGAAATCATGCGGATTTGCCCTCGGTGAGTCAGGATAACCATCAAGCGCCATTCTTCGGGTTAACACAAGAGACTCCCAAGGTTCCGAATTCTGGTAATAGGAAAGGTATCAAAGGTTTCTTTGGTCCCACGCCTGTCTTGACATCGTGCTTCCGATAGACCGGCGTCGGCAAATCTTCGTTGATCAATCACGCATTTGGAGTGGAGAAAGCGGTAGGCTGCTCACGACGCTAAAACACATATACCAGAGTCACTAACGCCTATGCCCATAGCTCACTTCGCATGACAGGCCAGGCGAGGCTAACATCGACACCGAGTTCATCTCAAAACAGAACGACAGATTTGTCCTCCACGACAGCAAAGGTTTTGAACCAGGAGAAGAAGGCAACCTCACAGTAGTTCAAGATTTCATTCAGCGTCGGCGATCTCAGCCTGCTTTAAAAGATCAGCTCCACGCTATCTGGTAAGGCCTCTGTCCTGTTGGATCTGTATGTCAAGCTGACGCCAAACATGAAAGGCTTTGCTTTGAAATACCCCGTGCAGGAGGGCGTTTACTAGAGACCGGCACAGAGGAATTCCTCACATTGAAGCGTGAAGGAAAACTGGGAAACAGTACGTTGACCGATGATTATCGCTATTCACAGCTAGCAACTTACCTTTCGGTCAAAGTCCCCATCGTCGTCGTTCTCACCAAATACGATATGCTCATCGACCGTATGAACCGTACTCTGGACGATGAGACTCTCGAAGGATTGAGCGAAGACGCCATCAATAAGCTCCTCAAGAAAAAAGCAGATGTAGAACTTCAAGAGTTGTGTTTTGGGCCTTTGGAGAAATTCGCAGGGGATATACCGCACGCGGCAATCTCTAGTGGGTACCGATATTCTGACCATTCATGCGTGCCCTCTAAAATCAATGAGCACAGCTACAGAATACCACAAGGATACACTAGCCCCTCTGATCCAGATGACTGAAAACCGTGTCCGCCAGCATGTCGCGACCGAAGCGTCGGTGTTGACATCCATCGCTCAGCGCGTGGATCCTCGACTCAAAATACAGGCGTCGATCGAGTGAGCCTTGCTTGCCTCCTTGTTGTCTCGCGACTTATGCAGCGTCAGGATTGGAAAGAGAAGTCTGTCTCAATTCAGTAATGGTGATTACTGAATACGAGCTGAGCCTTCACGTCCTGTTTTACAGAGTACTGGAAGGCGCTCGCATCAAGCCCAACGTTCAAGGGCCATTCGATGTGGGAATGTCTGCGCGTACTTCACACGGACATTGTTGCTGTGTGGAACTTCAAAGACCCTCATGGTGTAATTACTCTCTTCTCTGTCGTCGTCGCATGTTCTGACGTGGCTTGTGCACAGTACTTGGACTGCCAAGAGTTCAGGACGCTGATGGTGAACATGGTCAATGAGCTGGACGTCGGACCTACCCGTGATCCAACCAAGAACGCGTATGACAATCTTTTCACATGACGGATACATTTCATCTCATCTAACGTTCGCAGTGCATTTGGGCTCTCTCTCGTGGCTACTATTGCAGGCATCGTGTCTGCCCTAGCCGGACCCGCAGCTCCCATCGTAGTGCCAATAGTAGCAAGCGTCGTGATCGCAAACTGGGTCTACGACGTCTATCAACAGTCGTACGTCCTGCTCCTCATCCCTCATCGAGAGAATAATGACAGGTCCTCCCCAGCCGCGCAGCGCTCCAGCGCTTCATGAAATACATCATCGATTTAACCCTCGTGCTGCAGACATTATACCTTGTATCGGAAAACCAAGAACTATCCCGTCGAGCCATCAAGCTCGCCCTCAAGACTTACCACGAATCACCAATGAGCAGAGAAGTCCATGATCGGATCCAGGAGTTTGATAGGCACTCGACCTTTTTGGAACGCGCGGACCGTGGATCGTTGGATCGATTCGTTGAACTCATTCGATCGTATAGCATCAGTGCGGAAGAAATGACTAGTCTTCGGGTAGATATTCCGGCTGTGGGGTTATTACCGGATGAACTATGGGAAGATAAGAAGGCGTAGCGCTTGTTTTTTCTTCTTCTCCTCCTTCTTCTTCTTCTTCTTCTTCTTCTTCTTCTTCTTCTTTTGTGCATGTTTTTTTTGTGCCATATTGGCGGAGGATATTTTCTGTGTACTTTTGTCACGACTTCTTACGAGATTGCAGGGGAATTGATTCTCCCTTGTATTATGCGGTTGCTAGATGGTCTTGATACTGCTGTAGTGTGCTATATGCGTCTATCGCTTATCGCTGTACTACAGTACAACGCTGTTTATCTTGCAGCTTTGTAGAGATCGTACAAGAAGCGCCCGTACCAAAACAGAACGTGAGTTGACCGTGTGGTAAATCTCTTCTGGAAGTTTTTACAATGTATCGAATGACTTGAGGTGGTGGGCGGAGACAGGTATGCATACTCGTGATACATGAAAATGCTTTGTTTGATATTCAAGCACCAAGAATGCGTGACAGAAACAATAAGAGGATAGAGCGATTGGAACTACAGTAAACAGCAATGACCACAATTACGACAGAGCACAAAGGTTCGGCGGCAGCTGGCGGACAACAAACTCAAGTCTGTAAAGCAGCTCCTGTGATATGCTGGCCAAGAACAGCAGAAGCTCTATAAGATTCAAGATGCTTCTGCACCTCAAGGCAAACATCATAGGAGCGCTCGTATCCATGGTTAGTTGGCGGGATGACTCGATCGACAGAAGGGAGCACCAAGAAAATGATGCGGGCGACAGCTTCAGCGTCCGTTATGTCAGAGGAGGTCAAGATCAGATTTTGTAGGGAGGTATCCTGGAACGACTCGGCTGCAGGATCGATATCGATATCGACGAGGTCTACTGGCATATCCAGCGTATGCAAGCGGGGACATCGACGGAGCGCTGCGAATAATCCGCGTAAGGTAACGGTAGCCTGTAGCGCCTGTGGATCCTTAAATTCCAACGTGCGGATGTGCGGCCAACTTGACATGGCTTCCAAAAGCAGGTCGTTGTCAAGGTTGATGCAGGAACAAGGAAAATTGAATCGTAGGGTTCGCAGCTGTGTGAAACAAAGGGATTGTCTGATTGGCGTGAAGGAGCCGCCTAAGAGGTCTTGAACTTTACGTTTGGAGTAGATGTCAATGTGTGAAAGGGTTTTGCACCGTGACAGTGCATGAAAGAGTGGTTCGGCCTCTGCCCAAGGCAAATAATGAACCTCCATCTCGAATTGATTTAGCGAAGGGAATTCTAAGTGTGGCATGACTGCAACGATGTATGTGGATGTGCGTGTATGGAAAGATAGTCTCGTGACGTTGAGGAAAAGTGCGAAGTTGATATTATGCCAGTCCAACGAGCCGGCAGAGTCGTCCCAAATCTCCAGAGTGAGAAGGGTAGGGAGGTTAGAAAGGTGCTCCCATGCTGTCCAGTTGAGCAATGGGCAAGCTAGAGTCACAAGCCGCTTGCACAAACGGATACTGTCATATAGCACCTGCCTATCTGCCTCTCTGCTTTTTAAGGAGGACTTGATGGATAAGTCTTCTAGTGCAGCACAACGGGTCGCAACAGATTTCAAATCCGGATGAATGACCGGTAGAGAACAATGACGCAGCGTGGGGGAGAGGAAGAGATGCAAGTATCTATTCAGATCTTGATCCGTTGATAACGACAGCAACCTCGGGAACATGCATGTCGCGATCGGGAGGACTGAGAGAACGGGAAAATGGTCGTTGTACAATATCTGCAATGAACGAACACGACCGGCGTGACGCAAAAATTGACAGGCTTCATGCTCAGATAGTGGTTTGACGCCTTCAAACCGTCGGAAATACTGTGTTTGGGTGTACGGTGAGCCAATGAACGATATGAAATGAACATAATGCGCACTGACCGCGCTCGAACCGCTACGATATATGATTGGGTGTAGCCTCATTACACAACCTAACATTGGCCCCATCCCGTCCAATTCAGCCCAAAGCAAATCCATAGCGGGCTCGTGAAAAGGTTTGCATGTCCTTGCAAGTGCTGCAAAGGATTTCCGCGCCAATGACATCTCGCGATACGACAAAATTAATGCATGTGGGTCCAGGATTTTATTCACATGTATGAATATCTCCAGGAGAATTTCGGAAACGAGTAGAGCTCGGTGCATCAGTTCTACGGCGATGAAGACGAATATTGTCAAGTAAGTTCCAGGACCCTATAAAGGGTTCTGGTTTCTGGATGTTGAGCCATGAAACACCGATCATCCCGGACTCTTTATGTTGTTTGTCTGTATTTGTCTTTTTTGGTGGCTTGATACGAAGTACTGTGCTGGGGGTATGCGCCAACGCAAACATTGGCAGGAACGACAATCTCGTGCGAAAGTATAGGGATCATGGCATGGTGCCTTGGAGGATTTGAGTGCAAAGAGGGTGATAAGGGAGAAACAATGTCTTTGCTGTTTGTATCACCTTGAGAAAGTGTAAAAGAGAAAACGGGAAAGAAGATGTAATGGTTGTATTTATTTTGTGGTTTTTTTATTTTAAATTGAGGAGATGCTTGAAAGTTTTTGGATGACAGAGGTGTATGAAACATATCAAATGCACAAGCAGAGCCATATGTGTCGGAAAGGTCCTGGAATGCCCGTAGGGCCGTACTATTTTGTAGTCTAAATGTCTAATGGGCCAGGCACATGATACAAAATGCGTCGTACAAAACAGATACAAATAACCTTCGCGTCCGGTAAGTCCGAGTCCGAGTCCGCTCACGCGGAATCGGTGGATCATCGATCGGCCTGCGTCCACCCCTTGTGCAGAGCTCCTGTGTTCAACCCGCAAGACAGACCAGCTGATGAGGCTTCCTATGTGTCTAATTGAAGTTCTACAAAGTCTTGAAGACGGTGACCGGTCCCACGAACGAAAACCCGACCAATTATTGGATGGCTTGCTCAGTTTCGACCCTGGTCATCTGATACACATCACTCGCAGTGCCTAGTACCCACATTTTGCATCCTGTCTCAGGCTGCAGTGGTCAGGCGACAGGCAGGCCTGCATAACCACGGAGGCAGCTGCGCAATCATGGTAAGAATTGTGAATTGGGATTCCTTACAATGATTCAGATCTCCAAATCTGGGCTCCCCTGCGCTGGGCCAGGACTGGCAATCACCGAGATCTGTATCTTGTCGCCCATCTGGCATGCAACCGCAACCACGGTGCTGCCCATACATATCAAATGCATGTCTCTGCGCGGGCAATGGGCTTGTCAGCGATGGATCATGACAGTGTTTTGTTTCTACGGGAATGGCTCTGTGGAGAATACAATTGCAAATTTCAAACGGATGAAGCGAGATACAAGTACTCTAGATACGTACGTGAACACGCTCAAGGCCTGGCTTGTTTCATATGCAAACAGCCAGCATGCGTGATATATATAACGATCAGATGAGAAAACAATTGTAACCACAGTAAAGAGCATCTTGAATGACCACTGAATGTACCGTAGTAACTGTAGAGCGTTGCCCTGACATGAGTATATCTCGAACTCAGACATTCCGGGTCGCTCCTGTGATATGACGTCCAACACCCGCAGAAGCTTTCAAAGATTCAAGATTCCTTTGGACCTCGCCCCAGACGCCACGAGCAAAGTTATGCGGACGAACGTAGTCAACAGAAGGGAGCATTGAGAAAATGATACGTGCGATAGCTTTCGCATCCGCTACGTTAGATTGGGTCAAATACAAAGTTTGTAGGGAGGTATGTTGAAATGACTCGGCTGTAGGATCGATGTCGATATTCGCCGTATGCATTGGTAGGGATAGGGTATGCAAGTTGGGACAGAATCTGAGCGCTGCGAGTAATCCGCTGAATGTCACGGTAGGCGCACAACGACACGAATCATAAAATTCAAGATGAGAGATGTGCGGCCAACTCGATATGGCTTCCAAAAGAAGGTTGTTGTCAAGATTGATGGAGCAATTATAAAGATGAAGCCGCAGGATTCGCAGCTGCGAGAAACCAAAAAATTGTCTAATCGCCGTTGAAGAGGGCTCCAGTGCTCCTATCTGGCCAGAAAAGATGACTACGTCTTCAAGGGTATGACATGTGTTGCACCGTGACAGTGCACAAAAGAGCTGTTCAGCCTCTGCAGAAGGTAAAACAGCCACATCCATCCGGAACTCGTTTAGCGAGGGGAATTCTGAGTGTTCCAGGACTTCGAGAATGTACGCAGGTTTCGCACAGAACCAAAGGGATGTAATGTTGAGGAAACGCGTGAAATCGAGATTGTGCCGGACCAGCGTGTTAACACACTCTCCATCAAACCAACCTACAACCGCTTCTTGGACCTACACCAAGTGGCACTCTAACCAGGACCCCGAAAACCAAATTTTCAACATAGCGCTCAACAGCGCTAACAACGCCATCAGGCGTTAAAGTATTCTCCTTAAAAACACATAAAACTCACAAAAAAGACATATAGATACCAAAAACCCCACATGCCGGTAACAAAAGGAACAAAGAACGGACCTGGCTCGAATGTCCCATCTAATACCTCTCCTACAGTAGGCACCGCCACCAGACAATCGGGCAGAACCACATTATCGCAAGAAGACATCGAAGCCATCCCAAACGCAGTAAACGGATATGAAACAGCAGAGAAGTTCCTCGATAAAAACCTTCTCAGTCTCCCCAATGAACCATACACACTAACGCACGTGATCTCCATATTATTCCAGATAACACAAATGCGCGACACCATCCCCCTCCCAGTCAATGCGGCGATACGTGCAACAGCATTCATACTCAAGAAACTCGCAGCATGTGAAATGGCCACCGAAGTAGCAAAACAACTAACAGACACACTCACCCCACGCATAATAGAACACGTGGTAGGAGCCATTGCGCCACAAATGGCAAAGCTTCTATCTACCTCCGATCAACTATCAGACATGTTGGATAGAACAGAAGCAATCCGCAAGGCATTAGCAAATGATAGAGACGAAATGAACGACAGCCTGCAAATCTCAGCCACAAGGATAGAAACAGCAGCCGAAGAACTACACGCATCAATCGACAACTGCCAAAACACCCTAAAACTCCTCTCCCCATCCCTCGATACCACCCAAGACAGAATTAACACCCTATCAACCCAGATTATGACCCAAACCACGATTACCCACCCAGACACACACCCCGTAGAGACCAACCAGAATCAACGCCAAACATACAGTTCCATCGTAGCCGCTAACCTCACCCCCTCAATTGATAAAGCTATTGGACGAGCGGCCATACGAGCTCGACAAATACTTTTAGACCCCATGCCAGGAGATGACCTATTCCCGCCGAACACCTCACACGCAGACATCGTGAAAAAGATGAAAGAAGCACTGGCCAATATCCGCGAACATAATACCCCAGTAGGAGACATCAAATCAATAATGACTCTTCACAACGGAGGACTCATCATCGAACTCGAATCAGAAACACTGGCGGAGTGGCTAAGAAAGCCAACAAGTAAGGAAGCCCTCAAAGGACAGTTTGAAACCGCAGTATCGTTCCGCACTCGTACATTCCCTATAGTAGCTGAATATCTCTCCATACAGCTTCCGATCTTCGACGACACATTCCTTAGAACAGTAGAACATGAAAACGGCCTCCTAATCAACTCAATCGCCTCCATCCGCTGGATAAAGCCACCTCAACGTAGATCACCGAACCAAAGCAAAGCATTCGCCCTAATCCATATCGTGGACCCTCACACAGCGAACAATATCCTCAAGGACGGTATTTGCATCAACAATGAACGCATCGCAGTTCGGAAGGACAAGCGCGAGCCCATCCGATGTGCAAAATGTCAAAAGTATGGACATATTGCACGATCGTGCTCCTCAACGAACGATGTATGCGGCACATGCAGCAACCATCACCGTACCTCGGAATGCACCTCCCCTCAATCTACTGTCTGCGCTAATTGTCAAAGCCATCACCACGCCAGTTGGAACCGATCATGCCCCGAATTCATTAGAAGATGTGACCTTATTAACGAAAAATTTCCAGAAAACTCAATGCCGTACTTTCCCACAGAGCTGACGTGGACGCACGCCAATCAACCTCATCGTCCAACCCAGGTATCATACCCTCCGCCGCAACATATACAATCACCCCGTCAACGCCGCTCAAAACAAACGACCATCATGTTTAAACCACGTGTTGGGAACACGCCGCGATCCCCCCAACACCCACAATCACAGGCACTAACAGAACATATTAACCGAATCACGCACATGCCTTCCTCTAACCCATTTAACTCAACTAACATTACTAACCACTCTTCCCCCCCTCCCACAGATAGATCAACCCCACCCGTGTCCCATGCCTGAACACCAGAACGCACCAACCGTCCATCTACGCATATGGCAGCAAAACCTGAACAAGTCAATGGTCGCACAGGCCTCACTCCTCAACAATCCGGACGCATCCAAATGGGATATCATTTTAATACAAGAACCGCATATCAACTTCCTTCGAAACACCTCCGCTAACCACCACTGGCACGTTATTTATCCCACGCAGCACTTCACGCACCCCCTTCAACGAACCCGAGCCATCACCCTCATTAAAGCCACCCTTGATACCAACCTCTGGAGACAAATTCCCTTCCCATCCTCTGACGTCACCCTCATACAGCTCACCGGCCCTTATGGAAAATGCACCATTTTCAACATATATAACGACTGTCAATCTCAGTCAACGCTTGAAGCCCTCGATACCTTTACCGAAACCAACATAGTGTCCATCCGCCCCACCATAGACGACCATATCCTATGGATGGGTGATTTCAACAGACATCACCCTTTATGGGAAGAAATGCGCAACCGCCACCTATTTAATTATACTGCCACTAACCCTTTAATAGATCTAATTGCTAACTATGGTATGATACAGATCCTCCCCAGCAACCTCCCAACGCTTCAATCCTCCAGTACCGGAAACTGGACTCGACCCGACAACGTATTCGGCACAGAACAAATACTGGATGCCATCATCACATGTACCACCGCCCCTGAATTAAGGGGCCCGAAGACCGACCATGTGCCCATACACCTCGTTCTCGAACTCGAAACCCCCCGCACCAATGCCACGCCGCAACACAATTGGAGAGACGTAGATTGGGAGAAATTCGATGAGCATCTACAGAGCCTCCTCTCCACTCACCCTCCCCAGCCAATAACCTCTGACGAACTCTTTCAGATCGCCACCCAACACTTAACTGAAGCCATCACATCCACCATCAGCGCCCATGTCCCCCTATCGAAGCTGTGTCCCCACTCTAAACGATGGTGGACGCGGGAACTCACCAAACTTCGGAAGGACGTCAATGGCCTCAGTCGGTTATCATACCAAATGCGAGCCCTACCTCTCCACGAATGTCACGAGGAACTGAAGAATCTCAAGAACCAGTACGCAGAATCCATCGCCACAACGAAGCAACAACATTGGACGGAATGGCTTGAAGACTTAGAAGGTAATGATTTATGGACAGCGAACAGATATGTGACATCCGATCCCAAAGATGGGGGGAAAACCCGAATCCCTACACTCACCACCAAGCGACCAGACGGATCACTCATCGAAGCCTCTACGAATCAAGAGAAAAGCCTACTAATCGCAGAAGCATTCTTTCCCCCTCCGCCTATCACTGACTCTATACCCCCAGATCAAATATACCCGGATCCCATCGCACCCCACACTCCTTTCACAGCGGATCAAATCTCACGCACCATCATGAACTTAAGCGGCCTCAAAGCCCCCGGCCCTGACGGCATCCTCAATATAGTATTCAAACGATGCGCGAGCGCCCTAATCCCACATCTCGTACTAATCTTTAACGCATTTTTTACTCACAGGACGTATTATGAACCATGGCGCCGCTTTACGACAGTAGTACTTAGGAAACCCGGCAAGCTGAATTACGCGATCCCCAAGGCCTATCGACCCATCGCACTAATCAACACGACATGCAAACTCCTTACGGTGGTAGCAGCCGAACAACTAACATATATCTTAGAACGACACCAACTACTGCCAAATACCCATTTTGGAGGTAGGCCAGGCCGCTCAACTACTGATTCTTTACACCTATTAGAAGCCACTATTAAGGACGCATGGCGCTCCCACCGCGTGGCCTCCGTCCTCTTCCTCGACATTGAAGGGGCATTTCCCAACACCGTAACCCGCCGACTGCTCCATAATATGCGAATGCGCCGTATCCCCCACGAAATGATTGAATTTACGAAACGAGTACTGACAAACAGATTCACTCAATTACGCTTTGATGGATTCACATCAGAATGGATTCCAATAACGAACGGTATAGGACAGGGCGACCCCCTGTCCATGATTCTTTACATTATATATAATTCTGACCTATTGGAAGTAGCACAACGTAGACGAGGAAACAAATCTCTAAAGGAGATGACACTCGCATTTGTCGACGACGCGGCGTTTATCGCAATAGCGGATGATTTTGCAACTGCGCACGCTAGACTAACTGACATGCTGGAACGCCCAGGAGGCGGATTCGATTGGTCACGCGACCACAACTCACGATTCGAAACTAACAAGTTTGCATTAGTAGATTTCTCCATGAACAAGCGCAAACCCCGCCCTGACATGAACATCCAAGGATCAACTATACGCCCAAGCAAATCCCACTGATTCCTCGGGATCATAGTGGATCAAGAACTTCGATGGTCCGAACAGGTAGACAACGCGATAGCCAAAGGCACGGCCTACGTGTGCCAAATTCAACGACTCTCCACCATGGCAAAAGGAATCCCACTATCCCTTATGTGACAGCTGTACCAAGCCGTCGCCATACCGAAAATGACGTATGCTGCTGACCTTTGGTTCACACCCTCATTTACAGATGGATCTGACATCCCCCAACGGGGCTCATTGGGAGTCGCCAAGAGACTCTCATCAGTACAACGACTTGCTACACTGGCCATGACCGGCGCCATGCATACTACGGCAGGAGATGTCCTCGAAGTCCACGCAAACGTCCTACCAATCGCACTCGCACTCCACAACATCTGTCATAGGGCTATCGTCCGCATCACCGCTCACCCAGCAACACACCCATTATATCAGCCAGTTAGACGTGCTGCTAAGCGCTATGTATCCACTCATCGCTCCTCACTTCATAAACTCACCCGTCTTTTCTCCATTATTCCAGATGAAATAGAATCTCTAATCCCCGCTAGACGCCCCCCTACCACAGAAAACCCCTTCAAAACCAACATCGCACCCTCCCGAGAAGAAGCCACCACCCTACACGAACAACTGACAGAGACCATACAGGAATACTGCGACGGGTCAGGCCACAACGACAAAATTGGCGCATCAGCAATTTTATTCCGTGCAGGCGCAGTACCACGCACCCTTCGGTACTACCTGGGCACCAAGGACGAACACACTGTATTTGAAGCAGAAGAGGTAGGATTAACACTAGCCGCGAAACTAATATCCACAGAACGCAACCTTACATTCCCACTAACCATATCTATCGACAATCAAGCGACCATACAAAGCGCAATCAATCATCGTACCCGCCCTGGCTCATACCTCGCAGACCGCTTCCGCCGCATGATGCAAAAGATCGCAAACGACAACGAAGACTTTGACGTAACGGTACATTGGGTACCGGGACACGCAAACATCCATGGAAACGAGGAAGCAGATAAACAGGCCAAGAAAGCAGCAGAAGGATGTCAGAATAACAGCCCTCGCACCCGGCTTCCTCACTACCTACGACTAGGATCGTTGCCCCTCAGTATATCCGCCCTCAAGCAAGCTCACCATCAATCAACTCACGCCCGCTGGTCAAGAATATGGTCAAAATCGCCTCGCTATGCACGCACGCACAGTATCGATCCAAATATATTAAAACACTCATTCATTAAACTAACGCAATCATTCCCCAAACGCCTTACAGGACTTCTAATGTGTTTACGCACCCATCACGCCCCGCTGAATCTACATCTCAACCGAATTGGAAAATCCCTCACCGCCTCATGCCCCCATTGTCCACGCACAGAAGAAAATGTACACCACTACTTGTTAACATGCCCTCAATACCGCCAAGAGCGTCACACACTCGTTCGAGCGCTAGGAAGAAAAGCAACATCCATCCCATATCTATTAACACACAGCGAAGCCACACCGCACCTTGTACAATACATAAACGCAACTGGAAGAATGAAAACCACATTCGGTGAAATCACCATGCTACCGAAACGAGCAGACTGACAGACACCCCATCGCAGATCAAACCCCACGCACACAGTATCAAACGAACACAATCGCACACCACGACATCACGACATTACGACACTACCTCAACATCTAATCCAAGCGTACAAACCCCCAAATAATCTTAAAACACCCCCATATTCACTCGCTCATACGGAATCAAATCCTCTCATGAAATCAGTCAAAACTCTTCAGAAACCATCTTTTCGTCACTCAAAAGACCTTTCTTTATCCCTTTTTTGCATTCAAATAGATTCCTATACCAATCGCCTCGGCAATCGAGAACGCGTCCAGACGACCCATACTTAATCAGATACTTCATCGCGCGACTCATATAAAGTCACCTCTCCTTCGTTAGATCGCATGTCTAAAAACGCGCGGCGGGAACGGCGGACCGGTGGAGGCAAGCCTCACACCGGGGCATTCATGGATCTAGAGGTGTGGGGGGGCACAGGAGCCCCCAAGACTAGATAGAACTGTCTTACATAGAGATACTCTCAAAGACAAAAATCAGGAATTAAAAAAAAAAAAAAAACACACTCTCCCCCAATCCACACTGCGCGAAGGGTGCGGATGTTGGAGAGGTGGATCCATGCTGCCCGATCGAGCGGTACGCAAGACAGTTGTTGGAGCCGCCCACAAGAACGGACAGTTTCGGACATGATGGACAGTTCATCTGCTGTGCATTCCCTCCGGCAAATGATGGAGAAGTCATCCAAATCAGCACAACGGGTCGCAACAGATTTCAAATCCGGATGAACGACGGGCAAGCCGCAACGACGTAGCATGGGGGATAGGAAGAGATGCAAGTATCTATTTGGATCGCTCTCCGTTGATAACGACAGCAATCTCGGGAACATGCATGTCTCGATCGGAAGGACTGCAAGAAGGTGCAAAGGGTCGTCGGTCCGTATTTTCAATGAGCGAACACGAGAGGCATGATGCAGAAATAGACGGGCTTCATGCTCAGATAATGGTTCGACGCATTCAAACCGACGGTAGTACTACATTTAGATGGTCAGGGGTGAGCCTGCAAATGAATGAAATGAAATGGGCAGAATCTGCACTGACATCAGGAAAACGTCGGTCCACTTAAACGATCCTTAAAGTGTCTTAAGTGCCTTATTTGCGGCTTAAAGTTGAGATTTTCGTTGCGCAAAATAAGCAGATTAAGTAGGTCCATCTACTTAAAATAAGACCACTGGTGCATTTAAGAGATGTAAGCACAATATAAGCACGCGAAAGCAATATCATTAAGCAGCACAAAGATCAGCCCAGGAGCCTAAACTAAGGAGAAATAAGCAGATTCGAAAACTAAAGGAGAGTGGTTTATAGCGTCCGTATTCGATAGCAAATAGAGCGGGCTCAAAAAAAGGGTATATGCGAGCAGTGGGGCACAGCTGCGGAGGTCGAAAGAGCAGGGAATGATGATATTGCAAAACGATGTGTCCTCCTGTTGAATGAATAAAATCAGCGGTTGAAACAATGAGAAAAAAGTAAATATTACAGATATGAAGGCGGGAGCGTTTGTTGACTGGAGTGATTGAAGCGCTGGAACCATAAGGTTCATCTGTTGTGGTTGTGCCACGGCGATTGTTATTACGCGCGTGCTTCATGTATTCTTCTGCCCGAGCGAGAATCTCCTGGATACGTTCGTAAGGCAGATCCTTGATACTATCCATGTACGCCATGGTGTCCGTCTCCCAATTTCCAGACGAAAATGCTGTTCCGGTATGACTCATCTTATTCGTCGCCTCGTTGAGTGTCTGGATAATCTTGTGGTTTTTGCCGCTGTTGTCAGAGGGATTGCTTTCAACCAGTAAGTGGCTTTTAACCAAGACGAGAGCGCGCTCGGCCTAAGAAAGATAGTCAATGTTCTCCAGCTCAAAAAAAGAGGAAAAGAAAAGTTAAACTTACTGCCACTGCTGATAGCGCCAGCGCAGTCTGATACCCAGGCTTGCCAAATTCAACCAATGAATCCACCCTCACTTGCCCGGTGATCGCAGTGAGGTGGGAAGCAAAAATGCGCAATATGTACTCTGACAAGAACGCACCCGGTTGCTCTTCGTTCTCAGGATCTTCATACACAAAGCGGCATTCTTCGAGTTGTTCCTCGGCGTATTCATCGCGGGCTTCCTGAGTCTTATACTCGGGTGTCGAAACGAAAAACGCTATCAAAACAGTGTTGGCTGTTGAACCGAATGAAGCCCGCCACTCGTGGATCCTTTGGCTGACCTGTTGAGTAAGTGAATCAGTGGCCGTTACAAGTGAAGACTAGAATGCAAACCAGTTGAAATGCCAATTGCTCGACATCAAAATCGCACCCTCCGAGCCTGTGTGGGTACACCGCGTAATATATTTGCTCAAGAACAGACTCGGGTTCAGTTTCTGGTACAGTCCACCCAAAGTCGCTGTTACCGATCCAAAACATCAGACAGGGAAGGAACCTCGTGCGCCATAATCCATTCTCGAGGACTCCGTTGGGTAAGTCCTCATTTTTCCCCTTTCCTTTCTTGATCTTTGCACGACTATTTTCCGTGGCTACAACATCGGTCTCGACCTCGACCTCGACCTTGGCCTTGGTCTCGGCCTTGACCTTGGTCTTGCCCTGTTTTGTTGCGGTCTTCGGCTCTGAGACATCAACTAACATCTATCCAGGTATCAGTCCTTTCGCGCATCATGATCAACCAATGACTTACAGAGCTTGTGCGTCGTGCCACGCTAGCCTGAGTGTTGATGGTGGATTGATCACGATCCACCATCATTGCTGTATCGCTCTCATCGCCCTCTTCAGCAGACTCCCTGTCCTCGACCATCTCTAATTCTTCAGCAGCCTCCGGGTCCTCGAGGATCTCAAGTTCTTCTGCGGCGTTTAGGGCCTCGAGTTCATCTGCAGAAGACTCTGCGTTTGGGAGCGAGCGCTTCTTGCCTCTCGAGCTGGACTTCAGTGTCTCGTTTACGTGCATGATGCTCTGACTTTGGTGAGTACATATTCACAACTCAAATCGCTACTCACCTTTCCCCTATATGATTTTGGTGCCGGCTCACTGTACTCTTCAGGTTCGTCATCAAGATCCACATCAGACTCTGCAAGTCGTCCTGCCCTGACAGAGGTTCGTGCACTTGGTGGTGCGCTTGGCTTCAGCTGAGTTTGCGAGGCAACCTTGTCCACCCAGTTGGGAATGGGCCCTTCGAGGTCGGGATTTACCACCTGCTTGGGATTGGTGCTGATTTGGTTTGCGCAGATGTAATCAAAGTAATATAGTGTGAGTTCTGATAGAATCAGCATCGTGGTCAAACAGAAACTTACAATGTCTTGATTTTCCCATCGCCAATTGTACTTCCAACACGTGTGTCACTGTCACCAGTGGTGATTGTGACTCCACCATTGGACACCTTGCGATTGGTGTTCACGCTGTCCCGAAAGTTTAACTTCAAGCCAGCTCGCTTCTGCTTTACTGGTTGACTAGCCTGACTGTCATCTTCAGGAGCTGCAGTTGATTGACCTGTTATACAGGCGTCAATCAATCGATTAGGTGAGTCATTCAAGCGCTGGCATGACTCACCTTTAACTGCAGGTTGTGCATCTACATTTGCCAGATTGGTGCTCTTTTTGCTGGCGACCATGCGTGGCCGAACGAGTTTGGGAGGGCCTTTCACCTGAGCCTTCTGCTGGATGGCCATAGCATCTTCAGCCGCAGCAATCATTGTACGTGATTTATCTACTGCTGCAGCACGAGCATCCTTCTCAGCTTGCTTACGGGTTTTTTCAGCAGCGACTTCTTCTTTCGACCGCCGCTGCACTCGGTTCGCTTCCCGGATGATATTTCCAGGATGCTTGTGTATATTGCTGGGACGCGTTTGTGGACGAGACATGAGGAATTGAGGTTTTGGGAAAAGAAGGGAGGAAAACGAACAACACAGGTAATTGAACCACTCAAGAAAACACAACTGACTAAGGTGTTGGCAACGATTCGTACTAAAGTTCAACAGTTCAGGGTGAGCCCCGGTTTCTGTCAACTCAATCTGACCCGAATTAAACAAGTTCACACAGTGTGCCGCTACCTTGAGTGTTGGACTTCGCCTCAAACGATCACATTTTCTGTTTCTAGTGAAAATGACGCGGTTGCCTTGTCGCATTCCTGGATGCAAACAGGTCTTCAAGAATAAATCGGGTCAAACCAAGCATGTACGCTCAGCACACCCAAAGCCATTGCGCAATCACCCAATTTTCCATCAAGAAGCTCCCAGGTCTCGCTCTCCAAGTCCTGAGAATCCCGCCTTCGATAATCGGCCTCCAAGTCCCAGGCATGACGACTTTGAGGATGTGGGAGGTGGTCTGGAAAACGATGCCTTTATGCCAGCACAGGGTGTACAGTTGGGGCCGCTATTCCGAACATTCCATCCTCATCTCACAGGTAACTAATTCACATCATTCATTCATTCAGATCTAACTCGTAGTACAGGACGCAAGTGCGATGTTCATGGCAACTTCATTGACCAAAATGTGCCCCCACCACCCCGAACCGAAGCATCACCCACTGACTGGACCCCTTATGAAAGTTGTGTTGCGTTTGAGGCAGCGGAATTCCTCTATACACGCAATCAAATGTCCGCAGGTCAGATCGACACCCTGCTTGACCTCTGGGCGGCGACACTTATCAAACATCAGGACAGTCCTCCATTCACTGGCCACCGGGACCTATATGAAACCATTGATTCGACTCCTCTTGGCGATGTTACTTGGGAGACTTTCTCAATGTCCTACAACGGAGAAAAACTGGCCGATAATGTGCCGCCATGGATGGCTGCCAAGTACGACGTGTGGTTCCGTGATCCACGTCTACTTGTTCACCACATGCTTTCGAACCCTGACTTCGCCACGGAAATCGAATATGTCCCATATCGGGACTATACTGACGAGGATAAACGCTGTTATAAGAACTTTTTCTCAGGTGATTGGGCTTGGAAGCAAGCCGTATGTTTCGCTTTGTGTTGAGCTTACCTTTCCAACTAATAGTACATCACTTTACAGGACATTATCGCGGAGGATCCGGAAACCCACGGATCAGCGTTTGTGCCTCTGATTGTTGGGAGCGACAAGACTACGGTCTCAGTGGCCACAGGACACACTGAGTACCATCCGCTCTATCTCTCAATCGGAAACATTTTCAATGGAGTTCGACGCGCACATCGCAATGGCGTGGTGCTGGTAGGCTTCTTGGCTATTCCGAAAAGTGAGTCACCGCCTTGATACACTGTTTCAATTACTCATTTTCATTATTCGTACTCTAGGCACAAAGGAACATCTTGAAGACAAAGACTTTCGCAATTTCCGCCGTCAAATGTTTCACTCTTCACTCGCCAAGATATTTGATTCCGTGAAGCCAAATATGACAATCCCCGACGTTGTGCGCTGTCCTGACAGCCATTATCAGCGTGTCATATATGGGTTAGGCCCGTACATCGCCGATTATCCAGAGCAGCTGGTGCTTTCAGGAGTTGTTCAGAATTGGTGTCCGAAGTACGTATTTTTCTTCATATTTATTGACTTACACTCACGCTTTTTAAGGTGTTTGAATCATCGCAGGAATCTCGAAGGCGACAGGCCATCTTTGCTCCGGTGCAGAGAACACACCGACCTCCTCGTTCAAGAGCTCGAGCATGCCAACCTCTGGTACGACTATGGTATCATCCAAGAGGTTGTGGTATGTTGTTCAGTTCTCGTGCTCACCAACTACTCATATTTTTTTTCAGCCTTTCACAAATGACTTTCCTCGAGCGGATATCCACGAACTACTCTCGCCGGACCTCCTGCACCAAATCGTCAAAGGGACGTTCAAGGATCACCTTGTCGACTGGGTGGAGGATTACCTGTTGCTCACACACAGGGCTTCACGCGCAGCAGAGATCATGGATGACATTGATCGAAGGTACGTGTCTTTTTTTTAAAAAACAAATCACTAATATACTCAAGGTACTTCAACAGGATAGCGGCGGTCGCCCCTTTTGCCAGTTTACGGCGCTTTCCAGAAGGGCGCGGTTTCAAGCAGTGGACAGGTGATGATTCCAAGGCTCTGATGAAGGTGAGTCACGTCTAATTTTTATTATAATGCGCGAGTTAATGCTACTTCTATCTAGGTCTATCTGCCTGCCATCAAAGGTCACGTTCCTCGAGACGTAGTTCGCGCATTTAGCGCATTCCTCGACTTCTGCTATATCGTCCGGCGAGACACGATCACAGAGGACGACCTCATCCAGCTTCAAGATGCGCTCGATCGGTTTCACCAGTACCGCGAAATATTCAAGACAACGGGAGTTGTACTGGGCTTCTCATTTCCGCGTCAACACTCCCTAAACCACTATTCCCTCATGATCCGGCTCTATGGCGCCCCGAACGGCCTTTGTTCATCAATAATGGAGTCGAAGCACATCAAGGCTGTTAAGGAGCCCTGGCGTCGCTCCAACAGATACAAAGCATTGGGCCAGATGCTCCTCACAAATCAACGCCTCGATAAAATCGCTGCAGCACGAAGCGACTTTGACGCTCGTGGTATGCTTCGAGGCTCATGTATATCTGATGCTTTGCAGGCACTGAGAAATCGTAAGTCTTTGTTGTAATACAGGCTTTTTAAGTATTCTAACTGGTAGTACAGGTAATCACGAGTCACTGGATGACTACAACGATGGTGACAACGACAACGACAACGAAAACGACAACGCACCCCAAGCACGTCCGAACCGTCTGCGTGTCAATGAACCGCAAAACCAGACTGCTGAGGGAGATGCAGCCGATGTCATCGATGGACCTACCGTCCAAGCTCACGTGGAACTTGCAGCCACGCCCGGTAAGTCTCATCTTTAGGTCACACAATTTGTTTGCTGAGGCTTCCTAGTGTTGGGTGGTGCACGCGATGTCTCTGCACTCGCGCGTGACCTCGAGCTTCCAAACTTCCCTACAATGATCCAACAATTCCTCCACGACCAACTTCATATCGCGGACCACGAGCCCCCTGAGTTTGACCCCGCGACAGCACCAGCTTTTATGGGCAGGGTTTCGGTTTTTAGCTCAGCGGCAGCATCATTCTATGCCCCCAGTGATCTCAGTGGCACTGGGGGCATGCGGCGCGAGCATATTCGGGCAACGACTTCATGGCGAGGGGGTCCCGCTCGAAATGACTGCATCTTTGTCAGTATGAACGACGAGGTCAACTGTGGCTTGGATGGACTCGCCATTGCGAGAGTATTGCGCTTTCTCGGTTTCAAATACCAGACAAAATACTTGCGATGTGCGGTTGTTCACTGGTTCGTGTACATCACAGACAGTCGGGATCCTGACACTGGAATGTACCTCGTCGCACCATCAAGCCATGATGATGGCACACCGGACATTTCAATCATCCATATTGATTGTATTTTCCGCGCAGCTCATCTTATCCCTCTCTATGGTGCCAATTTCCTGCCTCGTGAAATTGGCCCTCATGACAGCTACAACGTGTTTCGTGCCTTCTACGTCAACAAGTATGCTGACCATCATGCATTTGAAGTAGCGTGACAGGTAAGTTTGTCATCATCTCTGTCCTCCCCTTCGCAGTGTGATCACTGACTAGGAATATCTACACCCTGCAGCATCATTACCTGGGCCAAGGTCTCCATCCGTCTCTCGATGACGCCGCTAACATATCCATCATTACCTGGGCCAAGATCTCCATTCGTCTCTCAATGACGCCGCTAACATATCCAGGCAAGTTTGTCATCATCTCTGTCCTCCCCTTCGCAGTGTGATCACTGACTTAGACTATCTACACCCTGCAGCATCATTACCTGGGCCGAGGTCTCCATCCATCTCTCAATGACACCACTAACATATCCAGAGGATTGTCCAGCCATATTGTACCGGCGCCATCATCACCCGGTATACCAAAACACGAACCTGCGCCAGTACAACCGCCATCAAAACACAAGAAGTTTGTGTTCGCTTCGCCTGCTGTTTGGTGATGGTGAGCTTGGTTTAATGACCCCCCCCCCCCCCCTCCCTCACCATTTTAATGGAATTGTACTACCATATTGTTCCAGCGCCATCATCACCCGGTATCCCAAAACACGAACCTGCGCCGGTACAACCACCATCGAAACACAAGAAGTTCGCTTCGCCTGCTGTTTGGTGATGGTGAGCTTGCTTTAATGACCCCCCCCCCCCCTCCCTCACCATTTTAACAGCATTGCCACCAGGTATGGAGGATTGTACTGCTATATCACCACCATCACCCGGTATACCAAAACACGAACCTGCGCCAGTACAACCGCCATCAAAACACAAGAAGTTCGTGCTCGTTTCGCCCGCTGTTTTTGTGATGCGGCGCTGTAGTTTACCTCATGTGACTAGAGACACGCCTCCCCAATCTTACTTAGACTTAAATAAAAAATCTCTCCTTTTTTCTCCTTGTATCTGCTTATTACGAGGGCTTGTATTCCTTAAGTCTCCTTGCCACGCTTAAGTCTCCTTGCCACACTTAAGTCTCCTTTTCCTCCTTATGCAGTTTACTAAGTAGAATAAGGCAAAAAAAGCACTCCGACGTTTTCCTGATGCGACCCTTTGACGATCGCTATGATATACGATTGGATGTAGCCTCGTTACACAACCTAGCAGTGGATCTATCCCATCCAACTCGGCCCAAAGCAAATCCATCGCGGGTTCGTGCAAGGTTTTGCATGTCCTTGCAAGCGCTGCAAGGGATTTCCGGGACACCCTGATGATTGATGAATCGAATGTCATCGATTCGGTCAAATGGGAGAATATCTCCACGAGAACTTCCGAAACAAGTAGAGCTTTATGCATCAGTTCTACGTCGATGATCGGTATGTATAATGAGAGTAATAGACAAGCGGTTTTGCTTGCCCAACGCCCAATTTTCACACGAGCAGACCTGCATTCACGTGTGGTGATTGGAAGAACTTAGACTCAGCTCTGAGCGCTGTTCTCAACTTACCTGTTCATTCAAACCCAAAACCTAGGAATGAACTCCAGCACACTGGGGCGTCCGCGTCAAAACCACAGCACTCCATGGCGAATACCGCTGCTCCTTCGGCCAACCTACAGTCATTTCTCATTATCCGCACCATCCAAAACACCCAATTGATCAAACAAGTTTAACTATCAAGATTCAAAAATCCTACTTCGCGCCGCTCCACCAATACCCGTCGTTCCTCACCCCCACGACACGGGTCTTCATTCTCGTTTTCATCTGGCGCGTCGTCGACCTCCACGGCTTGCACCTTTTCATCCTCTGCTTCCATGTTCAACTCGCAAGGCAGAGTGGTTCTCAAAGAATGAAAGCTACAAGTTCATGGGAGGTGCATATTTACCCGCTGATTCACCTGTTGCGTGCGCCGTTGTAGCATGATGCGTCGGCCGGGGACAGCAGGGAAAGAAAGATGCGGTGAGTGTTATTTCAAATACTGCCAACAATTACACCTCCCCGCATGCGCATTTTCATCCTCCATCCCTCCACGTTCTTAGTATGAAGGTATCACAATCAACCCCTCCTTTCTGAAACTTGAAGCAAGGAATTTTTTTCTATCAGTGTGGCACGAGCGCGACTGCGAATCTTCACATACTCACTGTTGACTGGCAGCTCGGCAATGTCAGTTGAAGAATCGACATGGCTATGCCCTGCAATGGATCGACAATATCATGGTCACTGCACGCCGACATCCTGACGCTCAGCGATGAATGTCATTAATCTTGCCGTCTATCGCTACAAGCTCACAGACACGGGACTTTGTCGTTGGACTGATCGGACAGGCAAGTGTTTCAGGCTTATTTATGATCTTAGCCGCGCTCGTATATTTGTCAGACACGCATGGAGCGGTCATAGTGCTGGTATCCACCAGAGACCGCAGCTGATATCCAGCGCCACAAGTTTATGCAGATAGTCTGCATCCGACTCTGCAATCCGTCTTCCCCTTTGTTCATTGACGGCGTCGTTTCTCAGTCGTTCGAGATGATGCCATCCAGAGTAAATCTCGACTTTAAATCATATAGAGTGGAAATGAGAACGATGGGACTCTGACCATGGGATGAACAGGGTGGTAGCTAAACGCTTGACGTACCGTGGGTTAGCACATCCGCCTTTGACCTGGTAACCTGTTATCTGCCGACAGCAAAACACAGACAAATCTTTATCCAGCATTCACCAGCTAGAGCGACTACGGTTGTTAGATACGTCCGATGTGTTTACATAGTGTAACTGTAGCTCTGAAATCATAATAAACGTGATTTTTTTGAATGATGCACGTCCAGAAAAGCTGTGAAGCAGAGTGGTAGGCAGATCATATGTAACATTAATCTACTTGCAATCGGAGCACGGATACTTAGAGGTACATCAAGGCGCTGTTGGAGACCCAGTAGGTCTCGCCACCGTCTCGGCAAAGGGCAACCGATGAGCCTCACGTGTGCGTATGCCATACCAGAAAAGAAAAGCGCCACATTGCATGATCTTACAATAATTGATACAGTTCTACCTCCCATTCCATCAAGATACCCGCTTTCACCACCGAAATACTACAGGTCCACCCAACACATCATCGACGTGGTAATGTGTTGCTCACCATTAAGGTCTTGCTGAAGACAAACGGATCAGCGTGGATTGTTACAATCATCAGAGTTGATACATACGCAGGCGATACTGTAAAGTAATTTCAAGAATTGTCTGAATTAACTCCGCTTGTCTCTCACAAAGTTCTGCCTTCCTCCGAGAGCGCTCAAAAGGTAGCTTGCCCTTCCAAGTAGACGATGTTTTTTCGACAGTGCTCACAGCCTCTTGATATTTATGGACGGCAGCGCTCACAGCTTCCCTGACAGAAGCGGCATGTGGAGACGCCATGTGCCGCTCGAGAGCCTCAATATGAGAGGAAACAGAGTTCTGCTGGTCCTGAAGATGGCGCCGTTTGTCGAAAATGTAGAAAGAGTGTTCAAAAATTATGATAGCAGCTAGTTGATCAATAATAAGCAGATTCATTGCAATATTACCTGAAAATTCACCAGAGCTAAGTTGAACAAATGTCTCCAATGGCGATGAGCCAGAGACCTGGAAAATTTTCACCATCAGAATTGTGTGTGCAGTCCGTGACCAATTGGACATACCACAGAAAGTAACCTAGACCTCATCTCCTCACGTTGAGTGTACGAAAGCTGGTAAAATCACGATGGAAAGTTGACAATTGTCTCCCTCTGCTGATGATCAACAGACTCACATCCTGTCAATGAATAATATCTTCGGTCAGCATAGCCCAAGGTCAAAGGAAGATGATCAAACTCACGTCCTATTGATGGATCGTTGATATCGTTCGTGAGCAAGGTTCGAGGATCAAACACTCACATACTATTAGGAGATGCAAAATGTCAGTGATAAGCAGAGAGCAAGCTCGACCAAGGATAATCACACTGACTTTCTGTCAATATATGAGGAATAGCATTGGTAAGGGCTTGAATGAGCATGACTCGAGCTCGAACGAAGATCAACACACTCACACCCTGCAAACGGCTTCCATCAGCATGGCTCGAGCTCGAACGAAGATCAACACACTCACAACCTGCAAACAGGGGGCAATGGCTTCGATCAGCATGACTCGAGCTCGAACGAGGATCATCACACTCACATCCTGCGAAAAGTGGGCAATGGCTTCGATCAGCATGGCTCGAGCTCGAACGAAGATCAACACACTCACAAACTGCGAACAGTGGGCAATGGCATGGATCAGCATGGCTCGAGCTCGAACGAGGATCTTCACACTCACAAGCTGCGAACAGGGGGCAATGGCATGGATCAGCATGGCTCGAGCTCAAACGATCATCATACTCACAAGCTGCGAACAGTGGGCAATGGCATGGATCAGCATGGCTCGAGCTCGAACGAGGATCATCACACTCACGTCCTGCGAACAGGGGGCAATGGCATCGATCAGCATGACTCGAGCTCGAACGAGGATCATCACACTCACATACTGCGAACAGGAGGCAATGGCTTCGATCAGCATGGCTCGAGCTCGAACGAGGATCAGCACACTCACATACTGCGAACAGGAGGCAATGGCTTCGATCAGCACGGCTCGAGCTTGAACGAGGATAAACACACTCACATCCTGCGGACATTGGGAAATGGCTTCGATCAGCATGGCCCGAGCTCGAACGAGGATCGGCACACTCACTCTCTGCGAACCGTGAGCAATGGTTTCGATCAGCATGGCTCGATCTCGAACAAGGATCAACACACTCACAAGCTGGGAACAGGGGGCAATGGCTTAGATCAGCATGGCTCGATCTCGAACGAGGATCAACACACTCACAAGCTGGGGAACAGGGGGCAATGGCATCGATCAGCATGGCTCGAGCTTGAACGAGGGTCATCACACTCACAAGCTAGGAACAGGGGGCAATGGCTTCGATCAACATGACAGTCATGACTCGAGCTCGAATGAGGATCATGACACTCACAACCTGCGAACAGTGGGTGGGCAATGGCTACGGTCAGCATAGCTGGATCTCGAATGAGAATCATCACACTCACAGGCTGCAAACAGTGGGAAATGGCTTCAATCAGCATGGCTCGATCTCCAACGAGGATAAAGACACTCACCCACTGCGAACAGTGGGAAATGGCATCGATCAGCATGGCTCGAGCTCGAACGAGGATCAACACACTCACATCCTGCGAACAGTGGACAATGGCATCGATCAGCATGGCTCGAGCTCGAATGAAGATCTGCACACCCACTCTCTGCGAACAGCGGGCAATGGCGTCAATCAGTATGGCTCGAGCTCGAACAAAGATCAGCACACTCACAGCCTACGAACAGTGGGCAATGGCCTCGATCAGTATGACTCGAGCTCGAACGAGGATCATGACACTCACATCCTGCGAACAGTGGGAAATGGCTTTGATCAGCATGGCTCAAGCTCGAACGAGGATCATCATCACACTCACAAGCTAGGAACAGGGGGCAATGGCTACGATCAGCATGGCTCGAGCTTGAACGAAGATCATCACACTCACATACTGCGAACAGGGGGCAATGGCTTCGATCAGCATGGCTCGATCTCGAACGAGGATCAGCATACTCACATCCTGCGAACATTGGGCAATGGCTTCGATCAGCATGGCTCGAGCTCGAACCAGGATCATCGCACTCACTCTCTGCGAACAGTGGGCAATGGTTTCGATCAGCTTGGTTCGAGCTCGAACGAGGATCATCGCACTCACATCCTGCGAACAGTGGGAAATAGCTTCGATCAGCATGGCTCGAGCTCGAACGAGGATCATCCTACTCACATCCTGCGAACAGTGGGAAATAGCTTCGATTAGCATGGCTCGAGCTCGAACGAGGATCATCCTACTCACATCCTGCGAACAGTGGGAAATGGCTTCAATCAGCATGGTTCGAGCTCGAACGAGGATCATCACACTCACATCCTGCGAACAGTGGGAAATGGCATCGATCAGCATGGCTCGAGCTCGAATGAGGATCAACACACTTACATCCTGGGAACATTGGGAACAGATTTGATCAGCATGGCCCGAGCTCGAACTACGATCATCACACTCACATTCTGCGAACAGGGGGAAATGGCTTAGATCAGCATGGCTCGAGCTCGAACGAAGATCAACACACTCACATCCTGCGAACAGAGGGAAATGGCTTCGATCAGCATGGCTCGAGCTCGAACGAAGATCAACACACTCACATCCTGCGAACAGAGGGAAATGGCTTCGATCAGCATGGCTTGAGCTCGAACGAGGGTCATCACACTCACAAGCTAGGAACAGGGGGCAATGGTTTCAATCAGCATGGCTCGAGCTCGAACGAGGATCATCACACTCACAGGCTGCGAACAGTGGGCAATGGCTTGGATCAGCATGGCTCGATCTCGAACGAGGACCAGCACACTCACTCTCTGCGAACAGTCGGCAATGGCATCGATCAGCATGGCTCGATCTCCAACGAGGATAAAGACACTCACCCACTGCGAACAGTGGGAAATGGCTTCCATCAGCATAGCTCGAGCTCGAACGAGCATCAACAAACGTACTGTCTGCAAGCAAACACGTGACATAAATTAGAGCAAATTTTGAACATTCCCATAATCTTACCAGAATATGTGGAAACCAGACGCTCAATCGTTGTATTGCCTCCTGAGATGAAACTGTCTCAGCAGAGGCAACAAATATTGCAAGCGTTCTGGAAAACACCAGTCAATGAAACTCGCAGCAGGCACATGAGCTGATGGGTAGATACCTCTCAACTGCATATTTGATGCAGATCTCCAAGTTGGTCTCCTGAGTTGAGACAAGCAGTTGCTGCAGGACTTCATTGTCCAGAGTTCCAGCCGTTCGATCGATGAGCGGTCCGCAGTCTGCATCGTCGTTGTCCATGTCTGGTGGATCATTGGTCATCATGTATCACAATTCAACTGTCCACAGCTTACCAGGGAGGCATACGTGACATTTTGGAGGCCGTCGGATGGCCTTGGAGTGGTACAGAAACTGCAATTGAGGCCCGTTTGCGAATGTCTCCTCGGCGTGCTTCGGAGCCAGGTTCTTAGCGTCTTTCCTTGATGCTCCATTCTCCATAAGTCGTGCGAATTCGACGTCGTAGAGGGCATCAAATTTGGTGAATAACACGATCACCGGAACTGAGGATCCAAGTTGCAAATCAATCAACAACAGACAGATGCGAAAGCTTACTACTCCCGGTGTCACAGCGAGAGAAAAATTTGAGTTCACCCTCGGTAAAACACCTACTTGCCTCATCCATTGGTATGCAATACCTATGTCAAGGAGTGAGCTAGTGCATACCGCCAAGTTGACCAATTACCATATCGTATGGATTCGATCCTTTATATTTGTTTTCTTCGAACGGTCTTTGATAAATGCATTGACCTTGTCGTACTCAGATTCGCCGCCTGCTTCAAAACCGCGTGAATCATGAAAAATAAATCCTGGGTTGTTGCGGAACACCATTTCGTTCTCGATATCGTGCTCTCCACGCTGAGAACACATCAGTTGATGTTACCAACTGATAGTAGTACACGTTACCTCTCTGGATGCTGTCAAAACAGCGATATCGATCTGATGCCGATGGGACAGTCATCACTATCAGTATCCTGCTAGCCCATCATGATACGCACCTTTTCCCCAGCGCCGTCAAAAATTTCTGGGTTCTCGTTGGTTTTGCAAACCCTCTTTAGGATGGTAGTTTTTCCTGCGTTCGCTCTTCCTATGATGAGAATTCGAAAGCGAACAATCTTCCGTTTTATCTCTGAAGGATCCATGGATGAAGGTAAATGATAGTAACGGGACTGAGCAATGGGAGTTGTTCAACGCTGAGGGCAGGCTTATGATCACCGCAGTTCAGTGTGTGAACTCTGTGAGTGCTCTTGTCAAACTAGATAGGCTAATGGGCAATGAGCTGCATATATACTTAAGTTTCAGGTTATCCGTATCATGAGGTGCGAGTTACGATTCGCGGGCGCCGCGGGTTCTATTTCACACTATGTCTATACATGGTAACTCAAATAATGTTTCGACTACTAACTCACGACGAGTGGACTGCGCCCACGTTCGCATCCACATGCCCTAGTGGAACAACCCAAACTCCATATCTATCTATAACTAGCAGACACGGGCCCATCCAGCTCGCGCCGCTCCACCAATATCCGTCATCATCAGCCCAATGACACGCGGCTTCGTTGTCCGTGGCGGGGAATACGATGAAGCTTGGTGAGCGGTGGAGCATGAGTGTCAATCGATACGCCAACAGCTTGGCAATTCCCTTGGTCGATCAAGGATCCGAGTCGACCGTGTCACTTCCTGCAAATTCATTGATATCATCTTGCACCGACGCCGAGCGATTGACGTCATCACCCTACTCGTGAAGAGGCCATAGCGCCAGTACGCACTGGAGACCATAGTGCAAGTGGCACCACATATTGTTGTTGGTAGAAACAAGCTTGTATACACGGTATTCAGTCATTAAATTGATCAGACAGGCAAATATTTTCTCAAGGTCTTCTTTAGACGCGCTCGTACATTTATAAGATGTGCATGAAATGGCAATAGCAGTCATAAGGTCTCGCTAGAGACTATTAATTGCTAATATGCAGCTCTGCAAATCCTCTACGGACCTGATTCAGACACCCCGCGATCTGTTCTCCTTTGTTCCTTGATAGAAGCGTCTCTCACTCCTTCGAGAAGATGCGTCAAATACGACCCGCGTGGTCGACAACCTATCATACATAGTGAAACCGAGAACGATGGGCTTCCGGCCACAGCACGCACAACGATAGCCAAATGCTCAATGTATGAGGGAACTAGTAGTACATCCCAAGTACATCCGCCCTGTACACCCCAGAGCCATGATAAACCTGAACTCACTGGTTCATGAGAACAAACACTGGAAATTTTCACGGCCATCTATGTACGTCCGCTGCTTGAAATCCATCGAGTTCAACGGCCGTTTTCCTCCAACCAGTCCTCATAGATCTCATTCACCGGCGACCAGCTGGATCGACTGACCATTCCACCTGTATATACGTAGTAGTTCTGAGACGTCATGGCTAGAAATAAGGAGTCGAGAAATGCCCGGCCGTATTAGTGTATCGTGCTTGCAATGGGAGCACGGATACTTAAAACTCTAAGAGGTACAACCAGCCATGGATGAAGCTTGCTTCACGCGCGCATACGCCATACCAGAAAAACCACCACATACAACATTTGATACAATTACATTGCCTGTGTCCACCTCAATAGACCATTCAAAAATCCTGCATTCACCGCCAACTCAACTCCGAACATCATCGAAGTTGGTGATAGATTTCATAACATCAAGTTCTTGCTGAAGACAGCAAATCAGCAAGTCAGCAGAAATGACAAAAATTAAAACATACGCAGGCGATGCTGCAAAGCGACTTCAAGAATCGTTTTGATCAACTTCCTCTCAGAACTTTCCAAACCTAGCATCGCCTTCCAAGTAGAAGAGTTTCCTTGGTATGCATAGATAGCAACGCTCACAGCTTCCCTGACAGCAGCTGCATGCGGAGACGCCATGTACTGCTCGAGAGCGGCATGCAGAGGGTGAACAGACTCCCGCTGGAACCGAAAATAGCGCCGCTGGTCGAATAGATAGAAAGAGCGCTCGAAGATAATAACAGCAGCTAAATGATCGTTAACGTGTAAGTTCATTGCAACGTTACCCCAAAATTCACCAGAGCTGAGCTGAACAATTTTCTCCAATGGTGAAGAACCAGAGGCCTATCAAATTTTCAACATGGAAATTTCATGGAGTCTGCGACCAACGGGACATACCAGAGAGTGTAATTTAGACCGTATTCCTTCATAATGAGGGCCGTAAAGCTGTGGAGATCATGAGGGAAAGTGGGAAATGGTCAAACTCTGCTAAGGACCGCCACACTCACATACTGTCGATGAGTAACATATTCGGTCAGCATGGCCCGATGTCAAGGGATGATGAACAAACTCACGTCCTATCGGTGGATCGGCGATGGCATTGGTAAGCAACGCTCGAGGATCAAAACACTCACAGCCTGTTAACAAAAGGGCAATTTCAGAAGTGAGTAATATTCGAGCTCGACGAAGGATCAACACACTGACCTTCTATCGATAGGTGAGCAATGTGATTAATTAGCAAGGCTCGCGCTCAAATGAGGGTGAAGAGACTCACCCACTGTCAACGGATCGGCCATGTCAGTCAGCAATGTTCCAGCTCATCAGTTAGTAATGTTCCAGTTCGACAGAGTATCAACGTGCTCACCTTCTGTGAATGGATGGGCGATGACTTCAGTCAGGATGGCTTGAGCTCAACAGCGGATAAACCCACTCACAACCCGTCAACAGATGAGCAATGACTTCGGTCAGCACAACTCAAGGTCAACGGATGATGAATAACTCACACCCTGATAACAGATCAGTGATTGCTTCAATGAGAAGGCGGGAGGCCGACAGAGGATTGATACTCACAAGCTGTCAACGGATGAGCAATTTCTTTAGCATGTTTCAAGGTGGATGGAGAATCAATGCACTCACGTTCTACCGACAGATTAGCAATTTCTGTTGATCAGGAAGGCTCAAACTCGAGGAAGGATCAATACACTCACTCCCTTTCAACAAATGAGTGATGAGGTTCGTCAGCAAGGCTCGGGCTTGATGGAGGATAAACACACTCACTCGCTGTCAATAGATCATTGGTGAGTAAGGCTCGGGCTCGATTGGTAATGAACACACTCACAACCTGTCAACAAATCGGTAAATCGGGTCAACAAGGCTGGGGCTTGGACGGATGATCGACACACTTACGGCCTGTCAACAGGTCCGTAGCCTCATCGGTGAGTTGAAGGCACAATGTCGAAGGAGGGTGACCGCACTCACATCCTGACAACAGAGGATTTCGATCAGCATGGCTCGGGCTTAAAGGAGGATCAACACACTCACAGTCTGTGAACAGTGAATAAGGAATCGATCAGCATGACTCGAGCTCGAAGGAGGATCAGCATACTCACACTCTGTGGACAATGACTTTGATGAGCATGGCTCGAGCTCGAAGGAGGAACAATAAACTTACATCCTGTGAAGGGTGGGGAATGACTTAGATCAAAGTGGCTTGAGCTCGAAGGAGTATCAATGCACTCACACACTATGAACAGGGGGCGATGAGTTTGATCAATATAGGCCTGAGCTCGAAGGGAGGATCAACACACTCACGGTCTGAACAGTGGACAAGGCCTCAATCAGCATGGCTCCTCGAGCTCGAAGGAGGTCAAACACACTCACAACCTGTGAATAAGGGCAATGAGTTCGATCAGCTTGGCTTGAACTCGAAACACACTCACATGCTGTGAATAGTCGGCAATGACTTTGATCAATGACTCGAGCTCGGAGGATCAACACACTCACATACTGTGAATAGTCGGCAATGACTTTGATCAATGACTCGAGCTCGGAGGATCAACACACTCACATACTGTGAATAGTCGGCAATGACTTTGATCAATGACTCGAGCTCGGAGGATCAACACACTCACATACTGTGAATAGCCAGTAATGACCTCGATCAACATGGCTCGAACTCGGACGAGGGCCGACAACTCACAGACTGTCAATGGATCAGCGATGTCTTCGATCAGCATTCAGATAGAATCAACAAACGTACTGTCTGAGAGCAACCGCCCACTATGAACGAGAGCAATTTTCAACAATCCGGAAATCTCACATAAATGTGTGGAAACCAGGCACCCAATTTGTCTATTACCTCCGCGTGATCCGTGGATGAGGCAGAGCCAGCAAATTCCATAACTGAGCTGGACAATCAATTTCAGTCATCAAGGCTTGCCACAGGTAAATGATTCTGGGTACTTACTGTTCAACTGCATATTTCATGCAAAGTTCCAAGTTGGTCTGCTGAGTTGAGACGAACAACTGCTTAAGGGCCTCGTCGTCCAGAGTTCCAGCAGTGCGTTCGATGAGGGGCCCACAGTCTGCGTCATCCTTGTCCATGTCTAAAGTCGGGTGTAGATCGAATGTCATCGTATACAATACAATGATCAGTCAACTTACTAGGAAGGCATACGTGACACTTTGGAGGCCGTAGCATTTCTTCGGGGTTGTAGAGAAACTTCAGTTGTGGCCCGTTCACAAATGACTCCTTGGCGAGCTTCGGGGCCAATTCTTTAGCCTCCTCCCTCGATGCTCCGTTCTCTCTGAGCTGTGCGAATTCGACATCGTAGAAGGCATCGAATTTGGTAAATAATACGATCACTGGAACTGAGGATTGTGAATCAGTTGATCGTCACCAATGATCGGATGCAAAAGCTTACTGCTTCCAGTATCGCACTGAGAGAAAAATTTAACTTCGCCTTGTGTGAAAGATCTGCTTGCCTCGTCCATTGGGATGCAATACCTGTGTCAAAGCGGTAAGCCAATCTATGTCGCGAATTTGACCAATTACCATATGGCGTGGATTCGATCCTTTAAACTGGTTTCCTTAGAACGGCCTGCGATAAATGCCTTCACCTTGTCAAATTCAGAGTCCCCGCCTGCCTCAAACCCGCGTGAATCGTGAAAGACGAATCCTGGGTTGCTTCGAAAGATCATTTCATTCTCGATATTGTGCAATCCGCGCTGAGAATGCGTCATGTGTCACATTGCCAACAAAGGACGTCACTAGTACACCTTACCGTTCTGGACGGCATCAAAACGGTGGCACTGATCTGATTGCGACGGGTCAGTTATTGGGTACCGTGTCTCCTACTAGTATCATGCTCCGCACCTTTTTCCCGGCGCTGTTATATATTTCTGGTTTCTTACGTGTGTCACAAACCCTCTGGAGAATGGTAGTTTTCCCTGCGTTCGCTCTTCCAATGATGAGGATTCGAAAGCGACTGAGTTGCTCTCTTATCTTTGAAGCCTGAGGATCCATGGAGGTAGGTACATCAGACCGGGGACCGTTGAGTGCAGGCTTATAATCACGGGGCGATGGGCATATGGCTGTGCGTACCAATGAGGCATACACGAGGACTAATATCTTGAAGAACCAAGCTCGTGTTCAGAAGTGACGGCATTTCTATCTTGAGTTTGATGGATCGTTCGAAGGAGAAAGGAAAGAGGAAAGTGACAAAAAGATGGTCACTCAATATTATCATTCCGGGTGATCTGTGTACCCTGCAGGCCGCCACTGCCCCGAGACGGAATACATCATGCCGCAACGTTGAGGCCCATGTTATATGAGTTTGTGTCACAGATGCCAGTCAATACCAATTCCATTCCCTGCGTGCCCAATGATAAGTTCGTGGTTATCGAAGGACTACAAGTAAGGTAGATATATAACTTATAAGGGCCCAGATGTACTGTTAAGTCTCGGTCAATCCGGTTAAGTTAACATGATAGTCCTGCATGCTAGACAGACACCTGTTTCGCCTCTTCAGCTTCTCCATCACTAGACCGACATTCCTGCGAACGTCCCCAAGATCAGCTGCTGGAATACCCTTCTGTTCCGTGTGCTCAAACGCTGCCCCAGCCGCGTTTGGACTGATAGAGTGAACTCGCCCTAATATTGCAGCGATTTGGAAGGGGGCGGGCGAGTGCTCATCGAGGCCGTTTAACATGGAAATGCAGTGTCCGATATGTCGATCACCGACTAGACGTTCACACCATTCCGCATTGGAAGTAAGAGCCAAGATGAGCCGTAGGTAAGCATCATCTCGCCAATAGTTGACATGTGGTTCATCTTCTTCTTGACCAACAGGATGTATGGCCATCAGAAGAGCAGGAGAAAAATTCGTAAGGTGTAGATGGCGTATATTCTCCTCCTGTATGGCATCAACGTCGGCGAGCACCAATCGAGAGTCCGAAAAAGCTCGTAGAGCCGCATAGCGAAGGCGAAGACAGTATGATTTCATAGCAGTTATGAGTGCGTGTAGGTGAGCAGATGTTCAATGACGGGTGCCAAGTCCCTTCATAGCGCTCAGCGCTAATAAAGCATTTCCCATTGCCGTGTCATCCCGGGAGCAAAACACAAGGTAGTCGACCAGCCAATCGAAATCAACTGCTGTGCGATGATCGCCGTCCCACGTGAATTGGCCACGCTAATTTCGTGGTCTGGATGGATGAATCCGTTCCCGGCAGCAGCAATCATCATGCGCAATGAGGTGCGTGCATCTGCTCGACATCTCTCCCTGTCCCGACCAGATAACGTTGACAGTTGACAGGCAAGGGCTTTGCACTGGTCAAAGCTTCGCGGAAGAATGACACTGCGCCACTGGTGCCAAATTCTCAACTGCTGGGAAATAGTTTGAGCATTGGAACCATGTTCAATTGGCAGAGCAGCCAGACACAAATGGTATAAAGCTCGCGCATAGACAACTGCTCTATCTCCTGCTGAGGGCCGGAGTCGCCCTTTAGCGTCGAAACAACTCAAAAATGAGTCTCGAAGCGGTTGAGAGTGAGATACAATGTCTGAGTCCGGTGACCATGGAATGGAGGGTATGAGTGAGGCTGTGGTTGCAATGACGTCTGGATCTGTGGATGTCGCAAGCACCCACATTATGGCGGATTCCGTCCTACGGTCGCTAAAAGGCCCAGGATTGATTAGTCGTTGTACGAGCCTCGAGATAGACGCTGTGATGCCGCGGAGGAAACGGCGAAAGCGCGGCAAGCCTTTGTGGTTCTTTTTAATAAACATGCTTCCTACCCACATGAATGCACCAGCCGTGCGAACGATTACAGTGTGTTGCAAATGACTTTAGAATGCACGAGAATTTTTTTGCGAGCTCGGTGTTTGTAAAATAGTTCGTAATAGCCAAATGCGGGACTTTCTGTCACATCAACGACTCGAAAATATTGTCTCCTCCACCTCAGGGTGTATCAATTGCACTCTGACACTCGTATCTTCAATCTGAACTTAACGGCACTCCTTCTGTCAATACTGTCAATACTAAATAATTATAATATATGGCCTTGTCCGCAACGATTTTGTGTAACTCTGGCCATACTCGCGTGATTTTGCAAGACATTGAGCTAGTTTTCTAAGAAAATTCCAACAGTTTTCCATTGTTCATATTCTGGAGCATTCTGAATTGAATTCAGGAGTGATCAGAGAGGCTAAATATTAAATATTTTAATCTGTTCGCGCATCACAAGAGTTCGCGCATCGGCTCTAGTCTGAATCTACATACTTAGGGAAAATCACACTTTTCTGCGCGGTAACTCTCCGCTGGACTCAACACGTCAATTTTGAAAGAAAAAACCAGCGGGTCTTGTACTTTCAATATCAGGCTATCTATCCGTCAAGAAATTATATTTTTATGTGGATGTGTTGTAGAGATACAGATGTTTTAAAATGTGCAAACTCTAGTTGATCATCAGATAATCTAGCCTGGCTGGCAGTGGCGTGAAAACCAGAATGATTGACCAAGTGTGACACAAGTCACACGTCAAAACAAAGGAACAAACACAATTTTGAAAACGAGATTCTAAAGTCATTTGCAACACACTGTAAGGTAGCGGGCGTTTGGAAGGGACAAAATGGAGATAGAGGGGATGCGAGGAGGGTGCACGAGTAAAACAGGAAACCAAGCACCGTGGCCGCAATGACACATCGGGGATCCGAATATTTAAGACTGGTTTGAATGTCGTGCGAAATGTCAAGATAATACT